TATGTTGCACTCCTATCAATTTCATAGTTATAGCTCACAATATCGTGTAGGAGAGCGACAGAAACAAGAGAAGATACGACTGAAGCAGGAAAAGGCTCAAGCGAAAGCTACTTGCGGACAGCGCCTGAGACCTCTTCTAAAACGAGAGGATCTCTCATTGATAGACTCTTCCGAGTCGCAGAGTTCAACAGAGGAGATATCCTTGTGCGATGAGAGTCTCTTGGAACCCGTCGACACTTCTGTCAAAAAGCCTGAGCCCAACTTTCCGGATCTTTACATGAACATGCTTCAATTCTCACCCGCAACCATCTTCACATCATGCCTCACCAACGCGCTCTCCATCGGCCTCGACCCATCCGTCATCGCAAACTGCAGTGTGGAACACATATCTCCCTTCTACCAACCCAACCTCTCATCCACTCTCAGCCACGCAGCTCTCATACAAGCAGGCTCAAATATCCTCTCAACCTTTGACAACACCAGTATCCCCGTCCATCTCCGCCCAACAATGGCGCAAATCCTCATCCCGCATCACACGAGCCTCGATCTTATTCCTATTCCATTTCTGCGTGAGCGAGCAATAATGCTAGCAGCTGCGATGCCGCATGTCTTTAATAATTGGGAACTTAAGCTGGATATTTACGAGAGAGGAGGTTTGACGATTTGGCGATTGAAGCATGAGAAGGGTGAGAGTGTGAGGGATACATATCCGCCTTGGGATATGAAGAGTTGGGAGGCTGCGCCGTGGTTTATGAAGAAGTGGTGTATGCTTATGGGGAGGGAGTATGATAAGATGCATAATCAGAGTATTGGATGGCAGGTTGTCAGGGACATGATAAGCTCGAGAGATGTACAGCGATTGACAACTACTTAACTTTTTGAAAGGCTGCCGTGTATTGGCTAATGCAGATTGAGAATATACAGGAAAGAACCTGATGATACAAACAAAACACAGCATAGAAGATGCTTACTCCAGAACCGTGGCCAACTCCCTCTCAGTCCATTCCCAGAGCTCCTCCGCCAATTCATCATTTCTTCCCTCTTCCGTCGCCAAACCATGCTTCCCAACAGGCTCATAGTACTCTCCACTGACAACGCCGTTCCCAACCGATGCCCAAAGCTGATTCCTGGCACCCTTTGAAACAGGCGTGATCAACATGCACCTCACTACTGCATATAAGTACCAAACCATCCCTGTCGCCTTCACCAACAACTCTGTGTTCACGAGACCAGGATCAACTGCCGATACCGTGAGGCGCGGATACTTTTTGGCTAGTTGGCGTGCCCAGAGGATGTTGGCAAGCTTGCTTTGGTAGTAGCACTGGTAAAGACCAATTGACTCGCCGTCTGTCTTGAGGGTGTCATAGTTGATACCGCCTTTGTTTAGGTAGACGTGTCCATGAGATGCAAGAGAAACAACTCTTACGTCTGAACCGGGTATACGTGTTGTTTTATCGAGGAGCGGAATAAGCAGTTTGGCGAGCAACGCGTGACCCATATGATTCGTCCCAAACTGGATCTCATAACCGTCTGCAGTACGATCGAGAGGGACAAACATAGTGCCTGCGTTGAGCATCAAGATATCAAGCCTTTCGCATTCCGAGAGCACGATCCTCGCTGCTTCTTTGACAGAAGCGAATGAGCAAAGATCGAGAGGGAGGACTCTTATTGACGCGGATGGGATAGCGTGCTGGATATCTTGAGCTACGAGCTGTGCCTTTTGTAGGTTACGACCGCAGAGGTAGATGCGCGAGGGATTGTGGTGGGCGAATTGGAGGACAGATTCTTTGCCTAGACCGGCGGTGGCGCCGGTGACAAGGATGACTTTGCCTCCGAGGGAGGGCATGTCTTTGGGGTTGAAATTTTGGTCTTTGGACCAGAACATTGTGTTGAGAAGAGTGGGCAAGCAGGGGACTGATTGGAAAAATGAAAGTGACGGAAGACTTGGATTGAATGTAGTTGCTGATGAAGTTCAAGCAAAGATGCATAATACAGCAGAGGATGCCGTACCTATTTATACGAGATCTAGCCATATTATAGTTACATATCAATACGCTCTCTCAGCTGTCACCAGGATTCGAAACTAAATAAGAGGCTTAGACACCAGAGTCTACTCCTATATGGGATAATGGTACGGTCTTGGCGCGGCAGTCAATCTATTAATGCTTGTCACTAAAAGACTGAACTGAATTGCCGAGTGTCAGTCTGACGCTAAGCCACATTTGTGCTGAGCAGGATCCAATCAAGATCAAGAACCATCCTCTTAACCCTTTTGAGAAAATGGTACGGAAGAACTACGGGGAAATTTATACCTGGGAGTGCTTATTCTCAACATGGATGAAGACCGAATAGCTTCAGGAACAAAGCATGTGATTAGTGAAACCACCGACACCAGGAGGAGATTCGTCTTGACGACCCAGTTTATGCAATATGGCCACCTTTGTAATCACCACGTCTTCTGGAAAGCCTGACAGGGATACCATGAGAAAGATTCGCAGCCATGCGATGCGTGGAAGGAATACACGAGCGGACAGACTAGCTCGGGCCCAAGGACACACGAATCCCGATAAAAGACTGGTGCGTACTATGGAGACTGATAGGACTGCATCTTCTGGATTAGTACACTGTACTCGTTCAACGGCAGAACCATGTAATGGCCAGAAACCCGGCAAGGATCATCTGTCGACTATGAGCATCCCGCGAAAGCTGGCACCAGAACTGTTGTTACAGCGATCAGAACTTGAGATAAAGCCGTATATGCTTGAGTTAGTATATCAAGGTATGCTCAAGAAGTCCATATCAACGATCCAGAAACTAATGGCATGGTATCAGCTTTCACCACGTCGAAACCCTGCCGATACGCCATAGACATGAAAGTCGCTCACGAATGCGAGTCTCACATCTTCAGTCTCAGCGACATGCACACGCACCAAGTATCTCTTCACTCTATACTCTTCACATCATCAGCTTTCAAAGAAGTCTGTCAAGGTCTTGAGTTCAGCGTCCTCACGAGATATCATCTTGGCGAGACACTACGCTGTATACAACAGAGTCTCCAGGACAAAAGCACCGCAACGGTCATGGCGACGGTAGGAGCGATAGCTAATTTGGCGTCAGCGGCGTCGAGTTTTGGAGATGTTGAGACTGCGAGGAAACATATGGATGGGATATGTAGGATTTTTGAACTCCGTGGTGGGGTATCGCCTTTTGGAACTGCAGCGTTGGCAGAGATGAAGTGCCAGAGGTACGTGGTTCCGTTACTCAGAGTTATATATGACTGACGCGCATAGGATTGAGATCTGTCTATCAATGACAGAAGGGCGAAAGCCCCGCCTTCTTCCCGGCATCCAATCGTGCGATTCCTTCATACCAATATCTGCAATCCATCCCCCTCCAGAGTCCACATTTCTAAATCCTCGAAGCTTGACACCAGATCGGCGTCTACTTTCTATCTGGGCCGATTTGCAATACTACAGCAGGCTAGCCAACGAAGGCGCGCTTATCCCACCAGAGCTGTTCCTCTTTATAAGCACGACTCTTCCGAACAGGTTACTTCAGCTCTCATACGATGCCCAATCGACATCCGAGCTTATGAGGCTTTGTATGTTGGTGTACATAAAGAGCATTCTTTTTAGTCTTCCTGGGGTTGGGAAAAGAATGTCTTATTTATCGACTAATCTGGAACTTGCACTTCAGCAATACGTCCCATTGGATCAAGAACACTCGACTTTCTTGCTTTGGGCGTTGTCCATTGCTGGCAGTTGTATTTTCGAGGACTTTGACCGAGAGTGGCATCGTCGGGCTATTCACGAGAGTTGTGATATACTTGGTGTGAGCAGCTGGGTGCAATGCCGGGGGATGTTAAACAGCGTGCTGTGGATTGGTGATATACACGATCTGCTGGCGGAGGAAGGGTTTATAAAGGTCTTTTGCGCTACATAAACAACCCATAAAAGAATCAAGTCGATGTACTTCCACCCGAATTGACATGGAAATGGTGCAGTTTTCAGTTCAAGTGAGTCGCCTCATGTTAGAATGAGATGTAGGATGTTTTAGCCTGGAGCTTCAGAATCCTTGGTCTGCTTACGTGAGACGAATGATAGGATCGCTGGCATTTAGTGCTGACGCGCAAAGCTGACGGAGTTACTCTCTCATCTCCACCATTCCCCTTCAAGTAATTTTTATCTCCTCTCAAAACTACATTTAAACAAGCAAACAATCCCCTCCTTCACCATCAATCAAGAATCTCATCATGTCCTTCATCTACCTCAACCGCGCAACACACGTCGTCTCTCTCATCCCCGCCCTCTTCGGCATCAATCTCCTCACGCGGCCCGAAGCAACCCTTCAATCCTTCCAGTACCCTATCCCAACAGACTCTCAAGCTCAGAAGCTTGTTCGTGGCCTTGCACGTATCTACGGATGTCGAAATCTCGTTGTTAGCTTCTTGTTCTTCAATATCAGCCTCACTGGGGATAGGAAGCTTATGAGCTTCGGGTATCTTGGGGCGCTGGCTATGTGTGTTACTGATGGGCTTGTTGCGAGGAATGTAGTTGGACATGGGGAGTGGCAGCATTGGTCGTTTGCGCCGCTTTGTATTGGGCTGTTGATTGGGTTGAACTGGTGATTGGAAGCGAGTATCTTTGGACGTACCCAAAATGGACGATAGATCTACAGCTACTGGCTTCGAGACTGCTCGCAACATATTTATATCCTAAAGGATAATCTTTATACTCCTTAAAGTATCTGTTATTGCTTCACATAATAGAATACTTAAGGGCTTCTTGCACATGCATGTGATAAGATCAATTTCGCGTCTTGGACTTAAGTACCCAGGCCATGCAGTTCTGTCTCATGGATGCCAATCCATCGAGTCATTACTGCAAACTGCTCTTTCTTGTTCTATCCAGTCAAAATAATGTACTGCCCGAGCACAGTTCTTATAACCCAATACCCACCACGCCTTATTAGGCACAGCTTCTTGAGCACCTAGAACAACCCTAATCCTCCAGTAAATCCAATTCTTCGAGCCCCTGGTCCTCCTCAGGGATAGGATCAAAACGATCAAGGTACTCTCCCACTCGACTCTCATGCTCCTCCCAAGTCGCTTCGCCATCAGAAGTAATAGCGAATTCCTCTCCCAAGATGTCAGCTAGTCCTTCAACGCAGGCCTTTTCGTCATTTGGTAGATCCTCTACCCAGCTTAAGACAGTCTTCTCAAGGAAATGGATGTAGGCGGTCTCGTCTTCCCACTCAGTAGGATAATCTTTCTCTCCTTCGCGTTCTTCATACAGGTCCTGCAACATCCACATAAAGCTGTACTGGAGCTTGTCCACCTCCCAGTCTCTGGGCCCGTCAGGGTAGAAGAATACTATATCAGTAGCGAGAGTGGAAATTCTCCTGAAGAATTGCCTTGCACGGAGGGCTTTGACTGCGACTGAGCGATGGTCATGTGAACCAACGGGAGACTTCTCGGAGTCAGAAGCCTCGTCGTACCAATTTTCGGGGATGATGACTGGGAGCTTGGTGGTGCCAGACTTGTAGGTTGACTTTGCAGGGGATGATTGGGCTTGAATTGAGGTAGTATGGCTACTGCAGCCAGCTTTGACAGCTTTCACTGAAGGAATAAAACAAGACATTCTAGATGATAAAGTCGTGTATGAAGTGGAAGTAGACTGTAGTTTGACAAAAAGTGTAGTCCTGTTGGTAAGATGTGATATGATGATGTCGGAAAGAATTGTTCACGACTGATAGAACGAGGTTTTTATACGTATAAGTTATTCGAACTATCTTTTACCTCGTAGATATTTGTTCATCTCTACAGGCTGTGTGTTCTCACAGAACTGCCACTCATTTAGGTATTGTTCTGATTTCTCACAATGAAGATAACGAGTTGGGTTGAACAAGGCTGACTAGGTACGTGTTCTTGCGACCAGAGTACTATGACTATTATCACAAGACAGAAGAACAAACTTCAACTCCTTTGTATTGGGCTGTTGGTTGGATTGAACTGGTGAACGATGTTGAGTATGCGATAGACTTTCCACACTAATTACATGGATATTGGCTCAGAGATGGTTTAGAATGTCCATATGTCAAGATAAACAATCCGTGGTCTTGTTACAAACCTCGTTTTACAAATAATCATACACTGGTCAAATACAGATGATGTTCTACTAGCTTTCTATAAGTGCAGTAATAAGATCAATTTATCTCCCTGCGCTATTGGTAACCATGAAACATAACCACTTGTTATGTATCTTTATTCTCTAGATCTATCGCTGCAAATCACTCCTTCTTACTCTACCAAGTGAACTTCCGTCAGCTCCAATTCCTCGAGTCCCTGGTCTTCCTCAGGGACAGGGGCCATATTGTCATCAACGAACTTCTTCACGCGGTCAAGATGTTCCTTGACAACAGCCTCGCTACTAAGATCAATGGCAAAGGACTCTCCCAAGATCGCAGCAAATTCTTCAAGGATGACTCTATTGTCATCTGCAATATCCTCCGCCCAGGATGCGGCAGTCTCCTCCAAAAAAGAAGCGAAAACGGCCTCATCCTCCCATTCAGCAGGCCAGCCTTTCTCTCCTTCGACTCCCTTGTATACCATGCTCAACATGCATAGAAGACTCCATTGAATCTTTACTGATTCCCAGTTGATGCTGAAGCCGCCTTTGTAGTCTTTATCGAAAGTACGAAACTTCCTCTCAAATTGTCGTGCGCGTAGGGCTTTGACTGCAATTGAAGGACGCTCAGAAGAGGTAACATCCTCGTCCTCGGGCATTTCGGAGGAGCTATCATCCTGATCCTCAGGAATTTCGGAGGAGATATCATCTTGACCCTCGGGGATCATCAGTGTTAGTTGGGGTCTGCCGGATTTGTTGGTGCCAGCCTTGCAGGTCGACTCTGTATGAGAAGATTGTGTCTGAAGCAAGGGAGTAAGGCTGGGATCAGTGTCAGAGCCAGGGATTGAGGTAGTGAATGAAGGCATTTTTTGGTAAGGGATCAGATAGAAGTTGTTTATGCGGTGGAAGATGATTGTTATTCAAAGTGTTGTTAATGAGATGGGAGGTGATGGTGTTGGGAAGAATAGTTTATGGCGACAGGATGAAGTATTTATATCAAATGGCTCCATGTAATTGACTTTAATAGTTGCTGAACAATGGGTTTATTCATTTCTCTGGCTTGTGCATACCAATGGAAATACGTAATTGTTCGAACAATGTTCTGACGATCTTCTAACGTGGATGACCTGTTAAACCTCTATGTTATTGAGTCGGGCTCTCTAGACATAGGCAGTCTAAATTATAGCATGCCGTAACTAAAAGAATTAGATATTTCTCTGTTATCTCTACTTAATGAAAAGCTGAACGTGAGCTGCCACGCTCTACCACTGTTGTTTCGGTATGAATAAGGCTTAGGGTAGCGCAGTTAACACTAGCGAGTATGAGACACGCTAGGCGATTCAGGGCCCAGTTGAAACATGTCCCCTGTGGCTTAGTTGGCTAAAGCGTCCGACTGTTATTAGTAGACAATCGGGAGATCGGAAGTTCGAGCCTTCCCGGGGGAGGTTGAGTTCATTTCTCTTTTTGCTCTTGTTAGCTATTTATTTTCTTGGTGCTTGACATCTAAATATTCTTATTACTATATAGTTCCTAATTAAATTCTTTATTTAAAGTGCCTTAAACCGTTAAATAATATTTATAAGTTTATTATCTCTTATATATAATAATAGCATTTAGTTATAACCTTTAGATTGATATTGGCCCTATTTTAAAGTAATAACTCTTTTATAGTTAATATTCTAGACTATTTTCTGCTATACTGGCCTTATTGCTTGACTTTTGCGCTTGAGTTAATTTTATCAACACGCCAAGCAGGCGGGGTACAATTAGAGTAATACCTCAAATTGATATGGACAGAAAGACAGTTTGCGTACCCTAAGTCCTTTTTTAGCATCTGGATAACCAACTTGACCCATAAAAAAGCCCTGTTTGCCTTGATGGGAATGTCGTTTTTTAGTGCATCCGAATTTACCTTCCTCTTCTTTGTTTTGGGCTTGCTGTGTTTGCAGGCTTTAGGTCATGTTCATGCTTAGGTTTGATGTTCCAAAATCAGGTCTGGACCCTCCTATTCTGTCCACAATGAGCCCACTCGCAGCTCTGGGAGAATCCCCTCTTACTCTACCTTTAGTCCGGGCTGGCTCAAGCCAGATTGCGGGGTAAAAAGCCGACAACCGCTTACCCGAAGTCACATGACTAAAGCTTCAGTGAAATCATCGTGACCATCGGCAATGCTTTTAGTCTTTCACTTCCGTCCTACAATATACTATACTATAGCTAGCATAGAGTACCACTGATATCAATCGCACTTTAATAAGATCAACCACACGCCCTCCCACCTAAGCAATGGCAGCTCGCCCAACATGGATCAAGGCTGGGAGACTATCTCGGAGCTTCTTGCCCTACAGGGGCATCAAATATCTGTCAACTTCCGTACCAAGGCATCAGAACTACGACGCCACCATTGCCAACTTGAACATTGACAAGGATACTAGGGTGATCTATCAAGGTAAGGACTCATTTCGCCTGACAGATAACTTAGGACTGACCGTCGACCTGCAGGGTTTACTGGTAAAGCCGTACGTATTCTAGACCTTGTTCCACCAACCCTTAGGTAACCGACTGAGATAATATGAAAGGCAACTCTCAATGCCAAAGATACAATTGAATATGGCACCAATGTCGTTGGTGGTGTATCTCCAGGCAAAGGTGGCCAAGAGCATTTAGGTCTTCCTGTATTTAACACAGTCAGAGAGGTAAGTCATCCACGCTGCACTCTTCAGATATTTTCGAGGAGCCAAATTCGTTAACAATTTGTATAGGCCGTGAAGGAGGTGAAACCCCATGCGACATCAGTGTTCGTACCCGCGCAATTCGCTGCTGCTGCTATCATTGAAGCCATAGAGGCAGAAGTCCCTCTTGTCGTGACCGTGGCTGAGCATATACCCGTACATGACATGATGCGCGTCCACGACGTGCTCAAAACTCAATCTGTAACCCGACTCGTCGGTCCGAACTGCCCCGGTATCATTGCTCCCGAGCAGTGCCGTATTGGGATTATGCCTCATAAGCAGTACAAGAGGGGCCCTATCGGCATAGTCTCTAAGAGCGGAACCCTAAGTTACGAAGCTGTGGGCTCAACATCGAAAGCTGGATTGGGTCAAAGCCTCGTTGTTGGTATGGGAGGAGATATGATGCCTGGTAGGTCTCGTCTCATAATCATCAGAGAGAACTTAGCTCTTGATTCTACCATCGTGAACCAGGTTTCTGGCGAGAAGACTCTGCTTACATTCGGACTATAGGAACAACACTTGTGGATGCCCTGAAGCTGTTCTTTGATCACCCAGAAACAGAGGGCATTGTTGTCATCGGGGAGATTGGTGGGGAGGCAGAACTCAGAGCTGCTGAAGCCATCAAGGAATACAGGAGAATCACGAGGAATCCAAAGCCAATCATAGCCATGGTCGCTGGTAAGACAGCCCCGGAAGGTCGAACCATGGGTCACGCCGGTGCACTTCTGCAATCAGGAGATATATCCGCTGAAGCCAAAGCGAAGGCTTTGGCAGATAGCGGCGCGGTGGTGGTACCACATCCTGGGGTCATGGGACATGTTATGAAGGACCTACTTTCGTCACATACTCACAGAATCCGTAAAGGATTCGGCCCATTAAGTCCCGAGGTATCCTTCTCGAACCCCACATCGGAGCTGCGAGAGTAAGACTAGTATTATACAAGCTGATTTGTAATCTGCAAGTTCTAAGCGGTTGGAATAGTTGGTTTACGCCGGACCTGGCTTTAGGTCTTGGTATTCAGCTGCCAGAGTGGAAATGTTGCTAGACAAAGTATGGGTATGAAGTAATCACATGAATGATATATATACTGATAATGGGAAGTAATCTTCAAGAACTGGGTTGAGTGCTTCGATAAAAGAGCAAAATATAATCTAAGTATATAAAAGAAGGCCAAGTTATGAGGCCTTGGAAAGCTGGACGGCCTTCCTTGCTGCCTCTCCAAATTCAGACTCAACATGGAATCCGAGGTCGGCTTCTTCGAGCTATCAGAATATTAGCAATGAACCTGCAAGCAGATGATTCGGACGAACAATTTTCAATCCCTCAGCTGAATTGGTCCCCTGCAGCCGGACAACGAGCGGCACACGCATTGAACCGAGCTCTTTGGTGGCGCCAATAATCGACTCAGCGATCATATCGCATTTAATAATGCCTGGAACACGTCAGTCTGCACAGATATAGCATCGAGATATAGTATATCTCCCTTACCCCCATAGATATTAACGAGGATGACCTTAACCCGATTATCTCGAAGAATAATCTCAAATGCCTTTTGCATGGTGTCTTTGGTGGCTTGACCTCCTGCATCAAGAAAGTTCGCACTTGCACCGCCATGATGGGCAATAGCATCATTAGTAGCCATGGCAAGACCTGCACCATTCACTACATTGCCGATATTCCCTTCCATCTTGATATATACCAACCCGTACTTCTGTGCCTCGATCTCCTCGGGAATTTCTGCTTGGATATCTCGCTCGGCAAACAGTTCGGGCTGCCGTCGCTGCGAAGCATCGTCAATCATGAATTTGGCATCAAGGCACTTGAAGTTAGCTTCGCCTGTGCGCGCGAGAGGGTTGATCTCCAGAAGCGTGGCGTCTTTGCTCACGAACAGGTCCCAAAGACGCGTCAGTATAGCTCCGAGCTTTTCTGCCTCGGCAGGGCTTGCACCGACACCTGTACCGAGACGTTTAAGAAGATCTGGTGTGATGCCTTCGGCATAGTCAAAGTGGAAGCTTCTCAAACTACCGCCCTCGCCCTTAGCCGTATCTTCAATGTCGACACCACCACTTCTTGAGATGAGCACAACTGGGGAGTACCGTTCGCGATCGAGGGCTATGGCAAGATACCACTCCTCGTCGCATTCTTCGAACTCTGCGACCAGCACCTTTTCGACAAGGATACCGTCTCCTGAAGTCTGCTTGGTTCTGAGGCGATGTCCTAGCATTTGAGAGGATATATGCTCCCCTTCTTCCGGGAGCTTTGCGATTTTGACACCGCCGCGGAATCCATTATCGAATGTTCCCTTGCCTCTACCGCCTTTGAGAATTTGAGATTTGATGACGCATTTTCCACCTGCAAGACAGGAAGTCAGCATGCTAGATTGATGGGTAAGAAAGGAGATAACTCTACCATATTGACGCATGATCTCCGGCACCTCGGCAGCCGTCGTAGCTACCTTTCCATTCTGCACTGGGATGCCGAACTTAAGTAGATCAGCCTCGTTATCGTACTCCTTTCTAGTCGTAAACTTACCTCTCTCAAAAGCTGTTTAGATTGATGCTCTTGCAGACTAAGACCTCGGCGCTGATATTTCGTAGGGAACTGAGCAAGGTCAGCGAATTACAGAATACCTACATCATCGCCATGGATTCTCACTTTGGGCTGCCAAAGCTTTCGTGCGATGTGTCGTGCTGCCATTGTGAGAGGATATTAGTAAATTGGTTCCGCGAGCGACACGAATGGCATAACAGGAAGTAAATTTGCAGAAGTTTATGCTTCAAGAGGTTCAAGTCGCCATTACTCATGAATGACGCGGACGGATGGAAGTCCCATGGCTTGCAACCCCTCCAACAATCAAGTAGCCTATCGGCTATACCGGCTTCTTGGCTGCTTACCCCGCAAACTCAAAACTAGGCTTTAGAATTAGATAGCCGACTATCACTTCAGTAGAAAGATAACAGTTCAAGTCTAGGTACTTGCTAACATTAGATAGACAGATGAGCATATCAATCAAGACATATCAACACCGGTGCTCCACTCTCATAATCGCGTTTTGGCCATCGCATTCGCCGACCAGTCCTGTTGGAACTCGATTGTTTAAAAGTATCAGGTGTTTCCGAGAGTAGGTACAAATGAGGTGATTTCTGTGCCGTCAGCGGCCTATGTTTTATGCTTGCTTGTAAATACGTTCTTCGAGCTTATTCGTGCCGCAATAAGGTTTAGAACCAGAGGCACCAAAGGTCGAGTCTAGTGAGGGAGAGTAGGAGTGAGATGTAAGGATAAAGATTAGCCAGTCAGAAATTGATCGTGTATATTTGCCTCTTCCTCGCCGACTTCTTAATACCAGCTACTTGGAGTGAATAGAAACATCAGATTTACCGACCCTTTTCCCATCAATAAAGACACCAAACTCTACAGCCGCACCGGAAGGAACCATTCTAACCTCAAAGTCTAGCGCCTTGAAAGTCTCCCCGCTAGCATTCTTACAGTCCCTCAGCTTAGAGAGTGTTTTATTGGTCTTGCAATCGATAGTCGCGAATCGCTTCACGCTCTGTTCAATGCGAGAGGGGGGTTGGTCATCCTCGCGCTGGAAGAGCTCTATGTCCCATTCGCCATTGAACTGGCCGTTGTAGAGCCTGTAGAAGCTTTGCGAGATGGGTTCCTTTGTAGATACATTCTCTCCCTAGACGCGCGGTAAGTACATGAGTTCGGTATGGGAAAGAGTCGAACTTACTCTGACTAAATACCACTGCATTTGGTTATGCGCTTTGTAACGTTTCTCGAGCTCACACCAGTTCTTATCCTTCACGAGGTGCTGGCCCTCTATGAAAGGCGTTGAGTATTCGTGACCATAGCTAGCTCTTGATATTGTAGAGGTGACACGAATAGGTAAGCGTATATTGTCAAGGGATCCATCAGCATTGATACCTGAAGCGGCACCATCATGGAAGCCTTTGTAAACAGCTCCCCGACAGATAGCTGTGCGCCTATGTGTCCATTAGTATGAACTTAAAATGGCCCAAGAAGAAGTACTCACGGCCTCATTCCAGTTGACTGGAGTATCTTGATACCTGCTTGTTCGTGCCGTTTTTTCAGATGATCGTAAAGATATGGGCTGGAGCACAAGCCTCCTACAAGGATGATTCCCTAAGCATGAGCAGTGTCAGAATAAACCGAAACAGATGGAGGAGGGACCACTGACACTGAGAGGCTGTCCCTAATCCCGGGACTTTAGTACTTGAGCGTCAATGAGCTTGTCAATGTCATCGAGAACTTGACTAAACGCCTTCTTGATGTGAGACCTGCAATCGTTGTTAGACGCGCCCAGGACCTTTCCCCGGAATAGGTGACTAACTCGCTGAAGTGGATGCGACCATTCTTGATGTAGGGCTCCTTTGCTGTATCGGTGAGCTTCTTTTCCTTGCCGAACGCTTCTGCTGGAACAGAAACTAGATATTCCTTGCTAGAATTTGTTGGTTTGAACTGTGGTTTGATTGAGAGCTCCCACTCCCCCTTGAGGAGTTCTTTGATGCCAGCTCGACTGAGCCGGTCCCATCGACGTCCTAGGCGGTTTTTAATCATATATTCAAAAGCTTCGTCGATGAAGATACCACCGCAGAGGCCCCCTATAGGATATTAGCTTAGCAGTACACTTGCCGCAATCGAACTGACCAGATCCTTCAACGGCTTCATCCATAAGAATGGGGTTGACTGAACCAACCTTGTAGGTTATCAAGTCCTAAGGTTGACTAGTTCGAAGGTGATACTGTGCTATAATAAGTGATGACCTACAACTGTACCGCCACCTGCATCGCATACGAGGTAAACCTCGCCAGGCTTCGTCCCTCGTCCGGGCTCGCAAAGAGTGGAAAGCGCAGCTGCTTCCGGCTCCGGCGCAAATGTTAATTTGGTCTCACCAGCATTTCGTCGATCCAGGATCCCTGCCTTCTTTGCTGCCTCTGTCATATCCTGCCTTGCATAGTCTTTCCAAATAGCAGGAACAGTGATGACAACATGAAATTGGAGCGCCTCAACAACAGATCCACGATCCTTGTTGATAGTCTCAAGCGTATGATTCCAGATCATTCGTAGGTAGTCAGAGATGAGGTCGATGGCGGTCTTGTCGTTCTCTCGCATCATCTTTCGTGCTCGCAAGAAAAATTCGGAAGATCGCAGCTCTGGGGATAGGTGTTCCTCCTTCAAGAGAAGGAGCTTAAACCACTTGATGGCGTCGATATCACTGTCAATTTCGAATCCCCAGCTGATCTTGTCATCCTCATAGTACAACTCGGTAGGGGCCTTACCCTCCTCACGGCCTGATCCTGGCCATGAAGTGATCAAGTTGATATGCTGACTTTCAAAATCAGCCTGGCTAGCCCATGCTACACCGGAGTAGCTAATTATCCACAATCAGTAGAAATATTCGTAGGGTAGGGAAGATTTGGCAGTTGCTCACGTAGTTCCAAAGTCGATACCAATGACCAGGATGTCATCGTCCTCCCCAAAATCGGACTCCGAATAGCCGCTTGCCATTTTCAAAGTCTAAGGTAAAGAATTTGGTATTGTGTAGTTGAATTTTCTTGGGGTTTGCGATGACGATCTGCAATTGATTGGTGCCTGAGAATTGAACAGAAAACGTAAATTCTTTTATACAATCAACGTGGAGAAGTTGGTAGTACGCCCAAGCTTCAGTAGCCGCCAGCCTGATTTCTGAAGAGTCATCAGCATGCCGGTCGAAAATCAGGCTGTGAATCTAGCCCGCGCAAAACCGACTTTGATGTGATAATCGTGGAGGCGATGCATGACGCTGAAAGTAGGCCCATGCGCGCGGCCATAACCATTTCACTATCCAATCGCGTGCTAAAATCTTTTTATGGCTCCCAGATGTTCTAGACTGCGGCCAAGAAGCTGAACTCTGTGAACCGAAATATCATGATACGGGTTTCACCACCAAATGTGATAGGCGATGTGGCGTGTCACCAGTCGACGCCCAAATCACAAACCACTATGCCACTCGGCTGACTGCACCATTCTAATTATAACGAACAGCTTGGCCCAATTATTTGTGTAGGAATAGGCGCCCTACCTGAGAGAATCCCGAGCCTGATTATCAGTGCACCGGCTCGCAAAGCGGCTAGAATTGTCACATAACTCTTGAGTCTGGGTCCAAAGCAGCTTGTCTTCGATTACCGACATGCGGCATGTTCCTTGCCTGAACTACTATTTTAAGTCTGATTTTTGTGCACATTTGGACTTTTGCAACCTTATACTCTATTATCAGGAATTTTAACCTCTCTCAGTTCATATGAAAGGTACAATGGTAAGATTAATGTCAAATATATCGATATGCCTGGAGTCTTACTTTGATGCTAGGAAGCTTTCAAACCTAACTACGGTAGCCCGGAATTGGTGGATCTACAAAGTCCCGATACTGAGCCTCAGTCAAAACAAGGCTATCCACCAGGTGAGCTGATGGATATCGATGACTGCCAGGAGCAACAACGCCAAACTCCCAATGAGAGTGCTCCACAGGCCGAGCTTTCAGATCTCAAGACGCAGCTGCAAGAGAAAACCCAGAAGCTTGAAGAACTACAGGAACAGTGTGACATAATGAGCAAAGATGCCATCAAGAACAGTCAAATGCTCAAAGAGTCACAGGAAAAATGTGGCACGATCAGCCAAGAGGTCACCAAGAAAGACCAGGATGTTATAAAGTTTCGTAAACTCTGGAAGAAGGCCGCCACGGAGCATGATAAGTTCCGAGCCAGTGGACAGGGGTTCTACCAGATTACGGACGAGTATCTGGTGGAGCTAATCAATCATCTCAGACTCAACATCCGAGACCTTTCGATCCAGTACTTCGACGGTATCGTTTGGAAAGGGGATCGATTTATCTTCTATGAGCCGGGTTATTTCTACCACCTGAACAATACTACTCTAGAGAGCAAAGGATTCATGCGATATCTCGAATCAAGTACAACATCTCATGAAGTCGTTCAAGGGTTTCTTTGGACAGTCATCGTCCATGAAATATTTGACAAGTTTGAGTGGCTTGGTTCAGACACCTGTTATGACTTTCGACACCTCAGGCATGGACTAAAGCCTCGTAAGTCCGTATATCACCCAGTCCAGATTGAATTCTCATCTTAGTATCATAGTGTTACTTGTCAATACTCAGGGAGGGCCACCACTGCCAAATCACGAAGCTGAGAGAAAGTTCCATAGCTGGAGTTCGACTACCATATCAATGTTGAGAAGTCCAACAACTACATGAAGGATAGGACCGAGTATCATGTAAAGCGGATCATCAACACGATTGGACGCAATCTTCTTAAAAAGGATAAGGAGAGGGGCTTCAAAAACCAACTGTCAGCGATTATTACCGAAGCATTCGCCTTGGACAAGGAGATTAGTCGCCAAGTTGCGCGTGTGATTTGGAGATTCAATGTTTCTCAACAAGAAGAAAACGTTGGTCACCCCGATGCCGCCCCCAGCAACCCAGGTCTGGTTATGGCCCCAGCTGTTTTTAAAAGGGGCAAGTCTACAGGTGAAGGATTTGATCACGAGACAAAGCTGCTGGATATAGTAGAAGGTAGTAAGTAATTATCTTGTATTCATTAGATATGTATTGCATGCAGAAAGAGATTGGAACAGATGCTGCGGCTACCTTGGAACTAGACAGGATTTAACACAGGGCAATATCGCAGCGATACACCCCTCTAAGAACTGGATTTACGATTGAAAAAAATCTTCATTGATGTACAGATATAGCCTGGCTGGCTGTCAAGCAGCGGTCAGAACTTGAGTGGATGGAGCTGGTCGAGAGTGCTGGATTGAGGGTACTCAAGATCTGGAGATATTTGCAGTCTGTAGAAAGCATTATTGTAGCAGATCTTTCTTAGCATAGATGCCAGATAGGTTATGAAATTGTTTGAAGTTAATATCTGTTGTATTTATATTCCTGAGGAAAATTGAAGGTATCATTCTATCTCTATAAATATCTCCACAATTAGTTGTATCAGCCGTTTCTATCAATCTCATACAGACCTATATCACTCTGCCTAGCTGAGATTGTCCGTGATGGTAGACTAAGGTCTCGAGAACCTTGTTCCGTTAGCATATTCGCGCCTTCTTCAGTATTGTAGCTTGGCATTGTGTTGTTTGTCGAGGCTCTTTTATCCACAGTACTGATGATACGAAGAGTGCGTAACGGTCGATTCGAGATTTGGTTTGGCGTTCGACGGTAGACACGCAAAACCAGTATGCGCATGACGGGAATGGAAGCTGCCATAATGGTGACTGCGCACTCAGTAGTACTTCATATGATGATGCCAACTCGGTCCACTGCGAGATATATCAGCGCTTAGCAACCGGAAAGTGATGGCCAATATCGCGACTGACGAGTTCGATTCTTGCTGCTCAGGCCAAGCATCTTGTAGCATTTCGCAGCAGCAGCGGCGGCGGCACTGGAGTATTGTTAGTGTGTAAATATGGGAAGATCCTGGAGAGACTGACAAGACGCCAAAGGTCAAAGCAATCCCAACGCCGATTTTCTCTCGGATCCGCATAGAGAGTTTCCAAATGATCGTCCAGGCAATGACACAGAGTATAAGGTCAACTAAGCCTGAGAAAGCTACCTACAATTAATACGACGCATTCCAAGGCAAGACAAAGACTTACCCCCAGCAAAGATATTATAGTATGTTGCAACCATAGGATTCCAACACGTTCCAGGCAAACTTGAATGCCAGACCTTTCTGGCGGGTGTACACTTCACAAACGAGAAGACAATGACCAAGTCCATGGCGATATTCGTCGCGATGATGAGAAACCATAGAAACCAGCTCGTCCAGCCATCAACCAGTCGTAATAGTGTCAGGGCGAATGACGTTTTGCTCCATGCTGCAGATAGAACTCCGAAGATGCCGAATATTGTTCCAGTAAGGGCAATTTTCGGTACGACTGCTGGATCAACGTCTGACTGGTCCTTGCCAAAACCGAGGGTGACGTTAAAAATGACGAGGCCAGTGCCAATCACGAGGCAGATCTGATAAGACACATGATGTTAGCTGAAGTATGCGACGGATTCGAATACGGTGAAGCGCCCTAGACGGATGGTAGGTGTTCTAATCGCGTTGCTACGACATCTCACAGATCACAGAGATTGGATGGCTGGTACTCACCCATGCCGCAATCAAGATATAATCATCCCACCAAAACCCGCGACGCCTGATTACTTTGCAATACAACCTAAGACCCAAAAACAAACCCGCCAAAACAGTCAGCGACACACAAACCGCGATTATCGTTGCGCCGAGACCCGTAGGCGACGTCATCAGGGAGTGGGACGCATTCGCTGCCTCCCAGGGTAATTTCTTCACGACATGGGAATGGGGTAAAAAGAAGGTGAATGTTGGAAGAAAGGGAGGGCGAGGAATTGAGATGAAGTGTCATCTGTACAGTACGAGAGGTCCGAGCCCCTTTTGCTTTTTTGCGTGCGCCGCCCGGAAACAGGCGGACCAACGGATTTAATGATCAGCGGCACTTCTGTTGGGCGGGGCATTTGGTGGCTTATGGCGCTCGGTAGTGCAGTTCGTCACGTATGCTCAACAGTTGTTACCGCTGAGCGTGTTTAATTGCCGGTCCAGGTTGTCAGATTACGTCAGGTCCCGAACCTCCCTTGAACAACAATAAATTCTTTCACCCATACACATTCTCAGATGAAGGAACATGCAATAGACCGCACGTAGAGCTGAAATTGCTAGACATTTGAGAACAGCCCGTCTCACGGGCGACGATGTCTCACTGGGCACGAGTCATTCACAGTGCATTGCAGCCACTGTCACGTAGCCAACTTTGGCCATAAACTCAAACTCAAGCCTGCCTATCAGCAACCCTCTGAATGTCGGTTGGTGGTCTCTGTATCAAACAGCATCCACGATTGACTCCACAAGCTTATCGTCGCGGCTCACTCCCTATTCCCGTTGAGATTTACTATTACTAAAGAGCGATGCAGCGGGCTACTCGACCATGTATTTTTACCTCTCGTTAGTTGATTTCGTCATTTCGCAATGATCGCCCTGTTGATGTGACTGCGCATGTCCAATAGCACCATGCGACAACTTCCTCAATTTAACATCTATTCAGCCATCTATAGCCACAGGTCATCCAGAATAGCCCCATTACCATCCTTCCTCCCAGATATACCATGTCCTAAACTGCGTGTCAACACCTGACCCAGCAAATGCCTTTTGAAACTCCTCCCTGCGCACATCCATTTCCGACGACAGTTTCGCCAGTTGCTCATTATCACAATCATCATCCCAGCTGTTACTCCCGGGCATTGTATATCGAATAGGAGCATCAAGCTGAACCCTCCTCAGGCTCGGAAAGTCCCCAGCAACAGTTTGTTGGCCTAGATACGTGATATCATCCAGAATGTCGTACCTCAACGATCGATTGAAGAAGATGATCAGACTTTGAACTGTCTGCGGGAGGAAATCGACCAGGTATGTTTCTTGTTCAAAGATTATTTCCTCTCCGTTCCGTCGGACCACGTGGCTGTAGTAGCATGAGTGATCCATTTCGAGAGTATTTATATTTGTCAACTGCTTGATCTGCTGGGGCGTGATGGGGTCAGGTTGCCCAAGGTTACGCTGACTGGGCACCATCTTGCAGTCAAAGTTCAGACTGAGGCGCTGCAGCGACTGTTGTGTTCGTGTGCTGAGAAACTCAATTAACTGTGCTGGCGAGATTTGAGAGCGAGCCTGAGTATGCCAACGGCTATAGCCATCATTGACAAATTTGAAAGTCTTGAGATTCTGAGCTGCTCCGAGAATTCGCTCAAGTGCACGAGTTTGCCAATTACCTGTGAAGAATGGCAAACCCAGGATCTGGAGCTCTGTAATATTCGTCACACCAGCGCAGAATTCCTGGATGCCCGGGTCGCTATTCTGATTAGCGTGTCTCTCGCCCCCAGGACCTTGGAGGATCAGTGTCTGGAGATGGGGTGCACCACGCAGAAGAAGGATTGGCTCAGGATCACAAAGGCTGAACTTGATGCATTGAGTCTTGTCGATATCAAGATATCGCAGCTTCGGGAAGATTTCTTCATGCTTAGAGCTGTCCAACAAGGAGTACAGAAGTTCGAAATGCCTCGTATGCCCAATAATCTGATCGTCTGAGATCTGTATCTTCAAGCGTTCTATGTCAGAGCATAACGCCATGGCGAGACACATTTCGGCGTCGACAATGGTGGATTGCGTCGCTGTAATCAATTCGTAACTTAGCGATAGCCTATCAGCATATCGCGTCAAGAGAACAGAATCCTTCATTACAGATGAGTTCTTGGATGTCGATAGCGGCAAGCATAAATGCTTCACCATATGCGCCAAGTCTGGATGGCAATCGAGTACTCGAAATAAATATGTCGACGAAAGATGAGGACCGAGACTATGGAACAGAATTGGCAACGCAATTGAACGAAAGCCTCTGCTAGTTTGAGTCAAAGCCAATAAGGCTTTGGTGTTTCCTGCATTGTCTTCATCTTCAGTGTCGTGGCTGCAATGAGAGCAGAACCAGGAGAGGATATCACTGAGAAGCTCAGGAGGTAGAATCTCAGTGATTTTCGGTCTGGCGTCACGACCTGTATCCATAACGAGGTTCGATGGCATGAAGTGCTAAGAAAGAGATGTGTTCACAAAGGCGGGGTTGCAGCCTGATTATACATTGACATTCTAGGCAGCAATCCTGCACCACGAAGGCATAACCCGCTATTAGTAAGATGCCAAGCAGATGTCTGTAAGAGCCTTAAAATATAATAAAAGTCTTAATTATAAAAAAGGTACTTATAGTACATAAATAACAACCATCTTGAGAGGATAAATGTATCAAGATAAAGAGTTTATTAGGCCTGATTCATTGCTTCTTGCATCACTATAGCTTAGCTACAACTTTAGAGTCTCTGACTACTATGTTCCCACTAGTACTGGAAGCCGGATCTTGTAGCTTGCGCCTTAAGATCTTACCAGCCGGGCTCTTTGGTATTATAGACACAAGCTCAATCTCCTTAAGCCACTTGTGTCGCGTCTTTTCCTTCCTAACATACTCGAATATCTCGTTTGCAGCTTCAACTGGTGATAAGACTTGAGGGGACTTGAGAACGACAAACGCCTTGGGCCTTTCACCTGCCCGCTCATCGAGAACACCGCACACGGCAACATCATCGACGTGAGGATGTCCAAGAAGAAGGCCCTCGAGCTCTGCTGGAGCAACCCCAATGCCTTTAACCTTGATTATCTCCTTCAACCTGTCAGTGATTGCCAGCATACCGTTATGATCGAAGTAGCCTATATCACCGGTATGCAAGAAGCCATCCCTGTCGAATGTGCTTTTGGTTGCCTCGGGGTTACCAAGATAACCCATGGCGATTTGTGGCCCACGAGCCCAAATCTCACCTGCCTTGCCGACTTCACAGTCCTCACCAGTATCGATATCTACAATTCGTACCTCTGTTGATCCTACCAGCATACCGACGCGATGGGCATACTCATAAGCATACTTGGAAGGAGGATGCGCTGCAATCGTTGAGCACGACTCGGTCATACCGTAGCCCTGCTTGAAACCGGTCCCGGGGAAAGTCTTCTCAAGAAGACTCAGAATCTCTTGAGACAGAGGGGCTGCGCCAGATGAGAATCGTTCAACATGAGATAGATCGTATTTTGACACAAGCTCCGGTTCTCGGACTAGTCTGATCAATATCGGAGGAACGATGATGAGTTCTCTGATCTTGTTCTCAGAGGCAGCCTTGAGTAGTGAGTCCAGGATGAACTTGGGTAAGACGTAGACATTGGCGTTTAGGTGGATGGGCAGGTGTAGTTGATGTGTAATACCCGAAATGTGATGAAATGGTAAGGCTGCCAGAATTTGATTGTGATTAGGGAGCGTGATATCCGCGGTTTGGATGCATTGGGCGACAATGTTGGCGTGTGAGATCATGACTGCCTTTGGAAGGCCGGTAGTACCGCTGCTGAAGCAGAGAAAAGCACAAATATCACGGTTTGACTTTCCGTCCACGATTTGGAAGGCAGGTGCCTCAACTAGAGTGTTTGAGCTTTTGAGTATCTGTTGGATGCTTGTGACGCCTGGCCTGGAACCCTCAAGCAACAAGACATTCTCTGGCGCAATCCCGGCCTTTTTGACTGCAGCGCTGGCTATTTCAAAATTATCAACTGTCGCAAAGATGACTTTAGCTTTGCTAGTTTTGAGGCTGTAATAACACTCATCAACGGTGTACTCGGGTGATATGCCGCATGCTATTGCTCCAACTCGAATGGCCGCAAGTGTCGCCACAGGGTACCAAACGGAATTCTTTGCAAACACAACAACAGTGTCATTTTGGCGGAGGTTATAGTTGGTAACAAGAGCAGATGATAAAGTTGTTGCGTAGTCTTTGAGAGATTGGAAGCTGATGTGCTCTTTGGTGAGAGCATCAGTGAAGCCTGGGGCATTGCTATCAGAAGAGAAAGGCTTGGACTCCAGAAGCCATGACCAAAGGGTCTGCTTGGGAGAGACTGCACTGATGTTAGTGCTAGCCAGGCGAGAATGAGGAAAATAATTTACATGAGATCTTGGGATTCTGCGACTGGTAGATCATAATGCTTGGCTAGATCTTGAACTGGTGTTGTATTTCTGAGTGAGTAACAAAAGGCATGTACATATACTAGTTTAAGAAGATTAAATCTACCGGTGAATGAAAAATAAGATGTCAGTGTCTGAGAGCCGAGGTTGTTGTGGTGAAGCTACTTCAGAGTGTCAATCCCTCGGCGCCTCGGCGCGGCATGTATGATGTCGATTTGGTCTAGTGTTAGAACGTCAGTGTGTAGGTTAAGTAAGCTGTATAAAATTGCTAACTATATATGTTAATTAAGTAAAGTTATATACTAAAAGTCTTTAAACATTTTACTTATATAATATATATTCTATAGTACTCTATATATTATCTATTTATAAGTAAATAATTTCGTATTTCGATTTGCTTTGGTAGATTATCTTTTGTAGTTTAGGATGAACGTAAAAGCCTAGATGCCTAAGCAATGGCCATCCGGTATGGCTGACTCAATTAATTGCGTTTGTGCATCGCCTTGCTGTAATAGCTCAAAGAATTCCATAAATTCCTGGTTGCAACATCTTCCTTCTTCTAAGAGAAAACCCATAATGACATCCTTATTTAAGACCAGAGTCTCTTGGTGCGCGATAACATTGACATCTCTTAATTCCAACAATGCTAAACCGACGTCTGCACCCTTAGTTTGAACTTACCTAGGATATCTTCCTGGTATTCGTGCTTCGATCGATGTATAACTATCCTGCCTAATAAGCTAATGTTATAGCATACTAACTCATCCTTTGAAGTATTTGTAGAGTTCGTATCTCTACTTAACAACCCATGTTGTGTTGGAATCTTTGCTCAACACTGCTCTTATCGTCTTCATCGGAATTGGCCAGACCATCTTCAAAGTCGCTGCATATTTCCGTACGTCGCAGTGACTGCCCTGGATGCCCGTCTATATCCAGAATCTTGACAATCTGCAAGCCAATGGCATCCAGAAAGACGGAAATCTTGAGGGCCATAGACCTCAGCTGCAGCATTTCCGGTCTCAAATCTCGGGCTTCACGCAGCAGCAATTGATTTCGTTCGCTCTCTGATACCGTGTTGGGATTTGACTGGTTTTCTAAATCTATGGTGTACATCGACTTGCGTTCACGGAAGTTCCTCTGCGAAAGACGATTCTGTAGGCGTCTAGACAGCATGGTCCGTATGTCGTTGATGTCTACGACGTGCCATCAGATATCATTGGCAGCTACATCTCTGGTACCTTTGGCTTTTAGTGTTTTCGTCGAGAGCGGTACGGTCCTGTTTCTCTGGGATGTCTAGGAATGCATTCTGCTTTCTGCCAGGCCGAGTCATGTCGCGTGTAACGACTCAAGCTCCTGAGTCTTTTGTGATCGTAGACGAATTTCATCGAGATTGTTTCTAATCAAGGCTGTACATTCTCAAGGTTGACTTCGAATCACATGGAGCAATTAGATTCTAAGAGCCGAGGTTGTTCATTGTTCTGCGGACCTGGTATAATGTATGGCGCGCGCGGGGTACATGTTATGATTGACCTAGGCCTGCGGGATGGGACAGGGTCAGCGGTGCCGTGGCAGCACAAGAAAGGATACAAGGGTTATGGGGGCTGTTCTCATTGCCATGACTGACAAGCAGACGTCTTGCTCACTAACTTCGGCCGCATACCCCGCATTCCAACGGGATTTGCATTTAGGGGCTACAAATGAACCGAAGCTTGGCTGGATAAAGGCTAGTACTACTATGGGCCCTCGGCACTCACGGACCTCTGCGCTCGGATCCCTCTCCCTGTACTGAAGCTATGAAGTCTGGGGAATGGAGAACTGCTTCTCCATTGGGCGACAGACAGACTGAACCTCTGCATCCCAGGGCTGTCCCCGCACACTTCTCTACCTCCCTCACATCCGCTGTCAACAACTTGCTCGACATGGGGACGGACAGCACGTCTTCTCCTCAAAGCCTTGGCGCCTTGACCACAACGCGCAACGATGCCAACCTCACTCGACGCGAACGAAAGAGGGCGAGCGATCGTATGTCCCAGCAGGCATCCCGCGCAAAGACGAAAGCATATATCGCCCATCTCGAGAGGAGTGTGGCAAGGCTTACAGAAGCCCAAAGTAATTCTGGGCCAACTGTTTCTGAACAACTAAGACAGCAGTTCGACGAGATTGCCAGCCTGAAACAAGCTTTGGCTCAGATCGCCAAGCTTGCAACCAATTCGATCTCAAAGCACCAGGTTGATGACGACTCAGATGACCGCACTTCTGCCACAAGTAACGAGAAGGGATCCAGGCATGTCCCAGAGGCGTACAATCCAGCATGTCACCCCCATCAAGAGTCACTCGACCGTCTATACCCAGCCCTCGATCTCAACTGCGGCGACAAGCAGCGAGATTATTTCCAAGCTTTCAGCCAAGCGCTCGTTACAATAGAGAGCGACGCGATTGGGCACGCTTTCTCGGACCCCGAGATCGACGACGACATTAATATCAGGGCGGTACTGGACGGTTGGGATGCTGCGAGGGCCAAGAACCCATTCGATATAGGCTGGCTGATGTTACAGACTGTCGATGAGGGTTTTCTCTGGCGCAGCGGGGCAGTGGAAAGGATGGGGATGCTCCGGGTGATCCGATCAATGCTCATGGTACTAGCCCATGCCAAATACAGCTCAGGAGTGTGTGCTAAGAGGAAGAACAGGTCAAACTGAACCCACAACTTCCATCGAGCAGGAGACCCCCTGCTTACATGAATCCAAGGTGCGCAAAAGGCAAACCCCCGTGTGTCGCGCGTAAGCCATTGCTGATCAAGATAACCAATAGTCCATTGCAATCTCAGACGGAGCATTCAAGGCTGGTCGATTACTTCGTATGGTGAACAATCCCTAGCCAAGCTATGCCTTCGTACTCAAGATCAGGTCCTTCTGACAAATCTAGGCCCGAAGTGCGCGATTACCTGATTCTTTTTGGCATCAACTACGCGCCCGAGAGTCTCGCGGCCCAGTTCGCGAGCGATATTGGATTCAGATGGACATACGACCTGAGAGATACCTGCCGGTATCAGCCCGCGAAAGGGGTATATAGTTTCTCCGAGGATTTCAATCAAGCATACAGGAACCTGGACTCGTGGTATATGAAGTCTACCGTTGTAACGAGCTACATACCGCCGTTACCTTCCAATTTGTTGTGTGCTTGGTCAGATGATGATGACTGGCTGAAACATAAGACTGGCGAGTGTCAAGTATCTCCTAATTCTCCTCCTCATATCGACGAAGAAGGAGAACAAGACTGGCTACTACTGACAGCAATGCTTGACGATATTCCTAAGTAGAAAATACAATAGTGATCTACTTTAATTAGAACGAGTCACTCGAGCTTATATGTCAAGGCCTAATCGTAACATTGTTCATCCAATTTGCTTTTATCTTTGGTTTCTAATCTCAGGTTTGTTACCGAACATCATATCTACTGCATTCATCACTGCGTCCCTGATAGCCGGACAGAGACTGTCTTGATGGTCGTGTAGCTCTCCAACACAGCTGCTCCCAGCTCGCGACCAATTCCACTTTCTTTGTATCCGCCAAATGGAAGCTGGTGATGAATAGTATTATACTTAGCGCGAAGAAATGTTAGCAAAGAACAGGCGTTGAGAAGAGCACGAACCTGATTGACCCAAACGGTGCCAGTCTCGAGGAGATTAGACACGTTGAGAGCACGATCGATGTTCTTGGTATGTACTCCGCTGGCAAGGCCATACGAGGTTGCATTCGCAGCCTGGACTACCTCATCTTGGGTTTCAAACTTGGACACAACACATACTGGCCCAAAGATCTCGTCGCGCATGATCTTCATATCCTGAGAGGCACCGGAAAAGATCGTCGGCTGGACAAAGAAGCCCTTTTCGCCCCAACGAGAGCCACCAGCCTCAATCTTTGCGCCGTCGTCCACACCGCTCTTGATGTATCTACTTACAGTTGGTCTTAGAGAAACGTGAAAAGGGATGGATATCACGTACCCTAGAATTCGATCAAACTGAGCCTTGGAGGTCTGCGGTCCGTGGAATGTGTTTATGTCGAACGGATCGCCCACTGAAATCAGGGCTACCCTAGCCCTAAGCGCGTCCAAGAACCTGTCGTAAATTCCAGCCTGCACGTACACGCGCGAGCCGGCGCAACAGACCTGCCCGGAGCTATAGAAGATGCCAAATGTAACCCACTCTACAGCTGCATCAAAGTCTGCATCATCAAACACAATATTGGGGCCTTTACCGCCCAGCTCGAGGGTCACCGGCTTAAGATTGGACTTGGCTGCAGCCTGCATGATAGCGCGCCCAGTCGTGGTCGAGCCTGTGAATGATATCTTGGCAACGTCCATGTGAGAGGCAAGGGCGGCGCCGGCCACGGCGCCGAAGCCAGAGACGACGTTGAAGATACCGGCTGGGGCTCCCGCTTGCTTGAAATAGTCAGCTAGCAGTAAAGCAGACAGTGGCGTTAGCTCTGAGGTTTTGACAACGACGGTGTTGCCAGTTGCAAGAGCTGGAGCTATTTTCCAGGACATGAGGACAAGAGGTGCGTTCCATGGGACGATTAGTCCACACACGCCAAACTACACAAAACGATTAAAGTTAGCAAATATGTCGTTCATTTGGGATGCCGAGCACATACCGGCTCGCGCTTGGTGAAGTTGAAGCGCTCTGTATCAACATCAATCAATTTACCTTCCATCTTATCGGCCCAACCTGCATAGTAATTGAAGACGGAAACGCAGTGCTTGACATCTCCGATCGCCCACTGCTGAGCCTTGCCGTTGTTGAGCGTCTCAACCTTGGCCAGCAGGTCGAGGTTCTTCTCAATCAGATCGGCTACTTTGCGCAGCAACTTTCCCCTATCTTCGGGAGTTGTCGTACGCCATGGGCCTTTGAATGCTCGTCGCGCGGCTGCTACAGCCAAGTCAACGTCCTCAGTCCCGGCTTCAAAGACGTTGGCGATGACATCCTCGGTGCTGTCCTGGGTATCAGTACTGAGGGATTGCGTGGTTCTGGTTCGCGTACGTAGGATTAACCTGTATCGATTAGCAGCCGGCGCAGCAACAATATTCTGAGAAGCAACTTACAACTTCAAAGGTCTTGTCATTTATGCTTTCACGAAATTCGTTGTCAATGAACCTTGATACTGTAGTTTAGACCGATGCCGTCATGGACAGGAGGAACACTATCATACAGGCCTAAAGGCTGATTGTAGCTTTTGCCGTCTGGGAGGCATATCTCAGAGGTCAGTGGCATCTTGTGTTTCGTAGCGGTTGGATTATGTGGCGGCAGAGGTCTAGGAAATAACGTAGAAGGTTGAGATCATGTCAAATCTCCATTCTGGTTACTTGGCAAATCCATCTGGTTTTGCGGAAACACTTATATTCACTCGCTATGAACAGGGAGTCAGTATCAACTGTATTAGGCCATTCCTCTCAGATGGAAGCTCTGTCACGATGTCCATTGGCTTACTAATGTACAGCCTCGGTTCCTTAGCACTGACTACTGATTTCTGACTCGCACCACGCTAATGTGGTCAGGATGGCAGTGCGGGGATGCATGATTGACACGACTTGACCTTTGCCTGTGACCTACCCCGCTGGGCCGAGGCAGCAGACAGAACATAATGTTGGCTAAGTCTTTGGTTTGCTACGCTCAATGCAATGCAATTTACAATCGTATTGGATTGAAGAAACTGACATCTTTGCCTCAGTAACTGCTCCCATAAAACCGTGTTTTCATTCGTCCAACTTACATCTCTGAGAGCACAAAGTCAGCACAGACTAAGATAAAGAAGCAACAAAATACCAAACACACCACGATACAGGCCTCTGATCTTAAGGTAGTCCCGCTTTCACTTGAACGTAGGTTTCGACAAGGATAGCTTCCATAATGGCCATCAAGGGACCCGAGATCCCCAAGCAGTACAGAGCTGTGGTATACGATAGCCCCGGCTCCATCTCGACCAAGATTGCGACATTGGACACGCCGGAACCTGGACCAGGTGAGGTACTGATTAACATGTGAGCTACCAATAACGTCAGATACGTGCACCAGCTGATACTGACCTGCACAGGACGCATTCCGGTGTCTGTCACTCGGACTTGGCTGTCATGACCAATGGTGTATGTATCTTTGTGCCTGGAGCTGTGCTCCCAAGATTAACTTTCACACTGATACAAAGACTGACACTACTCCAGTGGACATCGCTCCCGGCTCCAACGCCCAAGGGCCAGGTTGGCGGCCATGAGGGTGTGGGCAAGGTTGTAAAGCTGGGACCAGGAGTAGAGTCTACGGGGGTCAAGATTGGAGATCGTGTTGGAGTGAAATGGATCGCCAGCTGTTGTGGAAGATGTGGTATGTAATTCACCCAAGATCCCCGCCAACTTAAAGCTAAGATGTTATCGCAGAACCTTGCATTGTTCGCGAAGATGGTCTTTGTTTCAATCAACAGATCTCGGGCTACTTTACTCCAGGCACCTTTCAACAATACGTACTTGGGACAGCTGCATATGTGACGCCCATACCAGAAGGGCTGGACTCAGCTATAGCTGCGCCGATGCTCTGCGCCGGGGTGACGGTCTACGCTGCTCTGCTCCGTAGTCAGGCGAAAGCCGGAAACTGGGTTGTCATCGCTGGAGCGGGAGGCGGCCTGGGTCATCTGGCGTGCCAGCTCGGGTCTAAGGCTCTAGGCCTACGCATCATCGGCGTTGATGACAACAGCAAGGCTGATCTCGTGCGCAGTTCGGGCGCAGAGCACTTCGTCGATGTGAGGGGCTTCTCGAGCGATGAGGAGATGACGACGAATATCAAGAAATTGACAGGTGGCCTTGGTGCTCACGCAGTCATTGTGTGCACGGCCTCCCCGAGAGCTTATGCGCAGTCCATGGGCTTTTTGCGGTTTAACGGAACCGTGGTCTGCGTTGGAATGGTCGAGGGCGACGAGGTGCCAATTGCGGGAGCTAAGCCAGTGCAGATGATTTCACAGCAGTTGAAAATTGTAGGTTCTGCAGTTGGGAATCAGCAGCACGCTATTGAAGTGCTTGACTTTGCTGCTCGTGGTATTATCAAGCCTCACGTGGAGGTTCGCAAGATGGAAGAGTTGACGGCGGTATTTAAAGATATGAAAGAAGGCAAGCTTCATGGAAGGGTTGTTATTGATTTGGCTTGATTACATTTGTTATATCTTCTTAGTCGTATGTGTATATCAAATGCCAAGTTCTCTCTGCTGATTTAAGCTCTCAGCCACAAGTTAAATGCATCCAATGATGCTCTAAGATTAGTCACTGAGTTGACATATTTGTACATATGATTAATTAAAACCAAGAAAGTTCACAAGAACAAACCTGGGCGAGTATTAGCGACGCCAAGACATTAAGGTGTATAAGAATTAATGCTGTGGTGGACAAACCATACCTGCCAGATGACCTGATAGGTCGGGTATGCTGCGTAGCGGATAAAGTCTGCAATGCTGGCAAGCTGGAATCTGATTGAAAAACAGTGTATAAAATATCATTGTTCCGCATTCAAAACACTATTGCGAATCTCAACAGCTACAAAATGTACTTCAAGAAACGACCCCCACGATGACGATAGACATAGACTGCTGTAGTCAATGCCGAAAGAACTGTTATCGAAACGAGTTGTTGGGTACTAAAACGTGTCTCCTCCACGACACGGCCAATACGCTCCTTGCCAGTTGGAAGAGTCTCCATCCCGTCTCCCTCGAGTTCGTAATCCGACCAGTCAACCTTGGACAGCAGTTCCTGGTATTCCACCACAGTTCCGCTCCAATTGTTGGTGACAAGTCCACTGTCTGTCTTATACCAGCTACTACACCTGGGGTCAGCGAAAGTAGAATTTCCCAGGCTCCTCTGCAGATCTTTGTTCCATTCTTGGACCCTTGATGCTTTGGGCATGACAGATAACTTCCCCCCCCGGGCTCTGCTCCTCAAGACTCTTTTTACTAATGGGACGAGATATCGCGCCTGAGCTTCAATCATGAGAATGATTGAGTTATGGCCCAGGTTTGTGTTGGGTCCGTAGAGCATTCCAAAGTTTGGCAGGTTATCTACCGTGACGCCGTAAAGAGCAGATGCACCGTTTGCCCATTTGGAACTGAGAGTCTGGTCACCCACGCCTTGCACGTGAATCCCATGCAGAAAATCCTTGGCTTGGAAGCCGGTCGCAGAAATGACAAGGTCAAGATCAATCTTTTTCTCTTGTGATCCTTCTCTCACAACGACGCCGGTATCAGTCATCCTGTCGATATGTCGTGTCTCAAGAGTAACATGTGGCAACCGCAACGTAGGATAGTAATCATCGCTGAGCAGAATACGTTTACATCCTGGCGGATAGTTCGGTGTCAGTTTCTCCCACAGATCTGGGCGATCAGGGAGCTGAGTCTGCATGTGCCGCTTACAGACAGCGCTCATGGCTGAGGAGTCGGAGGAATCGGCGTGATTGACAGCTTGATAGTAGGATTCGCGAGCATCCATTATCTCAGCCCTTACCCGACTAAGAACTGCGGGCACATGACCAAATAGAATCTTCTTCCATCGTGGAATTTCCGCGTCGAATCTCGGCATCAGCCAATTCGGTGAGCGTTGAAATATGCTTAAATGAGAAGCGACCTTTGCGACTTCAGGTGCGATTTGAACGGCGGTAGCTCCTGAGTAGATCGTCAGACTTGGTTTCTCTCTATGGTATATAATTCAAAGACCTACCGTTGCCAATTATGCCGACACGCTTGCCAGCAAAGTCATAGCTCCAGTCCCAGCGAGCGGAGTGCATGACCTTTCCCTGGAAGCTTTCTTGGCCGGTGATTCTGGGCCAGAATGGCTCGTTCAGCTGACCAACTCCGGCAATCAAGAAGCTTGCCTTCATTGTGTATCTCGCGCAGAATTCAGCCTCTTTCCCAGCTAGAACCTTGATGCCCACGTTCCACTCATGAGATTCGGAGTCCCATTCTGCAGCCGTGGCTTCTGAGCTGAACCGTACGACTTTGTACAGGCCGTACTTCTGGGCGACGTCTTGAATATAACTCTGTGGCGGAGCCTCGATCAACAGGACATATCGCGTCTAGACAGGGATGTACACTTACAAGAATCTCTTGCTGTTCTGGATATGCTCTAGACCAGCGAGGGTTCTGTGCAAAAGAATACGAGTACAGGTGTGACAAGACTAGGGTCAGCGAAGTTAGTGACCACTCTCCGCGAAGGATTGAATGAACCAACTGTCGCAGCAACATCCTGGATATATATTATCTTTCCACGTCCCTCCAAAGCCTGCGCTCTTCTCGACGATGACGATGTTGCGTATTCCGGCCTCGAGCAACTTGATGGCCATGCAAATCCCTTTGGTACACTCAGCTTCCTTGAATCGTAGCCGAACCACCGACCTTGTTCGAACTTACCGGAGAATCCTGCCCCGATGATTACCACGTCTGTTTTCGTCATGGTGTGATATTTGTTGCTACCGCTGGGGGATTATTGCAGCGTAGTGTGCTCTATATTGCTTCGGTGTGAAACGGTGTCAATAGGTAGTTTGTTCTCCTGGTTGTCCTGGGAAGTAGTGGACTGTCAACTAAATAGCAGCTGTCACCTGAATACCCACTGAATGTATACTATTAGCAACGGACCTAGGCTGCAAATAGATTCGGTAATTTGGCGTATTGATACAAGTTGTAAAAGTGTATGCCGCGGCCGGCATACCGGCATTGTCAGCTCCTTGCCAGTTAGCAAAGTCTAAATGGCACCGCTGTGCGGGGGAAGCCTCGGCTTGGAAATAGCTTGTAAGTGGTATCGCCTGGAATGCAGCTAGGTAGAAGAGACTCTAGCCCTTGCCTATATATTACGAAACAGCTTGACAAACCCCGAGAGTCACCTTTATAGATTTAGGACAGGTTACGTGCTTAAGTTGATACATCTTGGATATAAAAGAAAAGTATGATACATATTACTACTAGAATTACCATAGCCAGCTGATAAGCGTCAAGTATATAAAAGTAGGTTAAGTAAATACCTCACAGTCTGCTTATGTAGTCTTAATAAAGGAGAGCTCGAAATATATAAAAGAACCATTCTAAAATACTTAAAAGTTCCTCATTATAGAAAAACCCATACCAAATCCAAACTTAGCAAGCTTAAAGGCCGCCCAGGTAGCAGTAAACAAGGAGCCCACTAGTATTAACAGCACAGCCAACGCCTTACGATCAGCAGTCCAGAATACCATTTTCTTAGTCTTAGCAAGAGTCCTGCCCTTGCCTTGCTGCTTGGACTCGTCAGAGTTAGGCACGTACTTAAAGTTAAAGGCAGAGCGGTGATCCAGACCGAGTTCTGGGTTGTTGATATAGTCCCTGACATTTCGGCGGAACGACCCAATCTGAGCGCGGTCGAGGACTGGGATGTCACGACAGACATAGTAGACAATCATGAACAACATGCACTGCCCCGCTGCCAGCACCGTGTAGTACCTACTAGGCCGGCCGATGCCCAGAGCGTCAGCGAGAGGGTCGCCATTGAGCCAGCGCGCAGTAGCCTCAAGATACGGCTTACTGGCGTAGCTGGGCGCCGTATCGCTCATGGCGATGATGATATTCTGGGCGTGTTCCTTCGACCTGCTGGAGGGGTTGTATTCGTATAGGTACAGCGACTCCATGATAGCACGCGCCTTGGCCGGCGAAGAGAAGAAGTCGGTGGGCGTGCCCATGTAGTACGCGATAAGGCGCCACAGGGCTACGTAGTCGATTATCTCCTGCTCGCGCATATGGATACCCTGTCGCGGGAGTGACTGCCAGATGATAGTGGCGCAGTTGGCGGCGATGGTGCCGATGGAATCTAGGTCGTTGATGGGGATACCGAGCTTTTCGACGGAGAAATAAGAAGGGCGCTTGGCTGCGAGCTGGAGGATGCGATGTCGAACTGTACCGTGTAGGAAGCGCACCTTCATGCAGCTGGCGAAGCCGCGGCCGCCGAACTTGAGGCTGTCGACACTTTCGGTGACGTCGATAAAGTAGATAGTTGTCTCGAGCATACGGCGGAACACGGTGCTCACGTTAAAACCACCTGTTCGACCTAAGACCTCGGCGACTCGAGCGCCAGCGGTACCTCCGACGAGCGACTGGTATGTGAGGCCGGTGAAAGCAGCGCCGCCATAGCGGTACAGTACGTCTTGGCCGCGTGCAATCTGGTCCCAGTCGACCCATTCGGGCGTGGTGTTTACCTCGTCCCAGAGCTCCTGCAGCTTTGGATGTTCTGTATGGTGTTCGCAGAAGAGCTCGTATAGATCCCTCCATTTCGAGGCCCGTTCCTCTGACTTTGATCCGTCATGAGATGTGCCATTAGAGCTTTGTTTGTCTTGTTCACTCTTGGGGTTCTCGCGTTCAGGCGGATACATTTCATTCAGGAGCACCGCACAGTCCTCGCCCAGTGTATCACAGGAGTGTTTGAGGTAGTCATACTGCTCTGGGGTCTGGTGGTCTTTGGTCCATTTGAATCGATATCCCCAGGCCTCCCGCATTTCGTCTTCATAATTTGTGGCTTCGGGCGGTGTCATTGTTGATACGTGCGAGGCGGTGACTAACTTGGATGTCTATAATGCGGGCGCTGTTGACGGTTGATACAAAGCAGAATCCTAGGCAACTGGGAGGGGGTCTTGGCCTGATATCTACAGCCTCGGTCCCATTGAGAAACCCGACTGCACTGCGAGTCCCTGCACCGTGGTACAGTAGTAATAGCCAGGCCATAGTTGGACGTCCCAAACCAGCGGACAAGACTATCTGGTGCGTGGAACGCGTTGTAGCATTCATGCTTGACGAGACAGGCGCACCTTCGGGGTGTTGCAGGACTGCGAAGGGTGGATGGTAATGTCCTCAGTCGGCGAATTGCAACTTCCCATTAACCAACAGGCATCTACCAGTTCTAGATAGGGTTAGTTACAGCCTTGATAGGCGAGCCCCATGCCGAGTTAGCGTAGTTGTCCATGTCAGATTGTCGGAGTCAAGGCTCCCAAATCTCTGACACGGACAATCTGACATGGACAAGCACGCTAACTCGGCAGTTTTCAGGGGGTTATCCCTAAAGTGGAAATAGCTGATTTTGGTGGACCACCAAGAGTGCGGGGCCCCGCATCCAGACTCCAAGGTCTACAAAGAGCGTTTGAGGAGTTGACCTTTCATCAAGTCAGACTAGCCTGCTTGAGCTGGGCTATCTGGGGTCCCCGCGTTTTGACAGCTTTGGTCCCCTGGTACACAATACGGCGTCCATGTTTAACATTCATGTACTATGTAGTTAAATGTTGCTTATAAGGTCAAGCTTTAGGCTCCAAATACAAGTGATAAATGAGAACAAGATATCTTGTACGACATTTATAATACATTACTCTGATCTTTCAACCTTTATCCTATCTGCCCAAGCTTTGATCCATCTTCTCCTGTCCAGTGTGCATGAACACAGCCATGACCAAGTCCCAAGAAGACGATCATTCTGTCCCCTCTTCGGAGCAGGTTGAGAAAGCTGAACACGGCGGTACTCTGCCCCTCGACGTCAACTACAACACCCATGCCGTCAAGGGAGACGATTCTGATGGAATTGTTGATTGGACTTGGCGCCATGCCATTGCCTCCATCTCACTTGCTGGGCTATACGTAGGTATGTCACTTTTCCCACTCCTCTCAATCAAACCACCCTGTTAATATTTGCTAGGCGCCCAGATTCCGCTTTACTTTGTTGGTGGCTCCCTCACCTACATCGTGAAGGACATCGGATCGGCCGAAAAGTCCTCGTGGCTGCCCATCGCCAACACCCTGACCATTGCCGTCGTGGCACCCTTTGTCGGATATCTCCAAGATCTCTTCGGCCGACGCTACATCTCGCTCGCGGGCGGCGTGACCATCCTTGTCGGAGTCATCCTCGTTGGCACAACCCACACTTTTGGCCAGGCGGTTGTTGGCATGTCTCTTGCCGGTGCTGGAGCTGCTGTCGGTGAACTCACCGCTCTTGCTGGGTTTGTAGTCTCCTCACTTCCCTTTGCTTAGACATATGCTGACTGATTTGCATGCTGGTAGCATTGCGGAACTCGTCCCTGTGAAGAAACGCGGTTTCTACTTCGCTTTGGTCACCTTCTTCGTTATTCCATTCGTTCCGTACGTCATGTACGGCCAGATCTTGAGCACTTATCACACTTGGAGATGGGGCATGTGGATCTCACTGTAGGTCTCTGCGATGGCATTTGGCATGAACAGGCGCTGATAAGAATCGATCCAGGATATACAACGGCATATGCCTTGCGGTGGTGGCCCTCACATATTTTCCGCAGTCTCATAGAAGAGGCGAAGAACTACCCAAGATGGAGATTCTCAAGTCTATCGATTACGTCGGAGCTTTCCTGTCCATTGTCGGCCTGACTCTCTTGTAAGTGACTCTCGATTCGGTTTAGCTAAGCACCAAAGCTTAAAGCCCGCTTCAAACTGATCTAACACGCTCAAACAGCCTCGTTGCACTTCAGGCTGGCGGATACTCGCATCCTTGGACCTCCGCCTATGTCCAATCCCTTCTTCTGGTCGGCATCGCCATGATCATCACTTTTTGCGTCTGGGAGGCCAAGTTCGCAAAGTGTCCAATGGTCCCAGGTGCACTATTCAAAGGGCAACGCGTCGTTGCGGTAGCCTTCCTGGTGGCCTTTGTCGGTGGCTTGAATTTTTACTCGTCCATAAACTTCTACCCGCTCGAGGCGTTGACGGTGTTCGATCCGGATCCTATTCAGGTTGGTTTCAAGGGTTTGGCCTCTGGCCTCGGCATCACTATTGGCGCCACGGTCATCAATGGAGCACTTTCGTGGTTTAAAGGAAATGCCAGAGAGTTGCTTCTTTTCTCATGCGTTATGATGACTGCCTTTGGAGGAGCCTTGGCCGCGGTGACCCCCGACACTCCTGCTCTGATCTACATCTTTGGCGTCTTTTCAGGCATTGGAGTCGGCGGCGTCCTCGTTCCACCGGCAACCGTTGCAATTACTGTTGCGTAAGTCGGATTTCCCTCAGCATCCCCTTCAGAGCCCATTGCTAACTACCTTGCTCCTATCTTAGACCTGACGAACTGATCGCCACATGTGTCGCTCTGTCCCTCTCCATCCGTGTCGTTGGGGGCTCTATCGGCTACAGTATCTACTACAACATTTTCTACCATAAGCTCAAGCCTAAGCTTCCCTACGTCGTTGCTGAATATGCTATTGCAGCAGGCCTACCAATCACCTCAGCCACACAATTCGTCACTGCCTACATTTTGGACCCTTCTGCCCTGTCGTCTGTCCCTGGCGTCACTCCTGAAATACTGAAGGCTGCAGCTATTGGCAGCCGCTGGGGATATGCATACGCACTGAAATACGTTTGGTTGACAAGCACTGCTTTTGGGGTCTGTGCCATCGTAGCATGCGCCTTTATTGGAAACACCAAGAAGTACATGACTAACCGTATTGCTGCTCGTATTGCTCACTAAAAGAGTTGGCACTAATTATATATTCTGGTTTGAGAGGGGATTTAACTACGGTTAATTTAACACCTTACATGTACACATTCTCATTCTGTGTCATTGAGATGTTAAAAGCTTTGACTATCAGTTGATATGTTTGCACACCCCTTATCTGTGGTTACAGCCTAAACCTTGACCTTATAGACAGCTGTTAGCTACATAATACACACTTATATAATGTAAATTGGATTATTAGTAATGCTGGATCACCCCCGTTGCCACTAAGTGAAGGTATCCAGTACAGTCTGAGGGATTAACTTAGGGTAGGCTTTAGTGTTAAGGTAGACATTAAGGCCTGAATTATCTCACCAATTAAGACCACTGAGCTCTTATATATTACTTAAAAGTAAATTAATACTTAAAGTAATATACTCAATAGTACTATAACAAGGTACTTTAAGTAAAAGTGGATTTTATTCTTTTCATCTTTTTTTTCCTATTTTTCTATTTTTCCATTTTTTTTCTCTTCCTGTATTTCCCAGCTATTCCCCTAACCGCTCCCGTTATAACTAACTGTAGCCAACTAAGATTACGAAGCAACCTTGAACTGCTCCCACAAGGCAGAGCCCGAAGCTGCATAGTCACCAACTGTTCCGTCAATAGAGCCTATCCACCTGCTGTAGAGTTCAATGTCAATCTGGGTTTTCTTCACTGTGAGAAGAGCATCCAGCTCGGTGCCGTCGTCCAGAGTCATATTCAGTGTCATCTGTGTTGGGTTGGTCGAGCCCAGAGTTGGTGGATATGGCGTGCCGACAGGTCGGACTCGAAGGCCCGTGGTGCACGTATTACCTACAACCTTTCCGTCTTTCAAGACGTAGCCGCCCACCTTCTCGACGTTGTTCTTATCGAGCATGTCGAAGAAGACAATGTTGTAGTCGCCAAATGTGGCATGACCCCAGTACCAGCCGTTCAATGAGGCCAAGAAGGGAGCGTCACCCCAGTTCTGAATAGCAGACCCGAGTTAGTTTACTGGTATCGATATGAAGTTGCTTATTTTGAGATTGTTGGGGACGGGCAGTTGTGAACATATGAACATACCTTATCATGGTATCCATTACCAGTAAACTTGATCTTTTGCCCATTGATCTTCACGTCAACTGCGGCGTCTGCGGCAGGCATGACATTCACCCATCCGACGTTAGGAAGAACCTTCATGTTCTGGCCAGCTTCAAGGGGACCGCAAACATAGTGACCGGGGCCACGCTAAATCCATCAACATCAGCTACTTACATCTTTCTAACAGGTTATCGCAGCCTAGACGTGGTGTATACTTACCGACTTCAGCGTAAAGGTGCCCTCTACGGATGGGTTCAACAACGTTTTCTTGAAGGTGACTTTGTAGGTACTCAGGTCTGCCGCTCCTTGAAAACTGGCACCAGACCCGGTCCAATCGCCCGAAGCTCCATCACCATCGAGTTTGATCGTGACTGAAGTAGAGGAAATGGGAAATGAGAAGCCATCACCGCCGTGATTGTAAAATACGTAGACGTTTAGAGGGTCGATTGCATTCAACAAGTCGAAGCTGAATCCGACGAAGGAAGAGGTGAAGAAAATGACGGTCAAGGCGTGTTCGCCATCATCAGAGACGGCGTCAAAGTACCACCAATCGAAGGTGGTCGAGTTGATGGGGTAGACACGGGGACCGTCAGCACCAGATGCGCAAGAGGTGAACAGGACGTCGCTGGGGCCGGGGGAGAGAATGGGGGAGTAGGTCGTGACCTGCTTTGGGCATTGGGCGAAGCCGCCTACGACCAAGGCCAGTACTGGTAACAGTGCCTTTAGAAAAGAGAACTTCATCGTAGGCCGGGCTAGTCTGCAACAAATGTGATAAGAATGATAAGAGTAGAATAGTAGATAAGAGTAGTCTTAAATCTAGACCTGCGAGTTCACGTCATAGATAAGGGTCCAAGAGCTTGTTCTTGTACCAACAGACAACAGGTAATTGATCAAATAGTCCGGGATCGAGGCTTTACGAGGGATCCCAGCTCTAGACCTTTTTTGGAATTAGTTGCGAAAAGAGCAGCCATGCTTTCAAAAAGCCTCGTCTAGTCTTGTCAGACTATCTGACACGGACATTCCAGTTAGTTTAAGATTCGGGGACCTTTGCGGGGAAGTTTACGGTGAAGAGGAGATGCTGTCAAAGCGTTTGCTATGTCGGGCTAATAGATTCAAGGCAACAGAGACAAAAACATCAGCTAATCCAGTTAACGGTAAGGCGCGTACGTAATGACCTCGGCAGTTGCAGCATTAAAGTTTATACGAAGAATTGACAGTTGACACGGCTGATCGAAAGTGACCAATAAGGCTTTAGGGACTGGAACAATGTTTGACTCTAGAGCCCGAGTACCGAGAACTCATGAGGGGTATCCCGAGCTGTCAAGCTGCCCGCAGTTGAAAGAGGCTAGATCATTCCTTCAAGGTAATGCAACAGTAAGCTAATGACGTAATTAGTTTTCTTTTCTAAAGGCAATTGATTGAGAATTATCCTCGTGAACGCTAGCTTCTGAGGAAAAGGTCGTGTTGAGGGGGGGGATTGTATTCTCATTCACCACCCGGGTTCACAGCCTAAAGGTCATTCTTGTAGGCGGCAGTCTAGTATATAGATTGAGAAGTATATGATAATTGAGAAGGGTTGCTTAATGCAGAGGCTGATTCATTTCACTAATCTTTACCCGGAATATGAATAGGACCCAGAAAATATATTCTCCCAAGTGCCAAAAACCCAGCGCTCATACTCGCGTATCTCCTTCTCAGCCATTTTCAAACCATCCACCCTCCTTCTCTTTTTGGCACTTGAGTTGCAGTTCGAAGTAGACGGCGGGACAGTGTAGTAAGAATACTTATTTTGCTGCGGTTCTTTGCCGGTATCACGGAGTAGGAAACGCTCGAAATCAGTCATGTTAAAGTTACATGTGATTGAAGGGCTCGAGAATGCAGACTCGGGAGATTGATCTGGTCGGTCCGCCTCGGAGTGGGAAGAAAGTTGCTTATTGTAGCTGTGATGGACTTTTGACTGAGAATCTCTCTTCGGGCGACGTAGTGAGTTGTGAGAAACGTGACCCTTTTTGTCTGGCCTCGGGAAGTAAATAATTGTTGGGGCGAAGGGGTTCTGCAATTCGTCTTCTGGTAACTTTTGTTCAGACTCGTTCCAGTATGGAGTATGGATGACAGCCACTGTCCTTTGTAAAGCTTGCATCGTCTGATAGGTAATATCGGGTAGAATGAATAGATATGCAAAAGTTAGTACCGCCAGTATCTTCTCAATTGAATGCTGCAAGGAAGAGACGGTAACTGCTTGTATAAAAGACGGTCGGTAGTGGAAGGGGAAATACAAAGCGGGGTTCATAAAATACAACAATTCTCATTTCGGTCCGAGATGATTTACCCCGCCATTCACCGAGTCAATTTCACCATGTCAGCTAGCGTGCTGTGACTTGGTGCTCCCCATCACATTGTTAGCCTCTCAGTATTCGATCAGTAATTGGTAACCGTACTCTTCTTACATTCCTGATTATCTTCAATTCCGGAGGGGCTGACAGATCGAGGGCAATGCTGGTTATTCTTAGACCTGGTCATGTCCAAAGGTATGGAACTAAGTTCTCTCTGCTGATTCAAGGTATCAGTCACAAGTCTCATCAGTAAATAACAGAGCTAGCTAACAACTAAGCCAGTACACATCGCTAAAGTAACTGCACCACTCCGACTATCACAACCATCATACTCCAGTACATGATATGATGTCTGTATCCTTCCGATGAAGAAACTATCGATGGGATAGATGAAGCCTCCCCATGTTCCAAAGGATTGAGGCTATGTGTCGACTCAGATGCCTCGGCCTCTTTAGTAATTTCTATCTCGGTAGCAAACGTCGTCGAGACAGCTGGATGATGTCCGTGAACAGGTACTAATTGAGAAGGACTAGTAGGAGTGTCAGGTCCCAGAGATGACACAACACTTGTTTCGATTGGGAGTCCGTCAGAAGAAGAAAGTTGCTGATCATGTGGAGGCAGGGGCTTGGGCGGATTCAGTGCGTTACTGGGTTGGGAGGCTGAGACGATGGGCCCGTTCTTGGCATTATGCTCTGCCGAAGTTTCGACTGCAATAGATGATTGGTCGTTCTCATCACCTGGTCGGTTCGTGTTTTGCTGGCCTTGTGTTGGCAGGGGGTTGGCAGTCTTTTCGTTTGGTGCTTCATCCTCTGGTCTCTGAGATGCGGCTTTGGTACTGAAGGGTCTGTTCTTATAATCCGGTCCCTTGCCATTCTGCATCACTTGTGTTGGCTGTTTGTTCTGCACTTCCCCTCCTGATCCCTCAATCGCGGCTTCAATATCTGTAGATCCATTCTCGTAGTCCTGTCCCTCGCCATTCTGTTTTCCTTGTGTCGGTTGAGGTTGAGATTCGACACCTGCTGCATTGCCAGCGTAAGTCTGATGACCTTCAATGTAGTCAGGATATCCGTGGTTCCAAGCCTCACCCTCGATCCAACCGGAAGGTTTGTCACTCTCACAAGCAGCAACTGGAACCACCATGGTGAGAACATCTTGGCCCTGATAGCCGCAGGCGTCGCAGGACGAAGTAATGGTGGTCATATCTACTGGCGGATATTCTTGGTGATCGCAATTGCAGGGAGTATATTGCAGCGTTACCGGTATACAAGTAGTGATAAAAACCTCTGGCTGACTTGGGTCAATAGTGACATATGAGACAGTGGTCACTGTCTCTGCAATGACTATCTCTGTGTAAGTGACATCCCTGGTGACGTGAATGGTTCGGATAAGGCCGGGTTTTGTTGGAGATGGAGTGCTAGAGATTGATCCCGACTCGAAAATCGATAGTGATGCTGCAGTTGCTCGAGATGATATTGAAGAAGAGGGGACTGACTGCGTGTAGCTTATCTGAGCAATTGACCCGGATGTTGATGATAAGGCCCGTGTTCCTGAAGCCTGTGAAGCCCCTGAAGAAGGAGAAGAAGAAGACAATGAGTTGGAAGAAGGAGAGGAAGAAGAGGAGGCCGCTTGTCGATAGATTGTTAAGAGACGATTAGACGGAATGGCACGACGTCTACCTGCACCGCCAGTAGTGCCTCCACAGAATAGAGTGGGATTGCCAGGACACCGGAGGCCACAGCGCTCATCCTCAACAACTTCAGATCCAGCGAGGGAATCAGCCTTATAGCAAGTCCTGAAAGGAGTTAGCTTGAGTACTGTTGATTGTTGTAACACTCACTCTTCATAGACGCCAACATAAATGCTTCCAGCAGCCAACTTAACACAGATCTCTGTGGTCATGTTGGCCTGGGTTGATACCTCTGTAAAAGTTGGAAATCCCTCATCGGATCGTAGACAGGCGACAAAATCATAACCATCAAGAACTTGGATATTTCTTGGGCTTGTAGAGGGAGTTGTTGAAGTCGTCGATATAGTCAAAGAAGCTGAGGTTGAAGATTCCGATGGTGAAACACTTCTGACTGGTGAGGTCGGTTGTTGGGTGGATAGTACTGTGGACTCTGTCTCTGTTGTGGTTTGACTGGTTCTGCTCGAGCTTGCTTCCGATCCTTTAGAACTAAGAGACATAGTGGTAGTCTCATTTGCGGACGTCTCAGAGCTTGGGTTCTCGGTTCTCGCAGAGGTCAAAACGGTGGAGGTCTCGATAGTTAATGTTGCAGTAGAGGTCACAATAGAGGAAAGGACAGATAATTCTGCTGAGGTTGGTGTTTCAGGCTTCAGAGTAGACTATGATGCAATATTTGATGTAGACAGATATGTGGATTGAATCGTAGACTGGGATCGGGATTCCACTGCGGACCATGACGTGGATTCTGAGGTGTTGGGCTCTGATGATGTCAGTAAAGTTGTAGAGATGGATGCGGGTGTAGATGGGGTGGATGTTGTAGTCGTAAGTGATGTAGTTATAAATGTTGTAGCTGTGGCAGACGTAACCTCAGATGACGTAGCTGACGAAGACATAAATGCTGATGTAAGAGACGTGAACGTAGACGATGTAGCCATAGATGACGTAGTTGAAGACGATGTATCTGAAGATCTAGACGTAGATGATGCGGATGTAGGCGATGTAAATGACGAGGATATAGGTGTAGAGGATGAAGATATAGCTGATATAGACGTTGTTGATGTGGATGTAAACGACGTAGATGTAGATGATGTAGATACAGTTGATGTAGATGCAGACGATGGGGATGTAAAGGTTTCAGTTGAAGATCCTACAGTTGTCAATGAGGCAGATTTTGCGGATGTTGAGGTTGAATCGACTGAAGATGTTGAAGATGTTGAAGGTAATCGGGCTGGGATGATAGCCACATCATAAGGAGGAGCCGCGCTTGAACCGACATACACAGTAGCCGAGTAGCAGCGATTCATCGAGCCAAAGAATGATACTCCAAGGCAAGTCGGATCAATTTGGCATAAATCCATACATTGCTCAACGCTGTTGACTTGAGTATTTGAAGAGGGAGAGCCTCCCAGTATCGCTCCACATGTAACTTCGAATACCGTATTGGAAGCACCGGTGTAGGTACTACCCAGTTGAGCGCAGGTCAGTGGTGCTGATGATGTTGTAGACGATGGGGATGAAGAAGTAGTAGAAGACGTTAAGGAAATTGAAGTCGTTGAAGATACTGAAGATGATGAAGATGATGAGGATGTTGCGGGCATCTTGTAAATGTAATCAGCGCCTACACTGGAGTACGTGGATGACAGGGCACCCTGATATACAATGCAGTAACCGCTTTGCTCCGAGAAAACGGCACCATCGCATTGGCTATCAACATCGCATGCCTGCAAGCATGTCTCCAGGGTATATCCAGTTCCAAGACTAGATAGCGTTTGATACCCATTTGGCGAGGCATTGCATGTTATTGTAAACTGATTGATGGTACCACTATAGGTACCATCTTGGCAAGCTGGAGGTGTTGAAGATGTCGCTGAGGATGCCGTGGAGGTTGAGTCACCCGAAGATGTTGAATCAGCTGCGGATGTTGTATCAACAGAAGATGTCGAATCAGCTGAAGATGTTGAAGACGTCGAAGATGGCCGCGATGAAACAACAGCCAGATCCCAGGAGGCATCGGGCGTTGAATAATCAGTGTGACTGAAGAGGTGGCAGACATTTCCGCTGTACGACAAAGACACTGCAACGCAGTTTGAATCACTCGCGCACATATCCATGCACCCCTGCAGATCAGCAGCGACGCTATTGGAGATTTCAGTGCCCACGTAATACCTTCCACAAGCAGTATTAAACTGCACATTATCGGTAGAGCTTGTATAGGTGCCCGCTTGGCATTGCGGTGGCGCAGATGATGTAACCGCTGCAGAAGAAGTTGTCGATGGTGCCACGGATGTCGAAGTGGATGGCTGCTGACGGATAGCTATATCGGTATAGTCGCTGTACATAGCACTATATGAGCTGAATAAAGAGCAGCTGCCTATGTTATCCCAGACTATGGCAATGCACGACGAATCGACTGCACATGCCACCATGCACTCTTCAATGGCCCCAGCCATCATAGAAGCCTGAGTTGTGTAAGACGTACCCGTCAACCCCTTGCCGCAGATAACATCGAAGGCCACATTTTGAGCGGTATAGGGGCCTTCGACGGTACCCGACTGGCAGGTTCCTGCCATTGCTGTACTGGCCCAAAGGGCCAAGAGCCCGAATTGCAGCCTCATGGTGTGTAAGCTGACATTCAACAAGAATAAGATGCGACTGATATACAGTAGTGACATAAAATTAAACGATACTCATTAGAGACTGCAGCTTTATTGCTGATTTTTGTATCGTTTCTCTGTGAGTGATTTATTATTATCTGACTGTTACTCAAATTGGAGCCTAAGGTTTATAATGCATTCCTTCAGCTTCGTGTTTAGGATTTAGAACAACTTTTTAGAATGTAAGCTTTCCAGTAAAGCTTAGTGCAAACTCTAGCAACATTACCTCAACTTCTCTCTCCATTTTGTTCATACCGTAATCTGTGTTATATTGCTTATCGCAACTGTTTAATAATTAGAAATAAGCACATCGTTAACGTCATGGTAACTACAGCGCAAAGTACAGTATTTTCACCAAAATATTCGCCATCACCGTAGTCTTGGATACCGGCATCTCTGTGCGCAGGGTGGGGCTCATCATTCGAGACCATTTTCATCCGCTCAGACGTCTTTGGCTACAGGCTCTAGCCGTTATCTCTAACCGTCAACCTGTCACGCCTGGTTTAAACGGCGTGGCTTACACCAAAATCATCTATCGGCCGCCAAACGGCGCAATGACCGTTTTCTGGCATGGCGAAAGTCCGTGAAATGAGCTTATGTTTTAGGATCGCGAATAAGCTTCTCACAACCGATGGCATTCCCAAAATTGCATAGCCTGAGAGTAGTGGCTTGCAATCTATCCACCAGAATGATAAGCACATGAGGTTGTCACCATTTTCATAAATATGTAGAGTTCTTGGTAAGATAAAAATACAGAACTGTGATAATGGCAAGAGTCGGATACACATAATTGAAGCTGCAGATAATACAGGTTTAAAATCACATTATGGCAGGTTGCCCGAAATTACAAGGATCTTCTAGGTTCCAAGCAGCGAGAACACGCACTATCTCATTTGGGCTTGACAGAATGTCATTAGTTTGAACTCAACAGCTCGCTTAATGCCAGCCTATCACGTACGTCTCGCTGGAGCGTCATTTGAGCATCAGCCAGTTACAGCTTAACCTGTAGTAGAACGTCTGACAGAGTGACTCGACATATTACGACGCTATCACGAGCCTCTATCGAGCCAACTATAGCGTTTAGATAATGCTTTTTGATCTTATAGATAGAGTTCCGATCGATCTAATATATCAGCGTTAATGGAGGGACTGTGCATGATTGCTATAATAGGGCATACATGGCTACTTGTGTTTTATAGACTGTTGAACTATTGGTTGAGCTATTCACAGATTGCAACTGATAAATACTGAGCGAATAGTCTTGAACCCTTGGTAGCCCTTTGCTTTTTCTTCTTTTTACGCCTCTACCTGGCTGAACCAAGCAGCAATCTCACCAACATTGCTGTCCACAACATCTGGCTGATCGTAATGCTGGAAATGCGACACAGCATTATCCCAAATCAATTTCTTCTTCTCGGTCGGGATCGACTCGAAATGCCTCTTGGCTGCAGGCGCATTCATGCAATTGTCTCCATGAATTACCAAAGCCGGCTTAGTGAGTTTGGCTACCCCAGGTACGGTTGAATAGCCAAAGTGATCCAAGTCACTCATAACGGCGTATCGGTTCTCAAATCCCTTCAAAGTCCACGGACCGTACCAGGCCCACGCGACGGGACCCGGAAGACCAGCGAGTGAACCGACATCTGGGTCTGCGGCCTTCGGGTCGACAAGAGGTTGGTAGATGACTTGGCCTGTTTCTTCGTACAGCGCTTTAGCCTTTTTAGCTCTCTCGATGCGTGCCTGATATAGCGCCTCCCCTTGCTCAGGCGTAGGCATCTTCAATGACCCAACGTCGACCCCGGGTTCGATGTTGACGCAGCCAGTGCAAATCATCCAGACGTCAGTCTCATGATCGCGATAGTATCCCGTCACGGAAGCGACAGCGACGACTCGGTCATCGTACGATGCAACGTCTAGGCACTCGGGACCGCCTTGGCAGACACCGACGAGGAACAATCTCTTTGCGTCCACGTCGCCTCTACCGGCAAGGTAGTCAAGACCGGAGACAACGTCTTCGTTCTTCATCTTGGGATTCTCTAGACGCCGCGGCTGGCCGGTACTCTCGCCGACCGTGCGTGGGTCAAAGATTAGGGCGGCGTAGCCCTCGTCGGCAAGTCGCGTGGCATACTGCAGTGGGGCTTGTTCCTTGACAAATGAGTATGGGCCGAGAACGACGACACCAGGCGGGTTGGCCACGTTTTTGGGCATATACAGGATGCCGGTGATGGTCTCCCCGTGGGATGGATAGGTCACCTTCTTTGTAGTGTAGCGACCGTGGCAGCCCATTGTATGAAGTCAAACAATGTAGTCTTAATGTTAATAGAGTGTTCAGTTAATGCTGATGAGAGAGTAAATTGGAGCTTGTTCATCAGAAGCGGTGATAGTTAGAATGTTTATATACTATGTGTTATATGCCCAAGACCAATATTCCAACATCATGTTCATTACTTGATGGAAGACGAGCGATAGCTCCGTGAGCCGCGTTTCTAGATAGGTGTTCATGTTTCGGGAATAGTCCCACTACTTTCGGAGTCATGAACCCACTGTTTTCGGAGATGAGCCCACTATTTTCGGAGCCACGGCTTATGCTATCTTTTCATTGGCCGCTGGCGATGCACATAATGAGTTTTCCGATGGTCAATTGATCCCCACGGCCTCGGGTGTTGATCAAGGTAGATCAAGGCCTCTATTTGACATAGTTCGGTTCTGCGTCCTCCTGCGCGGAACGGACGTATTGCATCACCCAACACATGTCCGAAACGCTAGCCTCGTACCAATTCGGTGTTAAGAGACTGGGTGTTCAAAGTTGAACCTTATCGGCGGTAGTCAACCCACAGGTGCTTGCAGTTCCCTTGGATTGATAGCTGAGAACCAAAGGCAATATCGGCCGACATTATCCCTTGCTTGGCTTGTGCTGATCTTCAGCTGCTTCGGACTTTGGAGCTGTCTATCCTCGTAACTGCCGGAAAGTATAATGGGACTAGTCATTATCACTGCTTCCTCCTAGCGAGGTTTTGCTGGTATGTCCGAATAGCCCCCACAACGGCGGTTCAGTGAGACAACAAGACGTCCCTTGCCTCGGTTTCTCGCCTCGATAGAAACTTGACTCAAAAGGCGCAAAGGACCTTTTGTCATATCTCGACCTTATTCTTTCTATCTCTCAACCAAGAAGAAAGCATTCATACAAGACATTCTTTTGCAATATACTGTCTCAAGAACAACAAAACATGACTGGGTCTCATAAGGTCGTCCTTGTCACTGGTGCGAATGGCTTTATCGCCACTCATGTTGTGAAACACCTTCTGCAAAAAGGGTACCACGTCCGAGGAGTCGTCAGATCTCAAGCATCTGCCGACGCTGTTCTCGAGACTTTTCGTGACAGTTCAGAATTCCTTTCCGTAATTGTCGTTCCTAGCATGACGGTCGCGGGGGCTTTTGACCAAGCTGTCAAAGGTGTTGATGCTGTATGTATACTCTACACTCCACGCACTGACGTCAACGCGGGCCACTGACAACTGTTCTCTACAAAAGGTTCTTCATATTGCGAGTCCTTTCACACTCAATGTGAAGGACAATGAGACTGAGCTACTAGTACCGGCGATCGCGATGACCAAAGGCCTTCTGGAATCTGCTTCCATGTATGGCACGGAAATTAAGAGAGTCGTCATTACATCCTCCTTCGCTGCCATGGTCGACCTCACAAAGGGATTGTGGCCCGGCCATACGTATAATGAGGCGGACTGGAACCAAGTCACCTACGATTATGCCAAAACTGCCGACACCGGTACCGCATACGTTGCATCCAAGGCTTTAGCTGAAAAAGCTGCCTGGAGCTTCGTCCAGGATCGGAAGCCGCATTTCGACATTACTGTTCTCTGCCCCCCAATGGTCTTTGGTCCTCCCGCACATCCCCTGTCGTTCTCAGCGCTGAACATTGCCGCGTGGGATATCAATCGATTTCTCTCCGGAGAGCTCCAAGATGTACCCGACACAGACTTCTGGGGCTTCGTTGATGTTCGGGATCTTGCAACGTCGCACGTCCGCGCTCTTGAGGTTCCTGATGCTGGCAACGAGAGGTTTTTGATCGCCGGTGGTCGATACAGCTATCAGCAAACAGCGGACGTACTGCGGGCATCTTCGCGTATCCCCGACGTTGAGAAGGCGAAGATACCGCGCGGCCCCGGGGACAACTATCCAGGCCCCAATGTCTACGAATTGGATAATTCCAAGTCAATTCGCATTCTGGGTGTCGAGTATCGCTCATTTGAGCAGTCTATTGTTGATTCGGCGGTCAAGGTAGTCGAAGCGAGACGCAAGGCAGGAATTTAGCAGAGTCAAAACGATTCAAACGAATGGATCATGCATGTTAGATGACACACATACTCATAGATAGTTAAGATCAGACAAAACCCCTAAGGTTCACCATAATTGGACTCTCGTCTCTATTGTATGTAACTTTATAATTGACTGATATCGCCTGTAATTGAGTGGAAGGCTTCATGGAATTTGTACTGGGCCTGGCCCTTTCTCCGGGCCATCTACGCCGGATTGAATGAGAATCACAGGCAGCATAAACATGCGCATCTTGGAGTCAACAATCTATGCTTTGATTGCTTCTGTTCTGTGTACCTAGAGCTAGGGTTGCTGTACCTCAAGGTTTCGGGAAAACGAAATGCTAGCGAAACTAACTAACCGTATCATGACTTATTAGCCTTCTCCCCCGATTGGGAGGCGTAAACAATCATGTCCTTAGCCAATCCCGAATTTCGGAGTTAGCAAGAAACTAGTCCACCACGGGCACCGACCCTAACAGCCCCCCCCCCCCATAACTATCACCGAAGCCGACGGTATCTTTGTATGTCCGTGTAGATTTGCACTTCTTAGTGCGAAAGAGGAGCCCTTGGGAACCTAGTGATGTCGAAAGGTCGCCCTAGCACTAAATATGACGCTGTGGTTCCTTGAGACGGGCGCCGCCCATAGTCTCGCAGAAAGAGTGTGAGAAATAGAATGCTAAAAGGGGAATTAAGGCTAAAACGACAATATGCTGGATATTTTGATACCGTTGAGAGCCTTTAATGAAATGAGGGGAAACAAAAAACTGCTGCATTCCAATTTGTATTATGTAGTCCTATACTTTGCTGCAAACATTGATGTTTCCAAACGTGACGTGAAACTACTTGGCGCCCTGTAATGTGTCATCTGTGCCGTGATAAGGCATCAAATCACTTCCAAAACTGTCCATAATATTGGTACCGAAATGGCCTTGCCCAAACGCTGTTTGATATGGAGGACTTATGCTCAACGACTGAGCCAAATACCCATTGCGCAATAGTTCGTTCATCGGTTGAGGAACCAACACATCTCCGAGGTCGGGTTGTATAATGGTGTCCCAATTCGTTTCCAATGTCTCTGCTTCCATCGTGATAAAGTTGATATCATCAGTACCTCCCTGCTGGTAGCCCAAGTGCTCCTCTGGATACATCACAGCAAGCATTTTTCGATACAGTCGTTCGACAATGCTGAGTGCGGAACTAGCAAGAACATTCTTCCTGGCCTGCAAAGACTTGAGCCGCTGAATGCCCAACTCAAGATTCCTCCTGGTCGCTGCAAACTGTTCCCCTAGTTCATTCGGAAAGCGAATATGCACCGCTGCAACAAGCACCATGGCGTCAAACGTCGCGAACACCAAACTAAAAGCTTTGTACTGCAACGGTTCTGTCTGGTCGAATAGACGACCTTGAGACTCCAGGATTCGCATCGCTGCGTCAAAGGCCTTGTGGCGGCTGTTCGGTTCTGCAAAGATGAACGGTCGATGCAAAGCAAAGATGACAAATTGCACGTTGGTGTACATTGTTTCCAAGGCCGCAGAAAGCCAAGGAAGTTCTCCATGGCGAGACCTCTGGATTGTCGCCCATCCGGGAACGTTCGCAATATTAGTAACAATAGTTTCGTGGATTTTGTCAACTGGGACACGCCAGTCCTCTACTTTCTCGAGATCGTGAATGTCCTGTAAGAATTTGTAAGCCGTGTGATAGCCGCACAAGATGACGTCGCGAGGTTGCGGTGGCCTTTGGTTTCCAGAGCTGTCTCTTGAAGACATTGGCGAGGCCACGTCGCTGGGACTCATTCTTGTCGACATGGGCCTTCCGAGTACTATGCCCATGTGAGCATCCCAGAGGTGAAGCATAAGCCAGACGTTACGGCCCATTTCGCGATCTGATGACTTTTCGGATTTTGAGTATGTCGTGGAATCTGGTTCTATCAGATGCAGACCGAGTTCTTGGGCGTCGCGGATAGCAGTGCCGAGCGTGTGCCATGCCTCGATTACTGCCCCTGTGGTCTTTTCAAAACAGGCTCGCATGAGTTCAGCCTGGACTCCCGTGAGAGTGGGCTCACTCTTTCTGAAAGATGAAGCGAGTCGACGGCCCGCATCACTGTATTCCGCTGCCCGATCTGATAACTCCATATCTACTGCGTACTTCAGCTCGTTCAGGGTATCGTTGTGCTGTGCGGGTTGAAAAAGCAGGGCCTGTGCCAGAACCTGGAAGAGCAGAGCAGGGAAAGATCGGAGGGCAGTCGGTAAGGCATTTGGTCCTCTTTTGAGTTGATCATGCGTCAGGCGGCGCCATTCAGCAAGTTGATTCAGAAAGATAGCTTGGTCGACGATATCGTAATGCCATGCTACATTTCTGAAGAAGTCTTGCACGAGAACGTCTATGTGTCTTTGAGACGGAAGTTCCCGAATCATGCTCATGTATTCACCGGGGTCAGGACAGTCCCTACGCGGGACTTGGGGCAAAAGACTTGCAGACTCCCCCAGACAGCGGAGGACCCCTGGTGTTCCCTTTGTATTGTCGCCGTAGCCCAGTGGTTTGAAATCATCGGGCAGAACACCCAAGGCGGGTGGAATTGGTCCTGGACATGCTCGCAAGACGCCGTTGGTGGATTGATCTTGGAGCTCGACAGGGAGGAACGTAGAAGGCGTGCGATTGGCATCCAAATCATAGAGGCAGACGTCCTGTTTCCTCAGCAAATGGCATGTCCTTAGGGAGATGTACACGCTTACCGCTTTGCCCCGTTTCATACAATGAGCACATGGCTGGCGGCGATCGCACTACAACACAACGTTAGTCTGGGATGCCTTGATAAACGAACTGCTAATCAATGCCTTTTGTTTACGTCGCTGACACTCCCTGCACGAGATGACAGAGCGCTTGCGTCTCGCGGACGGTCCAATGCCGTTGTGGCTCATAAGCATTGGGGTTCAAACGTCGTGAACTGCTGACCTTAGACCTTGAAGGAAATACAAAAGAACAAGTAGAGCATGTATGTGTGGAGGGAAAGGTATGAACCAACAAGTCAGTGGTAAGCGCCGCGACCCCGCTTCAGTATGACATAATACTGTGGCGCATTGTACAGCGAGTAACATAAAGCCTGTCTTTGGGTAAGAACACGACTTTCCGCTCCTCAACGTTAAGCAAGCTGGTGAACAAGCCTCGGAGGTTTAGTCGTCGATTAATAGGAGGTTGAAATGGAATATAGGGCTGGCCTGCAGGGTAAAGAGAAAGTGTATGACCAGGCGTTAAAGGCAATCGCACATGCCTTCTGTTGTATATTTTTGGACGCTATCGGGTTTACGAAGGTAAAATTATTATCTATTGCCAGCTCATCAATTGAAGATATATGGGAACGGACTTGCAATATCTGTAATTTTCTCCTCTGGAACCTTACTGTTAAGCAGCCAATATCTTTGGCCAACTGGTCCGTTCACAAATTTTCTGACTAAGACAATCTAAAACCGCCGAGTGGGATAGATGGGGCTAGATTCATTTTTCTTCTGCGTAGTCCCCACGGTTTCACTTCTCTGTACTCCGTACAATTTAAAAATACAATTCGGATCGGTAAACAATGGCGAACACACAGCTTCGAGTCGTAACCCGCATCAACCATGGCATTGCTCAAGACATGGTATCCTCTTTGATCGTGGGTAGTCAAGCAGCTGTACTCGTTGATGTACCCTTGACCATCCCCCAAGCAAAAGAGCTTGTACCATGGATACGCTCCAACGCCAGCGTGCCATTGGTGGCGATATTTGCCACGCACTTCCATCCAGATCATTATCTCGCTGCTCACATCATCTTGGAGAGCTTTCCTGAAGCCGAACTATATGCTACCGAGAAGACAGTGGCTTTGATCAACGACATCATCGAGGGCAAAGTGTGTAATGGCTCAATCCAAACAATTGAACTTGCTAACATAAGAATAGACTGCCTTCTGGAAGTCGGCATTAGGAGGTGAAAACATTGCCAACTCGCCAAGAATCCCGAAGGCTTTCCCGTCGACCTTCTTTTTGCTTCCAGGGGACGATATCGTCCATCTTCTTGGACCTGTCAACGGAGATAGCCCTGAGCAGACCATGTTCTGGATCCCCTCCATTAGAACATTGATTGCCGGCGATGTCGTATACGGCCATGGAATGCATATGTGGCTCGCTGATCTTGACGATCCCTCAATGACGGAAGCATGGCTCGGCTCTTTGCGACTAATCGACTCTCTCGGTGCAGAGAGAATTATTCCAGGACATGCACTTAGTGACCAACACGGTTTCAGTGGAAGTAAGGATACGGACCACACACGAGCGTACGTTGGTTTCTTCCAGAAAGAGATCGAATCGAAACCGAAGGATACCTTCACGCCAGATGAAATCACCACTATGTTTGATGAAGCTTTTCCAGAGTTGGCAGAGATGGAAGAGGGTTCGACCTCGAAGCTTCTGCTCCAGATTAACGCTCAGCATTTTGGCAAAGAAGGCCAGCGACAAAAACACGACGTTGATCTAGTTTCACTTCAAAAGTCTTATATCTCAGCCTGGGACTTTAGTAAGAACTAATTGGCGATGGCCCAATATGATAAGTCAGCCATACTTAAGAATCTCGGCGGAAAAACTGTCTAAACATTATTGGCCACTCTCTGCAATAGCAGAATCATATATCCATGATTTTAATTAGCTCCTTTATCACACTAGCATTGACTGTCGCTGTGCCCCTTCCTTGGTATGATCTTATCCTCATTCGACGTATGGACTCCATGAATTGCATTGAAGAGGCCGACGGGACCGGTGGGGTACTAACCGGAATTAGACAGACAACTATGATAGCGGGGCCGTCCCGACGGCATCATTCGACGGCATACGGTTAACGAGATGTAACAAATGGTCTGGGCTCAAGGCAGAACACATTTGGCCATCTTGAGCTTTACTTAAGCCAATAAATTATTTCATGTCGTGATGCTACAAAGTTCCATATAAGCTACACCCTTTACAACTACCAAGACCCAAACTCCCGACGATTTTCGAATCACCTTACAAGACAAATAACACAATCCATTAGCCGCTCGCCCAATGGCTCCTCTCAAAGTGATCTTAATCGGTGGCGGCCTTGCCGGCGCATGTCTAGCAAATGGTCTCATCAACAAATCCGATGGCCAAATCGACGTAACTGTCTTTGAACGAGACGAAGCTGGTTCAGAACGAGGAGGTTACCAAATCCGACTTGGGGCTCACGCACTTATCGGTTTCAAGGCCTGTCTTACCGATGAACAATACGCAAACCTACTACCCTGCTTCGGCAAGTCTGGAGGGGTCGTGTCGTCCGCTCCTTGCATCTTTAGTCCCTCTGACCTGAAGGTTCTGATCGACTTGAGTAAAGCTCCAGTTTATGAGAAGAGTGCTCCAATTGCACGAACGAGACTTCGGAACTTTTTCCAGAAGCCACTACAGGAGAAGGGTTCTATCCATTTTGGTAAGAAGTACGTAAGGTATGAAGTACTTCAAGGAAAGGAAGCTGGGCAAAGCAGCATCAGGGTTCACTTCAGCGACGATACTCATCATGACTGTGATGTCCTCATATCTGCCGAAGGAAGTGGAAGTCGTATCAACAAGCAGATTGGGCTTAACAACATCATCACCGAGGTGACGCCTGGACATGGTGGCTACTTGGGTAAATGTCATTTACCGTGGTCTGTACTACAGACATTGCCGCGACAGCTTCTGGAGAAGGGCACGATCTACACTGGCAACTCTAAGGCTATGGTGTTTGCCGCTGTATATTTACCAGAAGCGCTATCGTTCCCCAAGAATGCTTCTTATTCCGAGCACACGGATATCCTCAAACCCAAGAACTACGACGAGGATGAAGCTTCTCTGTTCCTTGGTATGGCATGGACGACGGGTCCTGACGCCGCAGAGCTACCTCACGTCAAAGACAAAAAGGGTTTGATGAAGACGAAGCTCACAGAGGCTGGCTTTCATCCTAGTTTTCAGAAGCTTGTTGACGCTGTCGAGGACGACGCTATCATGACGACGCCTTGGCGATATGCGAACAACGACACGCCCATGGATTGGAGACAACAGCTTCTGTCTAAGAGCGAGAGCATGTTGGATCCAAGCATTGCGAATCCGCGTGTTTGGCTCATTGGAGATTCTATCCACCCTATGCTCCCTTCTAGAGGAATGGGCGCGAATAATGCGATCCATGATACAGCTGATGCACTTGGTCCATTACTTGAACTTGCGAAGCTGAAGAACGCGACTGGAAGTGTGTCTGATGAACAGATTGGAGATCAGCTGGCGGTATATGAGAAGCTTATGATGCCAAGGGCTTTCGAATGGGTTAAGAAGAGCAGCAACCAACAGGTATGAATCCTCCTTGTAGCGTGATGATTGGAGCTAACGATGTAATAGTTGCCGGACCTGGACAGTCTGTTAGGAAGAGCAATAATCATTGGTTTGCGAGTGATGCTCTTTATAGTCGGTGGTTTGGTCAGATGTCTCCGGGTGCTTGGATGGGAACCCAAGGATGAAGCTCCTGAGCTCTCTTGAAATACCCGCACCATATCACGAACTTTTGTGCGATATCTGCTTATTGTATTAATTCACTCTGTGTTTTCTTCTAGTTTCCGAGTTTGGCTGATGTGCTTGGATGTAATTCATGAGTTTATCGGATGGAACGTTATCGGTTAACATACTTCCATGTTACGTAGCGACCATCTGTTAGTGTGCTATTGTTCTCATCATGAAGTTTGCACATATCATTGGAGCCATCGCATAGTTGAAGCACCAATTGGTGAGTCATAGAGAAGGATAGTTCCCTGATTTGTAGAGACAACACCGCAATTGAAGAGACAAGGCCAATGAACAACATATAATATATAGTAGCGTGATGCAAAACTTGAAATCTCGGACTTGAGCAGTAAGAACACTGATGCAGTTATGGAATTCTCGTCCTTCTTGAAGAGAGTTGTAGAAATAGAGGACACACGTCTTACGGAGCACAGCTAGCAATCTCGGTAAGATCCTAGACCTTGGCCCATCTAAAACCAGCCTGACAATACCTTGCAGTCCCATAAGCAAACACGGAAGCAATCATGGTACAGCCGCAGAACAACTGCAAGCCCATGAAGCTATTCCCGCTCCCGCTCTTATCTGTGATTAACGCACCGCCAAGTGGACTACCCGTCAAAGCCCCAAATGCATTTACAAGTGATGCGAGTCCTATTCGTGTGCCGATCTCTTCAATTGGGCTGATCTGGCTGACACAGCCGGGAAAGATGGATACGTAGCCACCTGAGCCGTAACCGAAAGCAACAGCATATGCCATGATAGCTGCTGTACTTTGACTGCCCGGAATCCAGAGCACCAGCGTCAAGATGCCTGTGAATGTCGTGATTATCAGCATGCAGTTGAACTGGCCGATGACATCAGCCAGTGCACCTGCTATCAAACGACCGATCAGACTGATGCCGTTAATGAGCGGGAGAAGATAAGGAACAAGGTCGGACGAAACGCCGCTCGCCTTTGCCTGAATGATGATGTAGTTCAACGGTAGAAACATTCCCCAAAAGAAGAGAAAGCCGCCAATCATAGTCAACACCATGACTGGCTCCTTGAAACATCGCTGATAATCTGACAACACGAAAGGACGCGGTTTAGGCGGGGTCCGTGACTTGATCAAGACGCACGAAATCGCCATGAAAGCCAAGAACACGGATCCAACAGCTCTCAAAGTCCAGCCAAAGCCAATACCCTTGAACAGACGAGATAGCATGATGGGTAGCACTATACCACCGGCGGAAGATCCAGAGTTCACGATGCCAAAGACTGTTCCGCGCCTCTTTCTGAACCATGACGTTATGGATGTAAGAGAAGCAGTGAATACGGCGCCTGAGCCCATGGAACTAAGCAGTGCCTGGGAAAGAAGGATCTGATAGTATTGCGTTGATAAAGAGAGCATCATTATACCGAAGACATATACGGGAGCGCCGATGAGAAGAAGGTATCTAGGGCCGTATGAGTCGTAGACACGACCCCACTGCGAACCGCGCCGTTAGCTTCATGATCCGAACAGTCAGTGTCGAAGGGGACATACGACTGCTGAGCCACCGACTTGGAAGAATACTTGCAAACTAGTGACCCAGCTAATAGAGCTGGGGCTGTAGTCTGCTAAAGGACCTGCCTGGTAATACTCGAGAAATACACCGACACATGTTACGAGGCCGAAGGTGCAGAAGAGACCGAACCAGCCTCCGACAAGGACGAGCCATGCTTCCCTTCCGCCTTCGGGATACCCAGTCTCGTTAATGGGAGATACTATTTGAGACTCTGGTAGTGCCTCTACATGGGGGTGTTTCTCGGATGTATCGAGATCCATATCTGGTCTGGTAGAGCTTGAAAGGGAAGTCTCGGTTTGGGCCATGGCGATGGGAGGCGATGGGAGGCGATGGGAGGCTTTTTCTGACCTATGTCTGTCAGTATAGAGGTAGCTCGTTAGAGGGAAAGGTGAATACAACGTAGGTTCTGGCTTTGATCTATTTCTTTTGAGGTGATAGCATATCTCGGAATCTAGATCCGTGCCGAGCCGACACCGCATATGACAAGCTATATTCGTGGCGGGACATTGTCCTTCTGGACAAAACAAGTGATAGTAGATTACTCAAATTAGTCACCGGCGGAGATGCTTTTGCTCAATGTGTTTCTACCTGGGGTAGAGTCGACTTCCGACCAGCAGCCGACGGAGCCGCGTGGGGTGCGGTACAGATCACGTTCAGATGAGGGGGAAATGTCAGCGGAGCCTCGGCATCTTAACAAGTCACATCCTGATACTTGCGGTGGGATGCAGCAGCTTCTCTCCTTCGAGATTGTGTCACTGGCCTGATAGTTTGCGAGGTTAGATTTATCTATGAGGATTACAAGTTATAGTAGCAGGCTGAACTGGGCCTTGTCGGAAAACGAACATATTCTGCAATGAGTAACAGACTCCTGATAAGCTAATTCCTCTGTTCAAAGATATCCAAAAATCAATATTGATAAGTGAATCATTACTTTTGCAACATTAATGGGGCAAGAATGTTATAGCATGGTATAACGTCCTGGACCATGCAGTAACAGCAACAGTCGCGTATGAAAGCCATTTTACTTCATTTAATACACTCGCAGGAGGCAGAGCTCGTATATAGGTGAGCTCTACGAGATCTTTAGCTAACACTAACCTATAGATCCAACGTGACAGGCTCAACAAAGTCCATCGTCAAGACTTTTGTCTTACCATTCGCCTCGACCGCCTTCGTCGCCGCTTCAGTCTTTATCCTCCAGGGTGGAATACATCTGCGATTGATCAGTTAATCTTCCATTCCAGGTTTTCTCACGAAAGGTTACGTACGCTTCGTCATGTAGACACCAGATCACCTGAGACGGATCCCCAAGCCAGCCAACCTTCAAAGCTGCAAACTCGGCTGCAGACCCATCGAAAGGTCTTCCGTTGAGATTCGCTCTTCCCGCAATAGCGAGGATCGCAATATCCGGTTTTGGCTGTAAGTCTCGTAGAATACCTTCATAGCCGCCTAAGTGTGCACTCCAAAGCAATGCTTTCTTACCAATGACAAAATTGAACATCAACTGCCCGCCATCGCTGTGAGAAAACACGTTCCGCTTTCGCTCAGCGACATATTCGATAAAGGAGCGATGACCAGGGGTGAGTTTCTCGGGTGGCATGAGCTCCCCGACCTTGAGCAAACCATATTTCATGCCGATGGTGATATCAAGTGTGCAACTGTATGGACTCGCTGAGCCCTTGTATACGGTCGCTGTGTCGATAACTTCAGGGTGATCTGCAGGCATCATACAGTGCAGTGAAGGCCAGACATCAACTGAGAATGCTGCGAGTTCATCTAGTGGACGTCGAGGTGCTCCAGGAGGAGCGGGACAGAGCAATGATGGGTCAACATTGGCTTTATTCCATGTCTCACGAGTGAACAGTGGCATTCGCTCGCCGCCTTGAACGGGGAGGAGTTGATGTTCTGGAACGCCAGCCTCTCTTAGGAGGTTGATTGCTTCATTGTTGGCTATGACGATGGCGCCAGTTTTGATTGCGATGCGATCTGCGCCAGGCAGGCTGCGGGCTCGTTAATATTATAAGCTTTATTCCGACGAGTTGTACTGACTGGTCAAAATGGGCATGCGAGATGAAGATGTAGTCAGCTTCTTCGACGTCATCAACTGGTAGATATGTTTTCAAGATCGAGGGCCTGTCTAGCCAGGTGTCAAGGAAGATGGTGACGCTTCGTGTACGTAGACGGAATGTCGTGGCACCTTTTGAGTTAGTGACAAAGAAACTCCAGAGAAAGAAAAATAGACTCACCGAACCATTCAAGGGTAGAATCTGTCGTCATGGTTGGCTTTGAAACAAAAATTGTGTTGAGTGTCAGTATTGCGAAATCCGGGCAACCAAGGGATGTTGTTTGAAAAGCTCCACCACTTTCACGTTACTGTAACTTGAGAACTAAGTGCATAATTTACTAGCCATTAGTAGTAATCAGCCCGAGAAATGACATTCTATGAGTGAATAACTTCTACCTACGCATTCAATAACATCATCATGTCGCCTCACGACCACTACCCTGGAGCAAGCGGGGCCGGCGGGGTAAACTCAACCATCCAAATACCGTTAGCCCCCTACAATCATCGAGATAGTCATCATCCCGTCCCGTCGGTTCTCGATAACCCATCCTCTCCCCCTAAGCAAACATACCAGTCGTGCCGTACCGCAACGGGGTATTCCACTATGCAGCAGAATCAATTGTCGTGTGATCATTGCGGAGAGACGTTCCAACGCCGTGAGCATCGTGATCGACACGTCCTCCGACACACGGGCCTCAAGCCGTTCCAGTGCAATGTCTGCTCCAAGTCGTTTTCTCGAAAGTGAGTCACTGCGCCCGTGGACGCCGTGATATTTCTGACCTAATAAAGTGATACCCTTACTCGCCATCGGGCCTTGCATGGTAGTCAGCCTGGGTCGACTAGAACACGTCGCCGTCGTCGTGGCCAAGCTTGTATACCTTGTTCAAAGGTGAAGCAGAGCTGCGATGGAGGTCATCCTTGCTCACGATGTGAGAATCGCGAGTTGGAGTGCATTTATCCTGCTAGGGATTCTGGCGCACAGCGAGACGATAGTCCTACTATAATCGTGGGAGAGTTATCCCAAGGTCAAGACATCTCTGCCTCATCGCCCCTCACAGCCCAAGGCGCAGACTTCCAGGAGGAAGGTTTCATGCCTGGTCAACTTCATCTCACTTCAGAAGAATGGGACAATCATCCTTCTATTACCTCTGATACAAGTGGGATACCGACAAATGCATCAAGCACCATATACCCAACAATCCCAGACACCTCTTCCAGCTGGCCTAATGAACCAACCTTACCCGAAACCTTTACTCTCAACGAAGGTATTGCTAGCTTTGGTACCATGGCAGGTAGCCCATGGATACCTTGGAATTCTTTGATGGCACATTTCACTTTTCCGTGGTTCATGGACGAATTGGAGATGCCACTTGAGCTACCGGATATGGCGCATCGTCATGAAGAAGTAGCACATCACGCAGTCTTGAACCAGCAGGTTTCACAAGGCCCGGCTTATTTAACTCCGGAAAACATATGTTCCACTTACACACAGCCATGCAACCCGTTCCCAGAGCCGGAAGCTATTGGACTACAAATGGCTGGCGCTGAAGTCTTTGGGCATATCCACGAGTTACCTGGACAGGCCGCAGAGGGATTGAATAATTTCTACAAGATGCAGAGGAGAGACGCAATACCAGCAGCCATTCCTCAGGATATTCTACACGCGTTTGTGGATCTGTACTTTGAGTACTTTGATTCTCAGTTCCCCTTCTTACACCCATCTCGCTTGGAAGATCCGAACCTCCCATGGATGTTATTGTTAGCCGTAGCAGCAGTGGGAAGTCATTACTCTGAGATACCAGGCTCAGAACAGTATAACACTGCGTTGTGTGATCTACTTGCCCGGGCTGTTGAACTACCTGCAAGTAGAGTCACTAATTGTTGTTTATGATGTGCTAGCTAACCATAAAACCGCAGGTACACGATAACATAGCGAATGTCGACGTAACAACAGTACAATGTGTCTTTCTCTTACATGTTCTCTGGCTGTTCTCAGGCTCACACAGAGACAAGATTGTTCTACAGCATAAGCGAAGTAGCCTAGCGACGATGTGCTGGGACCTCGTTGGCAAGGCTGACAAACGCAGACAATCAACTCAAACTGAGCCTCATAGTCAAGAAACATGGCAAGCCTGGATCTCTGAGGAGAGTGAAATACGTCTCGCCTCTTGCGTACGTGTATTGGAGTGTTTGAGCCATATGTTCCTGGGTATTCCGCTGGTATTTAACCTTCGTGACGCGACGCGACAAGTGCCGTGTCCTAAGAGACTGTGGCGGATACGAAATGCTTTAGAGTGGAAGACACTACAAGAAGACTCTACAGGTATCGTAATTGTCACCAGAAGTGAGTTTATAAGTTTACTGACGATGTCTAGGAAATGATCCTAAGCCCGATGCCTTTGCCGCCAAAGTCATGCTTCTCGAACTATACATCGACAACATGAATTACTACCGCCAAATGCGCAGTTCGCAACTCCTACAGTCTTCATTTGCATCATATTTAAACTCCCCAGCAACGAACGATACCCAATACGCACCGAACCACTCGCTTCAAAGACCTGACACCGTTAGGAGCGAAAGTGCTCTTCTAGACACGACGATCGATCAATTGACCTTGAACAATAAATCGGACCGTGGAGCCTGTACAGACACAATATTACATGTCATTGCAATTCTAAGGATGATTCCTCTTGAAACTTTGCACTCTGCTACAGGCTGGGAGACGAATAAAGAACAGATGATGAAGTCTAAAATGCATCTTAAAGACTTCTTCAAGAACGATAGTGTCAAGGCTCGGAAGGTCTTATGGCATGCTACTTGTATCTTCAAAACAACGCGGAGTTCTCGTCGTCTCGCGTGTTATGATGCGCTCAGTCTCACGGTGGCGATGGGCTATATATACTGCTACAACGAAACACGCGCATCATTGGCAGCGACTCCAACGCGTCCGGTGATTACACGCCTAGATCAATTGCAAGACCCAGATGCTGTTGAAAAATGGATAGAGAATGGGGGTGATAACATCGTTCACTTGACTGGTGTTGGATTGCTGGATGGCTCTGACCACTGCGTTCGTTTCCTTCGAGATTTGGAGAAGACGCTGGTGTCGCAGATTGCGTGGCGCGGATTCTGTCGTGCTTTTGCTAGTAGCTTCGCTCAGCTAAGACGTGGAGAGACGCCGACCAAGAGCTCGAGGGAGTACCTCAATGCGGAATGATAGAGCTGTTGCACCCACCATACGGCACAATAGGCCAATACATGAATAGCGGGAATCACCTCGTAAGCTAGATATATGGGGAATCTGACTCTACTATAAGCGAGCATGCCGTGGAGAAAGTATTAAATAGTTATTCAATTATGTACGATGCAAGCTCCTGGTTCATCGGCCCTTACGCGGTACAACCAGGACATTCAAAGCAAGAATTATCGCTCCACGTTCCATCCCTCGAGTGATCAGGCCAATCCCTAAAGTCCGCCACCTTGAGCTCCCTGAACGAAAACATACACCTATCATCCTTGTACCCAGACCCAACGCAGTAATCCAGCGCCATGCAAATAGCCGCGCACTTCTCAGGTGAGCTCTGGTCAGGATACGTCGCAAGGTCCCATTGATTGTACGCCTCCCAGAAACCCTGGTAGTTGCACAACGCACCTGGTTTGCCAGACGCAGCGCGGCAGCTATCGCCTTGTTCGTACGAGCAGTACCTCGTGGCGGGGAGAGCGGCGGTGTCGGAGCATGTTGGGCACGTCCAGCAAGAGTTGTGGCTCCAGACCGCGTGATCCTGAGGCCGATCTTCATGTGAGACCATATCAGATTGCTGAATCTTCTTGGAGGTGAAGAGACAGCGGTTCTCAGTCTGGAAGTAGGCAGAAGATTCACAGTTCTGGAGAGTCTGACAGATAGCGGCGCATTGGTAGACATCGTCTTGGTAGGGATAGTCTGCGCGGGACTCTTTCCATGTCGTGCCGGTGAAGAGGGCGGCCCAGATGCAGAGGGTGTCGCTGTGGTCTTTGAAGCGGTTGAACTCGCATTCTTGACCTCGGTTGTAGATACAGTTATCGGCTGGGGATGTTGTGGTCGCTGGGCTGTCAGAGGTAGTAAAGCTTGTGGATTCCGGAGCGATAGTAGTGTCAGTATTGGCAGGCGTAGCAGAAGCCTCAGCAACAGTTGTCTCCACAGGTCCATTCTCGCAGGCAGAGCATGCGAAACAATCCATTCCATACCAATCAACATCGATACCATCATCCATCATGTTACGAACCTCGGATTGTGTAACAACGTTGTTTGAGAAGAAACATTTCCTTGGGGCAAACATGTAACCCGCTGATTTGCAGCCAGGCAGCGTCTTGCAGATCTCAGCACAGTCATCAGCGCCGTCGTACCAAGGCCGCGTCTCATCGTCTTGGTCTTGGCTGGGCAACTGGTATGTCAAGCCGTTATAGAGGCCGTAGACTCTGCAGTTCCACTCGGGGTGGTTGTCGAAGCCGTCGCGCATGTCGCATGATGGCTTGCAGGCCGTTTCGGTTGGCTGGGCGGAACGTGTAGTGTCGGTGTTGGGGGGAGAGGTGGTGGTTGTCTCGGGCATGGTCCTCTCGGTGGATGTTTCGGATGTCGTGACTGGATTTGTAGTGGGCGCGCCAAAGTCGAGGACAAAGTCCCCAATGTTCGCGGGGGTGACTTGGTTCGAGACGAAGATCGAGTCGACCAGGATAACAGAGATGCCGTTCCCAGCGCAAGTCATGGATATGGCAAAGGTGGCGGAAGCAGAATCAGCATCGACCTGCTCAAGAACATGCGTCCAAGACACGCTGGTTCCGACAGATGACAGGGACTGCGAGTAGAATTGCCTGCTGCCCAGAGATGCAGCGACAGTGCAATCCTGGCTACCAAAAGAAGCAACGAGGTAGTAGAACTGAACAGTGTATTTGTTCTGAGACCCAGTGCTCAGCGAGTTGAGTGTCTGCCAGATGCTAGCAAACGATCCAGTATCTCGCTTTCCAGCTGGGTTCCCCGAGGCCGTCAATGCAGCGCAACCATCATCGCGACTTCCGTCAGCCTTATAGCAACCTCCTTCATGAAATTCTGCATTTCCGGTCGCGCCGAAGTTTGTGAGTTCGCTGGGCGGGTTGTTTGCATTGCGGACGGCGAGACTTCCTCCCTCAATAGCGTTGGTGATGATGATATCGACCTCTTGCGTTGTAGTTGTCGATTGGGGAACGGTCAAGCTGGGGACTTCGGATGCTTCGGAAATGTCGGTCGGTACGGAGGATGTAAGTGCAATACTAGAAACCGATGTTAGACCACTGGGCTTACAAGGACCAGCAGCGGCCAAATTAGCCAGGGCCAAGACTACGAGGGCAAGAATAGACTGCATGTTGAAGCAAGCTCAGGAAAGGCGACCACAGAATTGGTCAAAAAACGAGTGAATGAGAGCCTACCTCTGCGAAATAAAATCGTGCGATGCTGGTTTATTATGAATGGACCCCTTGTTTCGCCAAGTCTTTACTCGACTCAGCTTTGACAAACTATTGACAGCATCACGGTCGAGATTTACTGTTTTCAGGGACCATGATCAATATTTGGGTTAGCGAGCTGCCACTATTGACAACTATTGATCCTAATAGCGGGCCGTTTTGGCTGTACCTAACAGGAACGAGTCTAGAGCCCGAAAGCTAAAGCCGAGTCTGCTATAATAATTGCTTCAGCGCTAATCTGGGCTTAGGGTCGTATCCACTACGGAATTACTGCCGACAACATCCTTTGTCTTTACCCATGGTGGACGCACTAAAAAAGCAATGTGAGTAAAACGGTAAACCTTTATCTAACCTAGAAAACTCATTGCAAGACTAGATGTTGAAGATAGGTCACTGGACCGACTAAGCTTTTTGTCTGTCCTGTTTCAAGCTCTCAGTCACAAGTCTTAACTCTGAATAACTCATCCTAGTGCGTTTTCAAGGACCAGCGCTGGCGAAATTGGCCAGGGACCTCTAGGTACCTAGAAGCTTTTGAGGCATAGAAGTTGCCATATCGCTATGTCGCGATTTATGAGACTTAGATATTTACTCCGAGGAATAGCCTTCAGTGACTGGATATCTCCTGGTATCAGCATCTCGCGTCAGGCCACAGATGTTATGACACGTGTGTCTGCAGCCCACGTCGGGAAACCCCGCAAGTCTTACAAGCAGTCTTCAATGTGCATAGAGAAACGAAGCCGTTCGATGTGTTTTTGTCTCTTTTTCATCGAAAATAACTAAGCTAACCGTTAGATTTGTAATCGCGAAACAGAAAGTATTGTCAGTATGGCCGAAAACCCAGGGCAATCCAAGTACCGTCAGCCATACTCCGGGAAACGGCAGAGAATCAGATCACCCAGCAGAGAGAGAGAAATGATCGATAACGGCGATATCTATCCCCAAAAACTTGATAAAGGAGCCATCAGAATTATGACACTCCATCGCGGCTCTGGATCTGACGTATTCAAGTGCGACTTGAGAAATATTCGACTCGCTGCCAAACCTGCGGTGCAAACACCACCCTACGAAGCCTTGTCATATGTTTGGGGCGAAAAGGAAGATCCGAGTCATATTTATATTAACGGAAACCGTTTTTCTGTCACACAAAACCTCTTCGAAGCCCTTACCTATCTACGGCACCTTGACTCTGATAGAATACTGTGGATTGATGCGATATGCATTAACCAACTTGATTTCGCCGAAAGAGAAGTCCAGGTTCAGCAGATGCACCAAGTTTACGGTAACGCTAAGGAAGTAATCGCCTGGATAGGAACCTCAAACGCGGACACAAATGAAATCTTTGATCCGATCGCTTCGATGGAAGATGGGGCCCAAAAGCAATTTCCAAGCCTGAATTTAGGACCACTAAGTGGTTTCAGTTTAACCCTGGGCAATGAACGGAGAACCCAAAGGAAAAAAGCAGCATTAAGCCAGCTGGCTGAGCGACCATATTGGTTTCGTGCTTGGACTTTCCAGGAAATGAAGTTCGCCACGTCACTCACTATCCAGTGTGGTGTAAGCAAGATAACTTACGGTGGGCTTCACAGCTTGCACATCAATAAGCGAGCTACCGCTAGTGTTCGGACACGCAATGACAACGGGGAATTAGTTCAGCGCTATATAAATAATCTTGACTCGAAATTGCCTGAGTTGAACGGCGATCAAGATTATCCACATTATTTCCTGGAATGCCTGTTGGACCGACAATGCTCCGATCGGAGAGACAACATTTTTGCCTTTTGGAATCTGTTTCCGAAGGATTTGCAAAAACGAATTCCGATAAGCTACAAATCCCCCGCTAGAGACATACTTCTTCAAAGTGCTCGGGCGATTATTGAATCGACAGGAAGCTTGTACATTTTCGTTATCAGAGCCCGCCAGATCCCGCCGGAGAGTCATGAGGAAAAATGGCAAAAGAGCATGCCATCGTGGTGTCCTTATTTAGCTGCACAATACTATGACTACGGGTTCAAACCGCATACCATGTCGAATATATTCACTGAAAAGGCAAAGGTATCATTTTGTACAAACACGAAGATCTTGGTGAAAGGGTTCGTGGTTGGCTACATTGAGCGAAGTCTCTCTCCAGATAATGTACCAAGCACCGACTGGACAGATGAAGATTACAGTCAACAGTTTGGATTCTACACAAAATGCCTCGAATTAGGTGTCCTGAGCGCCCCTCCAGAGAAGGGTGAGCAGTCCCTACGGGCAACAACCCGCACGCTGCTCGGGGACCGGGACGGAGCTTCAATCGGCGGTCAAGACTTGATTAACTATTCTTTAGGACGAATATTTGACGAACCGGATGAGAATAATGCAAAATCTGCTTTGTATCAGATACTGAGAAACACAAGGTCTCGACAAGTCTGTTCGTTTGAGGTTGGTGCGGCAGTCATTAGAGCATTGCGATCGAGTGGAATACCGCGGGAATTCTGGTTGAACCCCATTGCTGTGGTACCTCGGACAGCTCAGTGGAGTGATCCCATCTGTGTGATCTCTGGTTGCCCCCTGCCCGTTGTCCTCCGGAGGTTTGGCAATACCTATCGCGTTATAGGCGAGGCATTCTTTAATACTCAGCGTCTGGAATCTGTCGATATCCATATAAAGCTCAGGAAATTCTTAGTTGGGTAGATACATGGTATATATATTGAAGCCTCAGGTATTTAATGCTATCTGTGGGCTAAAGTCGTCCGAAATCTTATTTGAAGTCTTCGGACAGTGGAACATGTTCTTGAACAGAGGCGTCAAGAGCGATTATAGGATAGATCACAATTTAACTAGCAGAAGGGAACCATTGAACTATGTAATAAAGAACAAGACTCCGCTCAGCAGGTATTCTAGCCGTCGAACATCAGAAAAGAGCCTCACAGATCGTTGAAGAGGTTTTGCTCTATCCTGGCCAACCTCGAGAAAGCATTCAATAAGTGGTCGGATCTTCTAAACCCTACCCAAGCAGACCTTGCCTTGATCGTGATTGATGTTCAATATCGTATGACGATAAATAGTTGCTGGCGACAAAATCATGCATAAACCTAATGGTTCTTTGAATATATTAAATGAAATTTTCTTGGCTCGTTTGCGGCTTGATTTGTACGCATGTAGTGTTAGCTTTATTCTTAAGAACTCTCCTGGGATTTACAAATGCATTTGGCCACATCCAAACCTTCTCCGACAAGTTCAAAGGCTCTCCAACCTTTCAGCATTCTTATCTCAGGTGGGTTTCCTATATCTATGGTGCAAAGGGCTGCAGAAAGGCTGTTCTCATCAAATGAATTGAGCAGGAACTATAAGGGCAAGGCCAATCCTTCCCCACTTCTCATTTTAGTTAGGTAACAAAATCCAACAAAAGCTAAAAGATCTCTTAAGGACCCTAGTATGGCAAATCACAAAACATGTTGACTGTATCAATCTTAGGGAAGTGTCCACAATGCCAAGCTAAAGTCAGAGCATTAGAAAGCAGAACCTTTATCGAGGCAAACTAAGATAACTTATATGGGATCAGTGCGAATGTCTACTGAGACATTAACGGCGTTGACAAGTCTACCGAGGATTGGCACAATAATGCAAATCGATGTTTTTTAACTATTCTAGACCTAGTCAATCATCACATCAACTGCTACATGCTCCTAGGTGCCGAACAGGCTTCAACGCAAACGCTTCTCAAAAAGGCTGGGCCAAGGCGGGTGATCACAAAACATCTCATACAAAGAGATATAGGCAAACTAGTTGCACTGAAGATACACAGTTCGCTTGATAGCCATTCACCAGGCATCAGATCTAAGGCTAAATAAGATTTAGAGACCAAAAGTCAAGTTTATGTTCCTCTGGGTAAGACTTGTCTTGAAAGTGCTGAGGCGTTGCTCTAGCATTATGGGCGTTCGATAAACGCTTAGACAAGCTCTCTACAACCTCGATCGTGAATATCACCGACTATTTTTTAAACAAATGAACCGAGTAAAAGTAGCTGGAGCAAAAGAACCTCTATATCGATGAATCGTGCGAGATATGTCTTATTTTCCATACTTGCATGTCTTAAGCCTATCAAGGGTGAGGAACTATGCTATTCATACAAGCATTCATGGGAAGCTCTTAGGGTCCGGGATAAGAGCAGGATAACAGCGACAGTGAAATTGATGCAGGGAGGAGTAGGCAAGAGAGGTTACAAGACCTAAAAAGTTGACTGGAAGACCTCAATGGAGGCCGGGTGCTAGGTAAAGCAATGGCTGGATTAGGAGAAGTAGTGGAAACAAAGGTATTAAGCCAAGCAAAAGGGTGAACGGATTTTATAGCATTTTAAGCTTAAAGACGCACAACAAGGACACGTGACCCTACAAGGCTAACCACTACCCCGCCCCAAAAAGAAACCAGCCATGTTCCCTTCTTTCTACAGTCTCACTCCGTTCGCGACCAATTTTAACTACCGCAGCCACTGTCACCCTTCAATTCGCCTAAAAGAAATTACGTTTCATTCTCCAAATTCTCATCGATAGCGCTGGTTTTGCCACCATGTTGAAGCAACGTCGCAGCTCACGTCAACCCCGCACCGACACTGGGTCTGAGGGAGATGGCGAGCCTGATGCTCCACCTGCCCCGAGAGATGCATTCCCTCTATATAGGCATTATCAGAGTGACCTTAACAATTATTATGACACCGCCAAACAGGTACTGGACGACGAGCTCGACGAAAAGTTGACATTGAAAAGGCACGTTCCAACCATCAGTAGCGGTCAAACCTTTAGTGGCGCGTATCCTGGGATTGACCCCCGCGGCCGTGGCCGCACAAGGATTCAAGCTCAGGTCCCTGAGAGTGATGATGAGGATGAGTATGAACGTTACCGACACGAACGGGAGCGTAAATCTCACTACAGTAGTAAGAAGTACCGTTCTCCTGAGTTATATAGCAAATATATAATACAGTACGAGTTAATGAAGGAAGCCATATAATGCTACAGAACTTATACTTACGCGCCACCCCAGCCAGATCAGAAAAAGACCGAAGGATAAGCCTACAAGCGCAATCCCATCATGGAGTCCGTGGGCCCCGAATCCAATCGGGGACGTACAATCCAAATGGAGAAGATGAATACTATGACATTAATCATTTTGGGCGTCCCTTTAATCGCACCGACAACCCGACTAGAACACCATCGCCATTGCGATATTACTCACCTCATTCATCCGTTCAGCCTGGAACTGTAGATATCTTTGGGGGAAGATCTGGACTGGGGATAGAAAAGGCAGAATTGGCTTATGACGTTAACACCCGTAATCTTGGCCAACCCAACCCTCCTTCCAAGCCAAGCCAAACACCTCCAACATACGGGGATTACGCATCACATTCGCGTGTCTACGAGAAGGTTGTCGAGGCCTCCATAAGACCTATGAGTATAGGCATGTCAAACGAGAAGCTTGTCAAGTGGCGAGCGTGGATACGGGCTGATGCGCAATTGGCCACCGAGAGCTTTACCCACGAGCAAGCTAAAGCTGAATATCGAGAAGGCCCCGGTGGTCGCCTACGTGAAATGAGGTCTTTCAGTAACCTATACAGCAATGACACAATATCCAGGGATAGCACGATCGGCAATGAGGCTCGGATGGATGATCTTCTAGCTTGCGTGGGCAACAAAATGATGAAAGCTCCTTCCTTGAAAGAGCCTCGAGGTGAGGGTTTACGAGATGGAGAAAGGCTTGGGGGACATACCAGAAATGAATATCAGGAGGTAGAAGATGGATATCAAAGCAGGTCGAATCGGATAGAAAGTACCTCTGACAACGCCGCGATGCAACAATTTTCCCCTTCACCAAGCCCATCAACTGACCCGTGGGAGTCTGACGATGAGTATGAGGACGACGAACGAACTTCATCGCCCCGTCCAACCTGGACCGATATGAACCCCAGCAGATCATTGACGATGGATCTTCACGTTGATTATCGTAATATATCTAAATAAAGTGGCCGTTTTGAAAGTCCAATGAAAACAACTTTCCCGGGCCATTCTTCGAACAGACACCGTTCGGAAACACCTTGCAGATAAAGCTGATTAACAGAGGCGACCAGATAGATCCCTTGCCCAACCAGACATAAAGTATATAGTAATATTACGCATAAATCCCACAAGTACGTTTAGTTCTGTCATTGCTATAATAAAGTTTAATAAGTTAAGTCATAAATATAAATCTTATTTATCCAATACCTTGAAGTCTTGCAATAACTCTCTTCCCACTTCTAAACCATATTCCTTTCTCAACTCGTCAATAATAAACAACGCGGTTACCAGTCTCTCTTCCCCAGGCTTTCCAATAAGCCTCCATGGCGTGAGAAACTTAAGCCCGTCAGGTCCTTTCTCGCTACTGGCAAGTCTCAATAGAGCAAGCATGGCAGGAATTTCCTGGAGATAGGTCTGCACACTCGGACTCCTGCTCAGAGGAGGTTGTCTAGCAAACTCAAGTATTAGAGCCGCAACTCCGGCGACGATAGGACATGCGAATGAAGATCCTTCCAAGATTTCGTTTATATTGGGAGAGGTAATGCCGAGACCTGGTGCACTGAATCTAGACCCTCGACTATGCTGAGAGGCTGATGATGGGGCGCTTCTCGCATGCTCGCCGTGACCGCCGGCTGCATCAACTGCAATCACACTCTCCGAGCGTGCTGGATATAGAATATCGTTTGGGGGACCAAGAAGTCCATCGTTGGAGGTAGCTGCAAATAGATGGACACCGTTGTGGCGTGCGAGATCGATGGCTTTACGCACTCCTTCATGGTGGTATGGCCAACCAAACGACATGTTGATGATATCGACGCCCCATCCGCCACCATCTGGACTATTTTTGTCTGGTTTAGCAGCGGCCTTTCTTATAGCCTTTTCAATGGCTAATCTATCAGGGCCGCTGTTTGGGCTAACCACTCGGCAGATGTATAACACTGCTTTAAGGCTGACCCTTAGGATCTGCACAGCCACTGCAGTACCGTGACCAGTAGGGTCCTTCTTGGCCTCAGCGTCCGAATCGCCCTCGATAAAGTTGTCGAATCTTCTGATGCGTTGATAGTAAGGTCTCAAAGCTCTCTTATCGTCAGGATTGGTGTAAGCGAATCCAGTATCGAGGACAGCAACCTTGACTGGAACTTCCGATTGGAAAACTTCCTTGTACATAAACTCATGTGATGTTGTTTCCAGCATTTTGAACCATTGTTCTGTTGCTCTTTTGCTATAACAGATATCAGCGAAGCTCCTCAACAGGGCCATAAATCTTGGTGTATTGACGAACCTAGCGCTAGATTCAGAAGCTTGGTCAGCGCCCAGGCTCTTGTGCAAAGTGTCGTTAAGACTACACATAGACAAATTATCAGCATTAGATAATTCTTCTCCAATTTCATCTTTAGCCTGTTGATGATTAGATCTTGCCACCTTCTTAGTAGAGGAGGCTATGTCTGTCACTGGCTCGGAGGTGCCGGGCAGTACTTTCCCCTGCAGAATGCTAGAAATCGGAGAGGGGCCACGAGATTCCGTGACGGGGGGTTGAGAAAGCCTTTGTCTAACTGTCGATCTTGTTGCCAATGGAGATAAGCCCTTTGCTGAGTCAGGAACAACCAGCATTTTCCTCACTATTGAATTGCAATCTGCATTGATCGGCCGACCAGTGAGTATCATGAGTCTTACACATGTCTTGCCTTGTAGCCACTGAATGAGCGTCGAGAACCCAGATGCCCACGCATCAGCTTCTCGGAACCTGCTGCGTAGAACTCCCACTTCCAGGACAATAGTGATGCGTTGCTGAAATTTCATAAGTTCAGCCAGAAGCCTATACCAATCGCTGTCCATAACTGATCTAAAGTCGAGGTTGAGTTTGGCAAGAAACCCTAGTGTCTTGGGGTTAGATAATGTCTGCAAACACTGGATGGCTAATTGACGCAGAACATCGAGTGTCGAGAATGCCAAGGGTTCGGGAAAGCCATCTGGTAGAGGGCTTAAAAAATAGATTACGGGCTCGTCCTTCTCGATCCGATCGATCACCTCGACACTGAACCTCTCCAACCGTCGCAGGGATTGTGAGTTGCCTATAACAAACAACACAGTTGACTGAGAGGTAGAAATCCAGTCTTTTACTTCCGCGTGATTCCAGATATCGTTGGTATACTGGTCTGCAGGCGTTTTCAACACCCGGAGTGCCCAGTTGCGATTTTTTATAGTTCGCTTATCAACCAAGAAGCCATCGTTACAAAACGCTGGAAGCTGCCATAGCAAAGACGCATGAGGCAGTTCAATTGTGGTCCATTCGGCTGGATCAAAGCTGGCATAGGCTTTCTACTCGTTAATCGCGGCTGCACAGGTGGATATAGGTCAGGTCATAACGCACTTGTGATTTGTGACAGAAGTTTAGACAGCCTTTCACGGTAGTCACTGTCTCGTAGTTGTTGGTTTAGGTCGATAATATGCAAGTCTGGTGAGCCAGCACCACCATCGCATTGGAGCTGCGACTCTACCTCGAGCAACAGATGCTGTAAAAGCTCCATTGCTTCCTTCTTCGACTTGTTTCAGCTGAAATTGGCCACGAGGACAGAGTAAGCGCCAGTGCAGGTGATGTGCAAGATATACGACCGTGATTGGTTGGGCCGGAGTCACGGATTAACATCCTTGTCGCCAACGCCGGCCATCTCATTATCTTCACAGCCTGATTCTATGCCTGATTTCATTTATTTACTCTACCCACCGTCACCGAAATATGGCTTCCAGATCGCGGCCTCCTAGAGAACTCGAACCGCCCCGTGCAGTGATCCGAAATAGTAGAAAAGAATCGTCTCGTGCGGACGCCGATGGACGACAGCGCAAAATAATAAGCCCTGCTAGCTCTGAAGTGGATATTCCGAGAAGAAAGATCTACGATGACGCCAGTCAGTGTTCAACCCCGCTATTTGTGCGATATAGCTCACACATTTGGGTAAATAGGCGCCCAAGACGCGGATGCCGAATATCCTCCACTATCGGAGCCTGAGAATGATGCCAACATACGGTATCGGCCAATGGTTCCGTTCAGCTGGCGCAATGAGATATGTAGGCTCCTAAACGTATCTCCTGATGCTCTAGATGAAGAGGTCTTTCAGGCCATGGGAAAAGCAGCCAAGAGTCTCAAGGAAGTTGAGAAAATAAAGGCTAAATACGATGCTCATCGAGGACCCCTACGATATGAGATCATACACTCGGTTCGCTGCGAGCAATCCAAAATGGAGGGTAGACGGTACCTGGACCATCCGTGGGTAGTCGAGTCAGGGCCTAATAATGCTCACCTAAGAGGAAGTCAACCAATCTTGAACTTTGAGTTATTTCTCGAAAGAAACAAAGAGGTTGTTTTTGTTGTTTACAAAGAGTACAGATGCTGCGGACAACAGTACAATAGTCGTTCGAAAGCCTATATGGAACCTCATCGCCAAGTCGAAGCTTCCTCACTATTGGTTGCTGAGCACATATCAATTATCTCCTCAGACCTCAGCTCAGCTATGGAGGACTTTTCAGAAACTGCGTTGGCGGATATTCCTCATACTAACTTTGAAAAGGGCGAGGAAATGAAACATCCATATATATGGTGGTTCCATCGTCGAAAGAAGATCGATGCAGCTCTTGACCAGTATGCGTATACCTCATGGTCACCGATGGCTAACTTGGTTCGTGAATATGTCCTTGAGCGCATGGCAGAGGAATGGGAGACAGTCGATAAGCTGCTGGCCAGAAAGAAGATATCTCTCAAGTACATGGATTATCTTTTCGTAAGCAACAGAACTGCATAGTACCGTATCTTTACTAATCAGGATCAGGTTCCTGACGAAATCGCCATATCAACAGAAAAAGGGCGCGATATTTCAAAGCTTCAAGGCGTAGTAGTTCAAGGCTGGCTTATTCGACAACCAGTACTAGACTACTCAGCAGTCATTGATGTCGTATTCTGGAAGTTCGACGGCGCTTTTCGTAAAGCCTCTGAGAAGTTTCCAATCAAAGACCTTCCTATCACGCTACTTGATGAGCTAGAGGAGTCAAAGATCACAGATTTACCGCTTTACCCTGTTAAGTATGCTAGCCATCAGACTACTCAAGTTCTACAAAAGCGCGGAAAGATGTTCTGGAAATGCAGGTTCCGGAATTATGTTGGGCTTTCTCAGGAGACTAGCGAGGAGGTTCAAGATTCAGTACGCCACTATTGAAGCCTGGTCTTTGCTGGCTGCTGACAGCTTTTAGATCGGATCTCGGTTCATGGTCGATATTATAACGTACAAGAAGCTACATCGTGAATCTAATGTGCGGGCCCAGCGACAGTCATCTCCAGGTCCAAACAGTCTTGAATCAAGATACATGTCCCAGGAGAATCCGGACCTTGGGGATGACTTCTTTATGTGTCTTCCAACTTCGATTTTTGGGTTCAACATGGATAAGAAAGAATGGGGTAAGAGACTTCTACTAAAGTCTAAAGCTGAGAGCACGTGCTTACCGATGTGAAGTCAACTTGGATGTTCACTTCCTACGCGATGTCGTTTGGAATACTGAGGCTTTCGATCACCTTGTTATTCAAGATGAGACAAAGCTCCTTATACAAGCTGTAGTGACGAACCAGCTTCAAACCACAGAGAACGCTGATCTCATTCGCGGGAAAGGCAATGGTCTTTTCATTCTTCTCCACGGGTACGTTATATCTAATTTTAGTAAATTACCAGCATTTAACAATTTTACAGAGGGCCAGGTACAGGCAAGACACTCACTGCAGAAAGGTACATTCTTCCCGTCTTGATGGATAAACATCTAACAAGGAGCAGTGTTGCCGAAGTTGCAAGAAAGCCATTATATAGAGTGACATGTGGTGATATTGGCACCAAGGCAGAAGACGTCGAACAGGTCTATCTTACCTTCAGTCTATATAGCTCTGACTAACCATGTCTAGTACCTGAATGTCGTCTTACACCTTGGCAAGACCTGGGGCTGCGGTATGTCCCTGTTGGTCCTTTATTCTTGACATCTCTCTAACTTTGCTAGTTGTTCTTCTCGACGAGGCAGATGTTTTCTTGGAGCAGCGATCATTAGTTAACCTTGAGCGAAATGCTCTGGTGTCGGTATTCTTACGCGTCTTGGAATACTACGATGGTAACATCACCCCAGCATATGACGCGACGAAGTCTTAACACGTTGTAGGCATCCTTATCCTCACAAGCAATCGGGTCGGAATCTTTGACGAAGCCTTCAAATCTCGCATCCAGCTAAATCTCCGCTACAAAAACCTCGACCAAGATCAAAGACGACAGATCTGGATAAACTTCTTCACCCGTCTTAGAAGACTAGAAGAAGAAGCTTCCACAAAGCAAAGCGGTCTATCTTACGGAGCAGAAGTGGATGAGATACTAGACAAGCTTGATGAGCTAGCCGATGCTAATCTCAATGGCCGACAGATTCGAAACGCAGTGTCGACGGCAAGACAGCTGGCTAGGTATCAGAAAGAGCCACTGTCGTATAAGCATCTCATGGTTGTGATTAACGAAGCGAAGAAGTTTGATGAGTATTTGTTGGAGTTGAATAGGACTTACACGGCGGATGAGATTCAGAGGGACAAGGGAGCGCGGTAAATAGCTCCAATAGGTTAAATCTTCAACTAGTTGCGCGCAATAAGCCGTGTGAATCGTCGTCCTCCAATTTGGCAATTGCTTCGTCAAGTTCTATCTAGTTTTCCTCGACTATGACAGCTTTACAGGGAACATCGGATGGCGACCCTTCATCAAAAGCATCCTTACTGTTAAGCTGAAATTCCTCGCCACCGGCATCAAAGTCCTCAACACCCTCAACCACAATCTCAACGTCTTGCTCCCTACCCTCCTCTTTGATCCCAAGAACGGTTCCCTTGTTGTATCTCTCATGATTTACCACGCCTTGTCGCGAGATCTTGATCCGTCTCAAACGGAAGGCGAACACAAAAGGATTCCCCCCGCTCTGCGACTGCTTGGTCGATATGGTGTTGCTGCCTCCGATCTGTGGACCCAGACTTATTGGAACACCTTGGGACGTGAATTCAGTGCCGAATTTGAGATTTAGTCCTCTCTGCTTTGCATGTTCGATTGTTGAAGCGGCTCCATACGCGATTTTGATACCAGTGATCATGTATAACTTATTTGTAGCGAACCAAGGCTTATTAGCACGCATGAACCTTTGCACTCCCTCATCGTTCAAGCACTGCGAGACATAGGAGATCGTTGGATTGAAAGATAATGTCTTCAGATTCTCGCAGGCCCACTGCTCAGTGTGCTCTTTAGACCGGTCGACATTTACATCGCCTCCAATACCTAGAGTTTGCAAAAAAGATGCCCAAATACCAAATGACCGGTCGTTTTTCGCGCTCATATCAAATGTGAAATTGGTCTGGTTGTGTTCGATGACGTCCATTGATGCTTCATTTGGGGGAAGCTGCTCTTCATTGATGGGTTCGTCAGCTAATGCTGGGATGGAGATAATATTGCCTAGTCGGATTGAGCTTTCTGATGGGCTGCTAATTGGCGCCAAAAAATAACTCGTTTGCCGAGTAGCCATGATTATTATGAAGATGTTGTTGAATTTATTGAAGATTTCTCTTAGGATAGAATGTGATGAGATTTTAAGATGAAAACCTGATGAACCATAGAGGCCGCCCGTGAGGCAGTCAGCCTTGCAAGGATATCCATCCAATAAAAGACAATTTCACGCGTGGCCCCATATTTATGCCTGGCAGCACAACCCTCAACGCAAAGCCCCAGCCTCCACTTACGCGACGCGTCTCAGATAATCATCTCTCACAACACATCACAAAAGCATCGTGAGAGATCCAAGACCCCATTCAAATTCATCTTGCCGACAGTTTCTTGTGATAAATTTCGCCCGTATGTTATAACGAAGAAACTCCGCGACATTACCTCTTTCTACGACCCTTATGATGAGCTTTTATGCTAGTGGACCTGACTGGAGGCGTTGGGCCTCCTCATCACTTATGGCTGAAACCTCAAATCAACAGAGAGAACTTAGGACCTCCCCATCTTCTACATCTTTTCCTACACGAACTGCTTGGACGACACCAAAGGTTCAACGAAAAGGCCCACAATATTTAAGTGGAATCGGTAACAGAGACACAATATCAAAAGATAACACAATGGGAGAAGAAGAAAAGATGAATGATCTTCTGGCCACGTGTGGTAAAAGGGTGATGGGAATCAAGCACCAGGAACAACACGAAGCAACGTCTCCAGAGGACGCTAGTTGGAGGGCATGGAAACGTCCGTATGTTATCGATGACGGAACAGTTGCTACATAGCTTGCTAATAAGACTCTCAGCCAAATAGGGTGGGGATCTCAGATCAATGGCAATGCCATTCTATTTGAAAGCTTAGAGGGTCGTCCCCAAGTCCTGCGTACAAACACCGGAGACTCTTACATTGATCCCACTGATGACAAGGATGACATGTTAGGCAACGTCCACCTGATTCTGGATGAAAACGATCATGAAGGCCATGGGAGACGCAATGGCTTTGTTGTCCCGAATATGGATGGAGATCAGTGGATTAACCCGATTGTAGTCCCCTGCTGTACAACACATAGGGAAGGCTCTGTTCCAAGACAGATTAATGGTATTGAGATCCGGATGAAGAAAAAGAAAAAGAATACAAGAGGGAAGGGACAGAAGTCAAAGAAGGGAGAAATAGGACGTCACGCAGTATCACGTGCAAAGGTATTGGCCAAACTGTTCAAATGAACAACGTTGCCAAAGAAGAGCATAGCATCGCCAATTTCAGCTCTCCGGGGAGAGATAAGGAGAGGCAAAGGAAAGGTTCATATAACGTCTGAGACTTACTCCCAGCATCAAAAGCTAAGACAGATACATTATATGTCCGATCAAGGGAAAGTTTATGTCTATTTTTAGCTAGATCCGAGCTCAACGGACGGTATTTACAGGAGCTATTCTCACAAAGTCCCTGCACTAATACTCTTACGCTACCTAGAACATATCGCAGGTAAGATGCTGATTTATGGACAGCAAAGCACGTGATGTAACTGCGGGGTATGTGGGTTTCAGCTAAAACTCCGCCCCTCACTACAACATCAAGGAAGAGAAATGTATGATGGGACGGCCAAAGGGCAAAGGTAAGTTCAAGAGTGTTTGAACTATGATTATTCACTCACTCGTTCCATCACAGGTTGCTCAACTTGCTCGAAGCGAAGGATCATCTGCGATCTTGGCCAACCGAGCTGTCAGAAATGTCTTGGCAGGGGATTTACATGCCCTGGTTACGGTCCGAGACTTCGATGGGTTCAGGGCGTGGCTCTTCGTGGTCATCTTCGGGGTGTCCAATTCCCTTTCCCTGAGTCTCAAGCATCCACCTCCTCGCCGAGTCTTGACAACAACACCCAACAGCTGTTAGACTATTATGACAAGAACATTGCCGGGTTGATGGTCTGGATCGACTCGGAAAAGAATTATTACCGTCAAAAGGTTCTGCCTCTTGCTCAGACGAACGAAGCAGTACGTCTCGCTATATGCGCTGTCTCAGCTCAGCACGCAGCAAGAGACTTCACGCCATCAACCGTTTATGAGAAAGATAGGGATCATGTCTTGTCGATGATCATGCACGGTGTTGACGACATGACCGCACATCCCCAACTCACAGTGACTGCTGATACAGCAGAATGGATACTCTCGTCGATGATGGTCCTGTCATCCTACGAACTAGCTCATACTGGCGGTGCAGATGCTGCTGATTTCCATCGAAAGGCAGCTCGTGCGTTAGTCAACACTCTATCCACACTGGACTTTCCCAAGAGTAGCCTTTTCGGCTTCTTACAAAACCAGCTTTCCATGTATGATATTTTCGCTTGCACCACTATATTCGACGCGACAGACGTGCAAGATGAGATTCGGCCTATTGAGTTCGGGGAGGATAGGTCATTCTCGGCTTATCTACTGCTTCTTCATGATGTGACGCTCATATCTCGTAGCGGTTCAGCCCAGGGCTCAACTCGCGATTGGAGGGGCGAGTTTGTGCAAGCACGAGGGGAGACTTTGATGGAAGTTGGCAGCAGCGGTTTGTGCTCAGCTGTTGATCGTGGGGATTTTATACGGCTTGTTGATGCCTATCATAATGCTGCGCTGTTGTACACTGCAAGATGCCTTGGTCATCAGTTCTGCCCAGAAGAGACAGTCGGTCTGCTCGATTTGTTCCGACTACTGACTGGTATGGAGAATCTACATGCGTGCATTCATAACCTCGCATGGCCAATCTTCATCGCTGGGACAGAATGTTACGGCGATGACGACAGGCAGCTCATAGTGAGAGATCTTTACCAAAGCTTGTCTGACGTCACAGGATTCAAGCATCACGGAGACGTTCTTACATTTCTCGAGACATTCTGGTCCGGTAGAGATCCAGACTGGCGTGTACTAGCAAACCAATGGGAAGGTCTCGGTAGAAGAATTCTGGCAGTTTAATAAAATAGACTTTTTACTTCTTGATAGTTTCTTCATCCTCAATCCCGAAGATGACTTTCATCGGATCCCGATACTTGTAGTAGCCCAAAGCCGGTGGACACATACCATACCCCAACAATCTGAGCATCTTGGGGGGGAAGTTCCGAGCTTTTGCAACCTTTGGGGGTATGCTCAGGTACTGGTTTTCTTCCTGTCTCAATGTTCCCTTACACATGAACATGCCAATTGTTTCTCGGGCATCATGCCTTTATTAGTTAGTTTGCATGATACTGGGATAGATATGATAGGCATACTTGGTCGTGTTGGCTCCGCCTGCATGATACACGTTGCCCAGGAAGAGCATAGCATCGCCGATTTCTAGCTCTCCGGGGACAGCCTCTTCATCTAATGGGCATCTATCAGGGCCCCAGAGATGACTCTTTGGGATCACAATAGTCGCGCCATTCTCTTTAGTCGTCTTGGTCAAAGCCTAGCGACGTTAGATAATTCGGACTGTTCGGCTCAGCGGGATGGGGCTCACCGTCACGCAACCGAGCATCACGGGCACGTCGCAGTTCCTAGGGTGATAATCCGAATCATCTCTATGAAGAGCCTGTTGTTTTCCACCAGGCTCAACGCGGAACCCAACAGCGCTAGCAATGTAGGGCTTTCCAAAAACGGTCAACTGCTCTTGACCTTCCCAGTATGTGTACTTACTACCCAGGACATTCTCGGCAACAGATTGGAACAAGGGGTTGATGGCTAGTTCGACACATGCGTCTGAGGTAGCAAAGAACCCGGTTGCGCGCTTCGTGGTGGGGGGGAAGAAGCCTGAATCATCTTTGACGTCTGAGTCAAAGAGCGGTTTTAGGTCACTTCGAATCTGTTCGCATAGGCTTTTGGAGGCTATGCCTTTGACGATCAAGGCACCGTCTCTCTCTAGGGCATTGATGATGGTGTCTGCAGTTGTCCCAGGGTCATTGGCATGCAATGTCGAGATTGCGGTTCCAGCCTCTGTGGGATAGGTTGAGGAAGAGCACATGTTTGCGGTTGATGAGAAAGGAACAGGTAAATTCCAATGATTTACAATCAGGAGAGAGATTTCAAGAATTTCAGTCGCAAGTGATATGCCTTTTAATACTTGCTTGTAGTCATGTTCCCAACCGCGCTTTCTCATATTAGCAACCGAATTAAGAAGTTAAATCGAGGTCTCTCTCAGTAACTTCCCAAAGAAGTATAGCCTCCAGCTTTATGTGGGTCTTCTCATCACAACATCTAGAAAGAGAACACGCAGCAGTTAACCTATAGTAACAATTCATTTCCTTCTTAACAGTCTTTATAGTCTACAGCGTAAGGCTTTTATAATGACACTTACCTAATTGAGGGATATTATTACGATTAAAGCTTGGAATTTATTTCTGTCTGTATCCTTGTATCAGACTAAACTTGTGGTTTGTCCATAGCGGCGTTTACCAAAATGAGGGCTAGTGCCATGATGCCTGTGTAACCTCCAAGACATCACATTTTGCGCATGGCCATCCAAATAATCTTCTTATGTAACATCCATAGGCACTTCTGGATTTTTCAATCTGACGTTTTGAGGTGCGTTAATATTTCGCCCCCATGATTATCCCGAGTGCTCCCCGAATGGATCTACCGCCGAATTGGGTTCTCTGTTCAGGCAGCACCATTTCAAGTTCCAGATGATGAGGCTGTTTTGGATGTTCTTATTGGCTCCAAGTACTAAGGCAACTGGTTCGCATTGCGCCACTTTGCACCCCAAAACCTACCCCGCTGCACCCCAAAACTGCACCTCATATTTTGCACTGAAGCTCATTTCAGACTCACCCCAAACTTTTCCTGAACATAAATCACGGCAAATGAAAGGTCAATTCTTTCCCACCACCACATACTTTGATAGCTTCCAGGGTCACACCTCTTTTTGTTGTCCTGACTGGTCCATTCGTCGACCTCGTCCTTTGCTTTGATGGCATATGTTACTGAAAGATGGGTTTGCCCCTTTTATCTCTATGATTATGATCGTCAAGAGAAAGAGAGATTGGATCCTCTCACTATTCAATATGTTAAAGTACATTTGCAACAACGAAAAACCCCAATTAAGAAGCAATGCTCTTCTTTGTCCGATGTCAAAACTGTCTATGCAAGCCTAGTAAAGGTGGAAGAAGCATGCACTCGAATCGGAAAAGCCCAGCCCAGAAACATCGAAAGCAATCTGGATCCCAACCTCGAGCAGTGGGAGGCTCTCCAGGCTATACACCATACGCTCTTGCACCAGCATAATGAGCTCCCCATCGCCTCCTCCACACTCAGTCCACAACTACGCGAATTCAGAAAGATCGCCTATGATCATTCCCTCCAGTCGCGCAGTTTGAGGCGATTCAGTGACTGTCTGCTTCCTCTTCTGAAACGCGAGCAAGACTTGGAATCAGCACGACAATGGCTAGAGCTCATGAATTTATCTTCTTCACTCCTTGAAATACTTGGGAAGAATGACTTGCTCTTCACCTACGAAGAAATGACCCTTATGAACTTGATCGACCAGATTGAAGCCATATTGGAGAGATTGAAACAATGGTTTAGGTGCAGATACGAGGACTTGAGCTGCATGAAAGATGCGACGGAGGAACAAGGTCTGGCTGAGCCCATCTTTGAGTTTCCAAACAACATCAGGCATACTTGTACAACAATGCCGTGGACAATTCTCCCAGCGCTGTTGGTACTCTGGGGTGTCTGTTGGATGTTCATCATCGGTTGTCGCCAACCTGAGCATGAATGGGGAAATGCTGCTGACCCCATTATCTCGCCCGTGCCAGCTGCTCATGACTTTCACGCCGAATTTTATGGTATCGGAATTGAAGGTAATTTCCCCACAGAATTTGTGGAAGTCTATCTAACGTACAACAGCAGAGGGGCCTCAAGCATCGGTTGCAGATGGGTCCGACAACAGACGATATCTCAGTCAGGATACCCTGGAAGAACTCTGGGCTCAAGATGTTGAGTTAATGAATGAACTGATCCATCCATTGACCTTTGCTCAAACCATCCCTCAAGATCCGAACTTTCTGAACCCGGACATGACGTCCCGGGGTGATTCGGAAAGGTTGGAATTGGCGTCGCAAGATCCGGCTGAGATATTGCCAGCCGCCGCCCTGGAAAGATCGAATCTTATGGCGTCCATCAGTGCTGACAATAGCGGGGAGGCGGATGCTACAGGCAATGCCGACAGCAGTGGCGATGGCCACCGAACGATTAACTCGGATGAGTAAGTACAAAGCTCACTTGATGTCAGAATATGTGCTAAATAAGATACAGCAAGGTCGAGGAGACGAAAGCCCCCTTTGCGTGTCCAGACTGTCAACGGACATTTGCCAGGCCATTTACTTTAAACCGACATCGAACAGAGAAACACAGACATGCATCAATCTTAGTGGAATCATTACTATGTCCGAATCGCGGCTGCAAGAGGTCCAAAGGAAAGCCTTTCAAGCGTGGATTCCATCTAAAAAGACATGTTGACAGTTGCAAGCATAGCCAGGAAGACCTTGGCCAGGGCAACAATCAATCTCGTCCAAGGTCAGCATCAACGTCAACTCCGGCCACAGCTATCACTCAGCATCGCCAAGACTTCGGACCAGATGAAGCTATTAGAGACAATGGCATGAAGGAGAGACCAAGGGCTGAAGAGGATGAAAGGTCGAATGACAAATATCTCCTTGCAGAGATGGTAAAAAAGTATAAAAGGCTGGAACAGGAGATCAAGGAGAAGCAAGATGACTTAAAGGCACTCGGAAAGACTATCCAAATGTTGGGGAGATCTTGAGAGAATTCGTAGTTAACTACTTCATAGTAACTATGTAGCGCAGAAGCTTTACACAGGAGGGGACTTCAAGAATGACAAGGCGGTAAGGGATGATTATACAAGATTGAATAACAGCTCACCAATAACTATGTGCCAAGTCTCCGAGGTATCATCATCCAAGTCAAGACAAACATCCAGATCCTGCTACTTTATCTGGGTAGTAATGGTCATTAGATCGCAATTATCCGGTCTCTAGATGCAGTGGTCGGGGATAACGTTAACCTGTCGAATGAGAATTGCAGGAATGCGATGTATTGTTGCCTTTGGTTGTCAATGTACAATATTGCTAGGCCTTTGTACTAGGGAAGTTCCAACGTACTACATTTCACAGACTTGCGTTGCACCCCTCTTCGAGGGAACTTAATGTGATTTTGACTGTATTTATTTATGCCATGCGTGACTTTATTAGTAGCTATGGCTGCTAATAAGGTTATTAATTAAGTTATTATAAAAGTATATTATTATAATTTTAATTAGAAGATTTATCTTTATTAAGGCTATATATATATTGCCTTTAGAAGCCTAAAATTAATTAGTATTTTTTAGTATATTAACTTAATATATCTCGGTAGTCCGGATCAATGAAGCCCGATTTTCCCTGCCTATAAGGTTAAACGGCTGATGGTGTAAAGGGGGCGAAATTGCCGAATTGGGTTAGATCAAAATGTGCGGGGTGGTAACCCTGGATTAAGCTCAGGTAGCTAATAAGACTCCAGTTCACGAGATATTATATAAGCTCTAACCATTAATCAACTTGCGTTACACCAAAAGATAGATCCGATATTATCGATGCTTGCCATTGAGTTGCTACTGATTTTGATACAGTTCACATGGACTTCCTATATTTTCGTTGTCAGCCGTACTCCAGCCTCGAGATCTCTGCGACACTAGATATGAACTTAACCGAGGGGTTTCTGGATCTCAGGTATCCTACACGGTGGCTTAAAACTATCCATAAAGCTGTCCCCAGATAAATCTCTAAGAAACTGTAGTCAGTAGTTGAGATAGTATTCTATTTACTCCATTACTTATCTGCTAATGCTCAATATGCTCTGAAGCAAAGCTGAAGCTATTTCTTTCCTGACCGGCCCTTGACCTTCCTATCTTTATGTAGTCCCAAGGCATTACGAACATCCTTAAGAACTTCTTCCCTGGTATTCCACAGCTCTTTTTTCAGCCCCGCCTCTGCCAACCCTAATATTCTTCCCCCGCGATCTGTCTTTCTAAACCTCTCTCTTTCCTCCTCACTCAGCATATCCACTAAGCTCTGAAGTGTTCGTGCTAGTGGATCTTTGCTCTTGTGCTCAGGTCCTGGTCCCGGGCTAGCCCAATTTGTAGGAGCGAACTTGTACAAGTATGTTGGAAATACAGATGATGCAAAAGAAAGTAAAAAGATATATCCCCGCAAGTCTGTATCTTCTAGTCCCCATAGGCGAGTCCATTTACCTTCCGCCTTGACCAGCAAGCCATAGGTCCAGGGATATGCTGTTTTTGCATCCCTCACCACTGGTTCTGTTTCGGCTAGAACCTGATCAAGATGCGAATATGTACCTTTTGACTGCCAGAAGGTCGAGTTGCTTGCTGTAAGAGATCTCATCTGCTCAAAGTGGCTTGGGAAGACGCCTGGTATGGCTATTTTGCGTAGGGGCAGTTCGAACACTCGCGTGTTGACACGTGTGTAATTCGGGATATCAGGTGAGTTACCAGTCAATCGACTTCGGTTTCCCTCAGTAGTGAAGTGTAGCAGTGCCGGAGCAGCAACACGCCAGGATCCACAGAGGAAACTCTTTTGGCATGATACATAGAGGAAGTTCGATCGTCCCATAGTATCGTGCTTGTCCCTGTACTCCAAGAGTTCCACGAATGCTCTGTCCCAAGGGTCATGCAGGATCGGACCGTCGGGCTGTCTCCAAGGTTCTTGCTGCGCCGACAGATAGATCCAGTGATGCCACAGCTGTGCCTTCGAAGAACGGCGTGTTCTTCGGTATAAGTGGCCCAGACCTGCCAACTCGTACTCGTCCCCGTAGCCCGAACCTTTAGGTGGCTTGAGTCCCAATTGATCTGTCCATTTGAGAGGGTTGATGATTTGTGGTACATGAAATACAGGTGCGACATTAGACCAATTATCGTAAGGCTCGTCGAAATACTCTGTGATCTTGTACTCCAGGACATTTTTCAAGAGGAATCGGGCGTTTTGTTGTTTGGTTTCGGAATACCACAGGGCGATTATGACACCTTGATAGAAGCCGAGTATCACTGTGAGGCCGTAGAATGGGAGCAACATCAAGATGACTTTCTTTATCGCATGGCATACTGATTTGATGTTGACCCAAATGAGGCGGGCAAAGCATTTCGCGGAAGTGATGGCCCCCATCTCGACATGAACGGGGAAGTTGATAAAAGAAAAGAAGGTAATCACAAAAGCAAGTCAGAAGGCGGAAATACATGCAGTTTTATTATTTGAACATGTTGGCTCAAGGCTGTTGGCTCTCGTCTATGGAGCCGGCTTCTGCCTAGATTATCACCGAATTGTCCGTAAAGTGGAGAGTTTATGCTTCTTTTTAGGAAAGGTTAGCGATGTTTTAATTTTGTTTGTGTTGTTGGTTGCAAAGTCAGGCCACGCATTGACTAATGCCAAGACACTACGTCTCGAACAAGAAGGTGTAATATGAATTGTAAAATATTTGGGCGATGACGGGAATTCTTTTCATGATTCATCGTTAACTATCTACAACAGCTATATCACCCTCGGATAGAATTGCTAGTTCCAACGTTTCTAAGACAGGTTCGGAAGCTTAAAGACACTGTCCGTAACCCAGTTATCACCGTTGAGATACCCAGCGCTCATAACATACAGCCAATCAGGGTTATCCATAACCATGGCCTGTCGGGAATAGGCACCGGGCTGAGGGATGTCATAATAAACCCAAGAGCCAGCAGCGCCAAGGTTAGTGTTGATGTAGATGCCGTTATCGCTGTTGGCAGTAACAATCAGGGATCCACTAGATCCACCAGAGGGTGACCAGGTAAGATAAGGCGAAGAACTGGGTGCACGGCTACCAGCGGTGAGAATCTGGTTAGATGCACTGTCGAAAGTGAGAGGAGAGTCGGAGATGCGGTAGTAAACAGGGAAAGCGGCGTTGTTGGGAGAAGCACCTCCGCCGTACTCAAAGGTCATCATCCACTTTCCATTAGGAAGCTTAGCGACGGTTGTCATGCCGGGACGTTGAGAGTAAGCAGTTCCTCGAACGTCGTTGACGACAGCATCCCAGGTGACACCGTCGCTGGAAGTCTGATGAACCAACTTCTGGCCGTATGAAGGATCGCGCTGATCAGAGTAGTAGCACACGAGCTTGTTGTTGTACACCATCAGGAAGGGCTCCCAGACAGGAGTCTCGCCATTGTTGGGAACGGCCTTTCCTCCGGTAGCAATGTTGGAGATGTACTTCCAGGTCTTGCCGCTGTCGGTAGAGGCGTAGAGGTCGATCTTGGTCTTGCTGAGATCAGTGGGGATACTATTTCCAGCAAGGAGGATAGTTCCCTTGGCGAGATTGCCGATGGCCTGGGGCAGGACGTAAAGGAAGGGCTGGTAACGAAGACCCCAGCCGTTCTTGGTGTCTGTCACATTGGACAGAGGAGCCCAGGTCGAGCCCTTGTCCTTGCTCTGGTAGATGGGGAAGTACACCTTGGGTGGTTCAGGACTATAGTTCTCCCTGCGCAGCGTTAGCTAATACCTTCCGGATCATCCGGATGACTGACCAAGTAGCTAGGATGGTTCCATCAGCAAGCTGGACGTTACGGCCGTACAGCGTCTTGGGAGTGTTGTAGTTGGAGGGAGGCTTGTAGATGGTCTGGAACGTCACGGCATGATCCGCGACGGCCCGCTCCTCAATGGCTCTGCATGATGCAGGGTTGAGGATAGCCAAGCACGATAATAACAGGGAAGCCTTGATGCCAAGCATGATGAGGAGAATGGTGTGAAATGTATGGATGAATTGATCTGCTGAAGATAAAAAATGACGGACGAATGTCTGTTTATATATCTTGGCATCGTGACAGCATACCAATCCCGATTTGACGTTGCATTTCCAAAAGTGCTCTAAACTCTAAGCTATTCCTGGGTTACCGTTCAGCCGAACCTAAACAAGACTCGCAAAGTCCACCTAATTCTGAGCCTTTATTTTGACGCGCCAATTACCCTCTCAGAAACTCATCCGACTCACCTAAATCGTCATGTTCCTGGCTCTGCAAGGTAGCGCACCAATTGACAGCTCGCGCAAGAGTCTTTCCCCGCGTCATGTGCCGGTGGAAGCTCCACGCGCTAGGCTCTAGGTCCGGGGCGCTCCCCTTACATTGACTAGTGACGTTTGGTCTGATTGGTGCGCATCGCATTGTTCTGGAGAATCTGGGGTCCCCAGGTCTCGTGGATTCGGGCTTCGGCACTGTTGTTTTGTTTTGATCTTGTAGCCAATCAGAATGGCATGTGAATGTTTGAATTGCCTCGGTTTAGGGTACAATGGTTGGTGAATTGACGGCCTGTTAGGGCGAATGAACCGCGATGTCTTTTTGTCTCCCAAGGAATCTATAATAACAGCTACTGAATGTTGTAGATCATTGTTGAAAATTGTCTAGCTTTACAATTTTTGAGATGTATACACATGAAGCGAGATAAGGTTTCGTCTGGTAGGTAGTATCTTCATTTATAGCTACTACATATGCTACTTAAATCTCTTTCTTTAGCATTAAATAAACTTCTTAAACTGAAAAGCATTTTAAATACTATTCAAAAAGGTACATACTACTGCTAATGTCTTTGTTGAATATAGGGTAGTATTTATGAGAAGCTCTAGTTCTCTAGCTCGCTTCTTAGTATACTCTCGCAATTGGCGTCGAATCTCAGGTTGTAGAGTCGCAAGTTCTGCATCAACCGCTCAGTTCGTTCCAACTCCTGATCTTTGCCAAAAATCGTCTCAATGAAAACAACACCCGCGTTTTTCTCAACATCTTGTTTTACCTTTTTCGTCTTTTCGATATTACTTCCCCCATTGGGCGCCGACACTTCCTCAGATTCGTTTCTCAAACCATCTGATTCAGTCTTAGGCTCCTGTGAAGATTCTTTCTCATCGCCGCTCTGCTTGCGAAATGTGTCTTTGCCTTTTCTTTCTTTGAGCTTGATTGCTTTCAACATGGGAGCCTCGCACTTCTTGACCAGCGACACCAGTTTCTCCCAAAGCCTCTCCCCTGCTTCGATGAAATCCTCTACCACCTCTTTAGAGTCCACTGACTTGACCCTTGCTACTGTCTCTTCCGCTCTCCTCAATTTACCAGCTAGCTGAATAAGTAGCAGCCAAAAGTCTCCAGCCATATCCGATATCGGCGTCGAAGCTCCATGAGCGTATACAGACCAGTCATAAATCCATTTCCCTAAAGAATTAGCGTCGAAAACGCTCCCAAGGAGCAGGATTGGTTCCTCGTCCGGGTCCCAGTTTTTCAAAGAACATCCAGCGGGAATTTTATGGCGCTTTGCATCCGCTTCTGTCGCCTTCCGGACCTTTGGCATCCTCTTCTTAACAGATTTCTTCTTCTCAGATCCCTTATTATGGGGTGCTGATGGTCTATGAGCGGAACCTGTGGATGAGTACTCCAGTCGAGGATCTTTGGATAGAAAACCACCCGGCAAGACGCTCTCAAAAACATATGCGCCTGGGCCTGGAATCCTATCATACGGGTCTCCGTTGTAGCCGTCACTCTCCTGGTATGACATACTGCTCACATACGCAGCCCCGAGTTGCTCTTCATGAGATTCAGATCGTAGCTCCGATATCCTTTTATTCTTGCCCCCGGGATGTGACTCGGTACCTGATGGCCTTTCAACGTTGCCACTCTTGTTGACATTGTCTAAGTTGTGACTCGTTCCCCGTTCCTCGACAGCAATTTGTTGTGCTGAATCTCCAAAATTCTGCTCTGACTCGGATTTTGGTGGAGTTGGTCGTATAGCAAGCCGCAATATCGGTAGTACAGTCACTCGCTTGATGCCCGTCAAGTCGGCGTCGTCCGAGTCAGAGCCAGTGTTGCGAGCGTCTGTTGGTTTCCTTTTGGCTCGCAGCGCTCTTCTTTTGTCTAAGGGGCCTCCCTTTCTCTTGCGAGATTGGCCGGGCCCAGAAGAGTTACTTTCAAACTTCATGATTGGATCGTTGATCCCCGAATCAGGAGCATTGGGCGCTGCTGGAAGCTCGTCATCGTCAGACATGCCTGGCAGCTTTCGAAATAGTTGCTGACATGAAGGGCTACGATTGCTTTAGCCAAACAGGTGTAACTTGCTAAGTGTATCGGGTTGAACCTACCATTGTATCACAATCCCTATAACTCCTTCACACATTGCCCCGCATGATGGGAACGGGCACTTGAGGGATTGGGCTTCCTCCTCATCTTCCTTAACTTCATAAATCAGGCTCATATTGATTCGAGACCCTGGTGTGACAGCCAGGCTCCATTGAGCATCTCGATCAATCTCGTCTCCGGTTTGATGATCCTGCAGGAGGAATCGATTCTGGGCCACTCGTCTGCCGCCCTTTCGGCCCTTGAACTTGCCATGTAAGGATCCCTCAAAGGCGTTCCAGGAATCCACAAAGTTAAGCAATATGATCGAGTCAACACCCAGATAATCTTCAAATGTAAAATAAGGGCCCATATGCGGAGGACGTTCGAGACGGCCTATGATGTTGTTGTGCATGGCGGATAATAAAGATAAGACGGATGTCCCAAAGTAAGACATGCCCGAAACACCTCTCAGTACGGCAACCCCCAAAGAGTTGACTGTTTGTGTGACAATGTCGAGTCGCCTAGTGACAACCATACTGATGTCAAGGAGATATTGCTGTGTATTAGCGGAATTGGTTCTGACAGCTCTCAACTCGTCCTCTAGGCTAGTGAAACGGTCGCCAAAGTCCTTTTGAAGTTTGCTCACAAGTTCATGGGTCTCACTGTGTTCTTTCTGGCTACTGTCAAAGCTGCGTTCCATCAAACGCCTTTAAAATCAGGTCAGCTATGAGTCGAAAGAACAAGCTTGTAAGGGACGACACTTACGCAAATGCATTAAACTGCAATGATTGGATGATGGATGTGTAGCGATTGAGATCCAGCAAGAACTTTTCCGTCTCCTTCTTTTCAAGACTCCATTGTACCTTTCTTGTAACCCTTTTTATCCTTCTCTCAGTGGAGCCTTGAGACAGGGTTGATGTGTATTTTTGCACCTTGACTGCAATGTCCTCCAGTCGTCTCTCTGCCTCATCCACGACACTCTCCAGCGTGTTCCGAATATCTTGGAACTGGGGGGCCTTGTAGTACTCATCGTAGGATCGCTTTGCGAGGTCCAGGTTCAGCCGAAGAAAGGTAAGTTGTTGCTTTAACGAGTTGTACTCCCAAGCCGAGCCTCGACTGTCATCAAGGAGTTCGATGAAATCCTTGATGAGCACACCAATGGAGATGAAATCCCCAACGGCTCCGAATGTCACCTCCATTGACTAGCGTCTTACTCAGGGTCATTAATCATGAGAATAATGAGGAGGATGAAAAAAAGGGCAAGGTGAATGAAATGAGGATGTTTGGCTAGCCATTGCCAGCACAGCGGTACACTGCCAATCAGCCCCGCACTACGCCTTGAGGCTGTGTCAGACAAAACGTGACGAATAAGATCTCTGCATTACGCGCCGTCCTCGCCGTTTTATTCTTAACGATGAGCCCGTCCGGGAATGGAAAGGAACTAGACAAGATTCGCAGCCTTTTTAATCTCAAGGCACGTGCTCTCACGGTTTGTTGTGCGGGGTAATAACACTGTCTACTGGACCAGCATACCATTGTTAACCGTTTTCTACTCTAAAATAATAATATTACATTATTCACTTCAACGTGCACTTTACTTTTCACAAAAAGGTTGGCTATATTCGTAAAGCTACACATTATGGCTATTTCCGAAGTGCGAGAGGTCCAACCGGATGGTGATACGCTTTTGATACTGCGCAATTCTGGCGCAACATTTGCGATGCACAATACCGAAAACGAATGGCCTAATGCCCTACCTAAGTTTCAGACAGAATTGTCGATACGCCGCGAATCTTCCATATTTCCAAAGGAGTCTCACACTGATCCATACGAGACGTTGGCTGACGACTTGTCGCTTGCTCAAGCTAAGCCAGAGCCTTTACAAATGCGATTCAGGCTTTGTTCAAAAACTCTGATAAATACGTCTCCATATTTCAAAAAGTCATTATCTGGCGATTGGAAAGAAACAGAACCTGAACCTGGCTATAAGTGGACACTCACAGCCAATGACTGGGATGGCGAAGCTTTTCTTTTGCTCATGAGGACATTGCATCATAAAACACGGGAAGTCCCTCGCACAATACGACTTGAGACATTGGCAAAAGTTGCTGTGCTCGTGGACTACTATGGTTGCCACGAGGCAGTTGAGCTATGGGCAGAAACATGGATCTCAAACATTGACGAGGAGATGAAGGAATCCTTTTACTCGAGAGAGTTACTACTGAAACTGACAATTGCGTGGGTCTTTTCAGACAGAAAGAGGTTCCGTTCATTGGCCGAGACTGCAATCCGTACGAGTCGAGGCCCAATACCCACACTGGGGTTGCCCATACCCTATCAAGTTGTTGGTTAGTGAAGCGATATATACGAATTAGACTGAAGATCTGACGAGGCTCAACAGTTGCAATTGAACATTCCAGAACTTCTTCTATCCGCTATTTGATTGAAGGGATCGAAAAGCGTTGGGACATGTTGAACCGTCGTTGTGTCACCGATACGACAACCAGAATGTACGGCATACAGTGCATATATATGCAACTCGGGTACATCGACCAAAATCTTCATGAAAGTGGTCTGAAGCCCCTCCCAAGCCATCCATATCATGGGTTCAGTCTTGGTTCCTTAAAACAAGCCCTCAACGAGTTTGATACTTCGACGACTTGCACATGTAACGGGCAAGATCATTTACGGAGTCTTAGGACTGACTTAAGCTTCTTTTCAGAGACTGCCTTTAGAAGCTGTGCAGGCGATATTGGTATATCACAATTGACAGATAGTTGGTAGATGTAATGAGAGTTAGGCCGAGTCAGAAGCTTGGATCTTACTCTGCTGACATCCTCTTTTTGCGGGATATTTTTCTCAACTACCCTATGCGATCCGAATTCCTTTGCGCTACTTTGACGATTCTCTTGGCACATTTTGCGTGCTAGATGAATGTTGTTTAGTGATATCTCTGTCGATAGCTAAACAGGGGGTTTTTTGGCCCCAAAGGAACGAAGCCAAAAAAAAGTTATATTCACTTCGGTCGATTTTGGAAACGCACCCTCCTGAAGAGACCACCAGATCCCGGGAGATAAACCGGATAACCGAAAAGTGTGGCAGAGTATCCTTCAGGCCTACGCCGAGGCGCTCCTGCAAAGTCCCGTAGCTTTATGACCGAGTTTGTAGAAAAGGAAAAAGAAAAATATAACGCCCGTCTTATACAGCTTGGAAGAGAGAAGATAAGATCCTAAGCATATTCCTTACAAGGATGCTGCCGAGCATAGTTGCTCTTTCTTGATAACAACTAGTGATTTATTTGTAGTTTACGCTGAGCCTACTTAGTAGTAAGTATATAATTACCCCCAGTTTAAACCACTGCTTCTTTACTGATATCACTTTATCTACTCTTAGACGCAAGGTCGATTAGTTACGTGCCTAGGTATATACATTTAATTAGTAGATTTATTATTAACTTTAGGTTAATTTAGCTTTTATTAACTAACTTATATAAAAGTTAACCTAATTCCTTTAAACCTTTAAACCTTATTATTACCTTATATTTATTTATTTCTATATGCAGACATACTATCCTCTTGCTTTTATAATCTTAGACTATAACTAGCCTATTATTAATTCAGAAGTAGCTCCCTCTCTACTATAATAACCCTTTTGGCTATATTAAGAAGCCACACTTTATATATATTTAAGTTTAGGCCTATAAAGGCAGTAAGGAAGGCTACCTAGTCTAACTAAAGGGGATAACCTTCTATTAGGCCCCTTTTTAGGTCCTTTAGGCCTAATAGCTTATAATTAATCTAGGTTAAATTAATTAGGCTAAAAAGGCCTATATAATAGATTAACCTAATTAGGTTATAATTAAAGATAGCTATCTTAATAAGGCTAGATTAGCTTTTTAATAAGAAGTTCTTCTTAATTATAGCTGCTATTATATATATCTCTTTATATTCCTTTCTATTAGCTGCCTTTATAATAGGTCTAATAGCTAAATTAAGGTTATAGCCAGTTATATAATAGGTATAATTATATAGCTATAGGCTATTTTATATAGCAGGTATTATATTAGTAGCTATAATTAATATTAGCAGCTATAACTAATAGGCCAGAGAATATACTTACAATATAATAAACTTAATGTATCTTTTAGGTAGGTTAAAGGAATAAGGCTAACACAGCTGCTAAGGGACCTGCAGGCAGTATTAATACTACTTAATTAAGGCAGTAATTATGCTATTAAGGCAAATAAACCTTATAAGATTTTAACCTTTAAAATATAGGCCTACTATAGGGGCCTTATTATTTAAGCCTTTATATATAAAGTTAATAGCTTAATAGCCTTATAAGGCTAATAGTAAGGGAAAAAAAAAAAAAAAAAGTATATAATTATAATTTATCCCTTAAGTGAATTCTCCAAATTAAATTAGAAAAACTCGCCTCGTCTCTTTCTTAAAAGTTGACTTCTCCTCGAGCCCATGGACAACAACAAAGCCGCCAAAGCAGTACTTATCTTTCCCCTCGTTCCGTAAGAACACTAGCCACTCGCATCCAGAAAGCGACCATATCTCATCTTTCGGTCGCGCCGTGCTGGGAGCGTAAATCACCAGGCCCGAATCAGTTTCGAACTGTTGCAAGTTTGGAGAAATTTCGTGGGATCCTCGGGGGATTGTCGCGACATGTCTACCGGTCACTTGCAAACTAAGGCCTTTGTGCTTGGTCCTTTGGGAATAGGGATCCGGTTCCTCAACTGGCCAATCTGTTAGTAGTGCTAAAGATCCGGGCGATTCACTGGCCCCGTTGGGGAGGCTTTTAAGCTCCAACAATATGCCCCTATCCTCGCTGCAGTTCCAGTCTGGGACCCATGAAGGAAGAAAGAAGCCCAGGTCACGTCTGCCGACAAATGCTTGCTCCAGAACGTAGTTTAGATCTTCGTCAATCTCGACGATTCTCCGTGCCGCGTCTGAGTGGACGTGTACAGCCGTATTCTCCTGTGAATAGCTGGGCTCAAAGCCATAGTCGTCCCGTGCAAGCCCAACAAATGCGTATATTTTATCTCTTGTGTCCGATGCTTGGAAGTTTCGCGCGTGTCGGAGAAGAACGCGCAAGTCTCCTACTTGACTCTCATGCTTCGAACGGCCGTTCATCATGGCCGTCACGGTGCGTATCGACTTTTCCACATCCGGAGCGGTGAGGTTCTCTATAAGAGAATCAACTTGCTTTTTCACCTTTTCTTCGAAACTGAGAATGGTTGTACCACGCCCTGGCTCTTGCTCACCTTCCTCGGCATTCTGCTGCGCGTGCTGCTGATCAAATTGTTCATTCTTGGCGCGCACGATATCCTGGTGATCCTTGCCTGTGAGGCGACTTTTCCACACATTGTACCAAGAACCAGGGTCTGGGGTCAAACATGACGATATAGTCTCCCAAGGAGCGCCATAGTCTGCAAATACAAAATGGACTTTGGGGGAACAGACGAACTCCTGGTATACCCACGACCGTGTCCACCAAGGAGATAGAAGAAAAGCCACAAAAGATGTGAGAGTCTCGGGACGAGGCCCTCTATCGTAGCAATCTTTCCAGAAAACGTCGACAAGCCCTGTAGAACTTTGAGGTGGCCCGTTTGTGAGCCACCCTAATCCAGGGTTCGGTTTTTCAGTCTCTGTTGGGCCCCATAGTCCGGCCTTTTTTCCGAACTCTTGTGTTTGCGTATTGGAACCCGAGAACGGCCTAGCCGGTTTTTCTTGATCGGCGGTCGAGAGGCAGACAAGAGTCGTAGCGCCACGGGAATAAATATCGCGCATCATCATGACCTGATGGCCTCTCTCGACTTCATCCGACTGATTGATGCAGATTTGGTCAACCCAGAATAAGAAGTATCCATCTCGACAACCATTCTGTTTATCCCAGTAGTCCACAGCACACTTGAAGGCGTGGATGAGCTGCGCGAAGGCATTGAAGATATGTCCCCCGACTAAGATCCTCGCCGTGTTTTGGGGGTCGCCTGCTGCGTACGAGAGAACTAGGTACCGCCCTGTGGACGCGGAGAGCGACACTCCGTCAAGCACGTCGCAGGCCAGTAGTTCCTCACTAGATGAGGCATTTTGGACTGAAGAGGGATTGAGTGATGAGAAGCTAACAGGTGCTGGGTCGCAGCTGCTGGTTTTCCAGTCAGGGTGGTCATCCATATGCTGAGCAAGGGTTTTTCTCTTAGGGTAGACCTTGAGGAGACGAATAGTAGGTCTCTTACTGCCCAAGGGACAGTATTTATACTTTGAGTAGAAGTCTTCGTTACGCGGCGTGTAAAAGTTGTCTTCTTTGGTTCCCGGCCGAGGGCCTAACCCAACCTTGCTGAGGGCTAGTGCACTGACGGATGCACCAAAGTCGTCCTCGGATGACTCCATCTGACTTGTCTGGAGATTCGAGCTGTTGAATTGTTGGAAGGGTGACGTCCCAACATAGGTGAATAGAGCACGGCGGAGGAAACAGTCAGCCGCAATTAAGCATCAATATTGAGCCCAACGTTGTCCCAAAATCTCAACTAGGATTGGTAGACATGAGCAGAGCTATTTCATCCGGCCATTTTCTTGTAGTATCAACGTGGATAAGGTTATAATAAACAAATTTATTCTTGCAAGAGTTATTTCAGCAATATATTTAATAAGAATTATAGCTCTAAAGTTTTGTTCTTTAAAACTAGTTTTTTCTATTTTGAAGTATAATATTGCATTAAAGGTTGAGCTTACTTAATTGCATTTTATCTTAGTTATCTTAATACAATCTGGCTATTTATTAATATTTTACTTAAATACGCTTTAACCTCAAGGTTTTTCCTGATTTATTAGTAGAGAAGACTGTTTATCAGACAAATTATCGAATTCCGAACGTCAAACATAAATATAATCGGCCCCGGCATGGTCACGCGAAAATTAAGACAAATCCTTCTCGAATTAAACACCGATAAAAGCAGCAGAGCTGGTGACAATCTAGTCCGCTGGATGGCTACCCAGCACGATATCGTGATCGCCAAACCTAGCGGAGAATATGCAGCCAGGAGGCTTTGTTCGCCGACCGAGAACTCTTTTTGTCCTTATCCTAAGTCCTGACGAAGCTAGGTTAACACATGGTAGGACATTCTAGGTTTGTCTGTGATAGTACATAAAACAGCTCTTGCGTCATGGCTAGTCAGATATGAAGCGGGGTAATATCACTTTTGAAATCAGGCTGCAGTTGAGCTTGGAGATGGTGGCTCATGCTGGCAAGATAGCCACTGACCTAAAATATTATATAATCCTATATAATCCAGTTACTATGAATATTTCATAAAAGGCCGTCAATTGATTAGCCGTTATTTGTGAGCGCAGCACAGCGTTGTCAAATGGATTACCAGGTAATCTTTTTGTCTTTCAACCCCAGCACAGCCTTAAAATACTGACTGTGGCGTATGACTGCTGACATCCAAGGCAGATTTTCAGCTGCGCAGCCGCCTCCGTGGTTTTCATCCCTAACGTTTTCCCCATTGCAAATTCTCACTCTCGTATCATTAGCTCCATCTGTCGCGCTACCTGAGCATTTGAGATGGATCCCTTGAGCGTGATTGCGTCTGTAGCGGGGATCGCGACCGCCGCAGGTGAGGTCGTCAAAATTCTCCGCCCATATACAACTGCAGCAAAAGACGCCCCCGTGATTGCGGCTGAGGTCTCCTCTGAAGCTCTTGCGACACAAACTATCATTATTGGGCTAGAACAGCTCATCAGCAACTTCTCCGCGGCTAATGTGAGATACGCGTCACTGATCCAGGTGGATCAGCTAACGGCAGTCCTTTTCGATGGAGTCAAGATATTTTCCGAGCTTTTAGCAGTGCTACAGACGCTACCGCCTCTTGAACTCAGTAGCCCTGGAGGGAGCCTGTGGACGCCGATCCAGTGGGTTAGGAAGAAGAGTTCTTTGACTGCCATGCTTCATAAGCTGCAGGCTTTCAAGTCGTCTATTGTCTGCATTTTGAGTATTCTCCAGAGGTGTGTTGTCTACTATTCATCCGCTGCTGAGGTTTATAAGTAATTAACTGAACTCAAAAAGCGATTCTCTAGCTAGAGCTGAAGAAAGTCAGCAGCAGTTAATTGCAGCAGTGAACATGCTGCTCAGAGACAATACTGATCTATCTAGGAGGATGATGGGCATAGAAAACACTATCGATACAAGCCGAGCAACAATCCAGTTCACAAGAGATATAGATGTCCAGGGATGGAAGAGTACGTCATCTCGGCGGTCTTCTGTCTTCGAATTTGACTTTGAGCATGATCTAAAATTATCTCGTGTTTACCGGCAAGCAAAGAGAGATACCATGGACTTTTCAGCACGAAGTTCTGTTGCTCGCACCCACGCATGGTCGAGCTTATCCGGAATCAGTCTGAGCGACATATCTGACATCTCCGTTCTAGCACTTCCGTTGTATGTTGAGGACATCTCGAATCCGCAGCATTACAATTTTGGGCAAGAAAGTATCCAGCCTACAACTTTACTCGTTCCAACTATCCTTACGAGATCTATCTACCATGACTGTATCGAAGTGCAACTTCAGTTAACGCAGTTTAACTGGTTCTTGCAATTCCAGCAGCGGAAATCCTCCCACGATGAAAATCCACTGTCAAATCTAATCTCTATATTTAGGCTCGGGATTCCACTGTTGATGCTATTCGATCAACTCGACTGTTCAAATCACGAAAGATGGAAACACTTAATCGCGTCGAATCCATCCGACGAGGTATCAAAGCTTGCGATAACAGAGTTTGTTAAGGCTTGCACGAAATGCCCGTCTATCCCCACATTTCAGCTCGTCACTGATACCGACATTCTACTCGATGATACAACATGTCATGTGAAGGTAATGCATATACCTTATACTATTTAAGATGAACGGACGACTCATGCAACAGAAGGTTATCAGCCTAGTGCGGCTCCTTTTGGCGAGCCTAACCAAAGCCGGTATGGTTCAAGCGATCGTATTTGAATCTGCTCCGAATGTATTTGCCGTAAAGCCTAACCCCGTAAGTTTGGCCGTGGATGCATTCCTCTGCGATGAGAGGCTCTATCTCAAACATTTGGAAACCCTTTTCGAAAATGTCAAGGAGATCAGATCGTTCCACAACCTTCCCACAGATACTTTTGAGCCCTTGTTTGCGCCCATCGGCCCACTCGTCCATGTTCAAAGAAAGTTTTTGATAATAGCAGAAATGTTGGCTTCGAAACCGTACTCACAGCAAAATTGGCAATTGCCTTTCCGGGAATTGGCATTACATTCGAGCCCTTATTATGCCGCTCTCATCACGGGCCAAGCAGAGTGTAAATCAATGGTCAGAGCTGCATTCTCATTGGCCGATGTTCAGGATGTTGAGCGTCAGGGAGTATTAGGCGACGTTCTAACAATACTGGGCCTTCCCTCTCAGCAACTAGATAAATACGATGCCTTCCTCAAAGTATGACGCCATATTATTCTCCGTTTACGGCACTAATTGTATCCAGGAAATTGCTCGATATGGACTTCATAAACCTGATCACATAGACTCAGCAAAGAGTTGTCTAAAATGGGTTAAACAGGCTGTTGACAAGTCCAATAGAACTCAGGAGCTCAATCGTGCTAAAGCTACACTGTCTAAAGACCAAGATTATGAGACAAATAAGGTCATTTTGGGACTAGGCAAACTCTTGTTGTTTGACAAAGTGGATATAATGGAAACCAGACAAGAAAAGGTATGCTTGTTGCTGTTAATGTGAACTGTGGTTAGCATTTCACTAATTCTCTTACCCTTCCAGATCCAGCTCTATCTCTTTCAAAAGGGGATTGTACAAGCAGTAGAATCGTTCCCAAGCGGCCGACGAAGAGGTATGCTGGGATATGGGAAGCCTTCACCTCCGGAAGGACTCAGAACCCGGCTTTCCATTACTCGAATCATTCCTGCAAAGAATCTCAATCAAGTACAACGAGTACATATATCACCTAAACAAGGTAAAAGCTCATTGCAAGGACCCTTTTTTTTGGGGGGAGGGGTTGAGCTAACACATACAAGAATTCAACGGTTGCGAAATCAAGTGGATGAACGATGACACAGAATGCCGTATCTGCTTTACTCTTGGTTCTGAAACAAGGATTACAGAATGGATACATCAAGCCGAAAGAGTAAAGCGTCAGAATCAACCCTATGTCCCCCCTTACAGGTTCCAGGACAAAATCCAGTCAGAATACCCATTGGTGTTGCTGGGTGCAGGTGGATGTGGTAAAAGTGATCTTACTATTCAAGTAAGTCGACACATGATCCTCTGTTGGTAGTGTGATTGAAGCTGACAGTTGCTCCAGTTTGTGAAGCCCTATTCTTGCGATCAATTTGACCCCTCCAAGAAAGACACATATCATAGATCATGTCTCATCGACAATGAGATTGCTTCCATCGACGTGATTGACACAACTGGGCAAGAAGTGTATTCTACACTGTTACAGCAATATATGAGAGAAGGAGAAGGCTTTATGCTAGTTTACAGTGTCACGAGCCGTCGGAGCTTCGAAGAAATCACCCCTTACTATCATCAGATTTTCAGGCAGAAGGACAAGGATCACTTCCCGATGGTCATGGTTGGTATTAGGTGCTCCCGTGATTCGTTGAGAGAAGTGGCAACTCAGGAAGGTGAATCCTTAGCAAAAGATCTTGGTTGCAAATTCGTCGAATTAGACACTGAGTCTATTTTTCAAGTCGATGCAGCGTTCTTCGACTTAGTACGGGAGGTTCGACGGCACCGCCGTGAGATGCTCGAGTATTAGTAAGAAGACTAGTGACTTAAGAGATTGAGAATGCAATTGCTGAATATCTTTGCTGAATCAATGTCCTGGCATCCATGCCCATAGCCTCCGAGCTCTGGTACGGAAACTTAGATTATGCAAGATCATCCGGTGCAGGTATAACCGTCCAAGTCCCCTCATCCCACTCTATTATGTAAAGGGCAGTCTACTTTTGTCTAATATCTGTCTTACCACTCCTACTTGACTACCAGGATGCTGTATTCCAAAGTAGTACCAAATGCTTGGCCACAAGTGAGGTAGACATATTGGGGATTTCACATATTTTACGAGAAGTGCAAACCGTTGGTTATACACTATGTCCAGCTATTGTATATAATTTATGACCTATTTAATACTATCCTCTAAAATATTACCCGCACTGCGCTCTGAAGCTCGCGACGCCAGTGACTTCAAGCTGAGGCTGCAAACAGCCATCCGGATCCGCACTCGTCAAGATGTCAATGATACCCCCATCATCACAGTTATCATTGTTGTAGATGTACACTGAACACTTGTCGCTGATCTCGCCAGTGGTATAAGATCCAAAGGAACCATTGCGAATTCCCTGGGTACACTCTTGGGTTCCATCACCGCTGTAGGTGTCGCGGGCGCCGGTGCATCTCTCGCTGCTTTGATAGACGCTGAAAGACCATGCTGGGTCTTGGCGGGTTGAGAGGGAAGAGGAGGGGTTGCGGCTCATGTGGATGGCGGCAGATTGGCTGAGGCCAAGGACAGAGGTGATGGAGAGGATGGTTGTGAACTTCATGTTGAATTGTTGGTGAGACTTGATGTTGATAGTGCTAAGCTTGATGAGATTTTGGTTGTCTTGCTTGCTCTGTTGTTGTATGACTATGTGTGATCTGTAGTATATGATGTATAAGGTATGAGATTTCTGTCTCTGGAGTTATGAGGCTAAGATGCTTTATTTGTGGTGTCTTGAATATTTAATAGTCGAAGATGATCTGACCTCTATATACTGCCCAACTGCTTCTATAGTCTTTATTCTTTCACTCTGTATATTTGTCAGATGATGCAATTGATCAACATGCAAACGCCTGGTTACAACGACATCACAAACCAGTTCCTGTAAAAATTACGATGATGATTCCTGTCAGATCCATCGGATGCGATAATCAAGCCATTCATCGTCAGCTTTGATCCTCAAGAGCACAATGCCGAAGGCGAAGCAGGCTGCTGGCCCCCAATATCCACTCACATGTCTTACAACGGCTTACAGGAAGGATTACTTGTGACGTTTAGACGTCTGATCATCACGTGGGGTCTAGCGTACTTCAAAAGTTCATCGGCTGAGCCGCGTGGGGTTAAGGTTTAGTCACATTGGAGATGGATCGGCCCGCTTCAGTAAGCGTAACAAATACTCCGGCGTAATCCTTCGGCGCGTAAGACGACGATCATCTTCATAATGGGGGCGTTGTGCGCCTCACGAGCCGATACGCCAATGGGACGTTGGTGCCTTGTCTCCACTGGTGAGCGTATAGCCTTATTCACATTTGGGTATGAGCATCGTAGAAAAGACTTTTGTCAGGAGTGAGATTTTAATGCGTTTCTTTGCAGACTTCCATCTCGATTACTTCGGGTTACTGAGTCATGATCATGTTGAAAAAATGACCCTTTTGAGACCTGCATGTCAGAAGACCAATGTGAATGGATCAAATGTTTGCTTGGCGCTTACAGCTGAAAATCATCAGGCTGTGCAGATATCAGTATGACGTTCATCACTGTTACTTCTCACCCGTTCAATGAGGCAATTAGATAGCCAATTATAGGTATTGAAGATGTGATCATTACTAGGAGTATGCTTTCTGACTGCTTTGTTGATGGCTTATTGCTCTACTTGCCCTCCAGAGCCTCGACCATCTCTGACGTAGCCTTGCCCTCTTGCTGCAACTGCTTAGCAAGCTGGATAGCTGAAGTACCAGTACCATCAGCAGTAATAGGATCAGCGCCATGTTCCATCAATATTCTAGCTATACCGATATGTCCCGCCTTAATAGCCACATGAAGAGGTGAATCATTAGTGGCCGTTGAAGTACCATCTGTTTCAGGCCGAGCCCCCTTCTCCAGTAAATACCGCATCATAACCTCATTGCCCCGCCTCGCCGCAGCAGCAAGTGCACCTGAACCCTCAATCTTGGCGCCATACTTCAACAAAAGGTCAACCGCTGCAGTATCCTTGTACAGCCCTGCAACCAACGCAAGGGGATACGCAGCTGCATCAGGCTCCTGATTAGGATCTGCCCCAGCCTCAAGAAGAAAGCGCAGAAAGTCAACATGCTGTCGACCCATGCATGCAACGATGAGAGGTGTTCCCCGCATGTCGAACTGCATGTTGATCACAGATGGATCCTTGGTGATCAAGGCCTGCATAAGCGGGATTGAGCCCGTGTTGACACCTGCTCGGACGACTTCCTCGTTGAGAGGGGTGGAGCCGGACCTTAGCAAGAGGTAACGTACAGCATCGTATTGGGAGTTCTTTACGGCTGTTGTCAGAGCCTCTTGGATAGTTTCTTGTGATGGGCGTTGTTCGCTAGTTGATAGTAGGGTTCTCATTTTGTTGGTGTCTCCAGTTGACGCCAGAGCCAGGAGTTGATATTTGAGCGAGTCTGCCATGTTTGCGGTGTAAAGCGATGATTTCTGAATGGATGCAAGGTCTGAGTATGTTGTCTGCCGTCCTCATCCTTTGGAACTTTTTATGATCGACGTGTATTTTCGTTTGTCATAATACGTGGCAACATACCGTCCTGCATCACATGAGGCTGTGCGTTTCTTACGTGAGATTTCTGATCGGCAAAAATTGAGTGCCTAGAAAAGACGTCATTCGCGGCTAGGCATCGAGGCTGTGACCCCGCCATGGAGGGGGCGGCAGTTGAGAGATCGACATAGCTGAACTAACATCGATCCTTCGGGTGCTAAATTAGTCTTCCGTTTGGTTTGCTCCTTGCATCGGGGATTATTCCACCGACTTGGCATCCCAAGGCTGACATTCGCGATTCCACTTATGCTGACGGCTATGTTGATCTATACTCGTCGCGAGTGTGATGGTGATTGTGACGGCATCTGTCTCAGACGGCGAACGAGTTCTTCGTGAGGATCTCGATCTTGGGAGAGGAACTTTTGAACACACTGCGGTCAGACGAGTATGGAGCCCGCTGATAAACGGGAGGCTTGAAAGTATGGGAGAGAGCTCCGTATGATACCTTGGCGCGATCCTCCAACGCTTGGAGACAAACAAACAGGGCTCTGTTATCTCCCAGGTTTCCGGACGCGGCCCTTGTTAATAGTATAAAGACGGTTCCAGATCGCTTCATTCCAATTCTATCACATCAAAGCACCATTCAAACAGTATCGTAGTCTCTCTTTTCACTTCCTTCCATACCACAACACCCAACTTTACTCAGTTCCAACTCCTAAGCCATTCAAAATGAGACTCTCAAACATCCTCTCCCTCACCCTCGCCTTCATCGCCCCAACCGCCATCCTCGCTGCCCCAGCAAACACCCTCCACCGCCGAGACTGTCCCTCCGTCGACACCATCCGCCAATGGATCCGCGACAACGCCAGCGTCGGCGAAAACACAATCTTCTACACCGCCGGCGCCAAGCAAGAGCAGGCGAAAGCCTTTGCCGAGCAAAAGGTCACAGACGGCAACTACTGGGGCAAAGTATTCGACAACAACAAGTATCTCGACTGGATCGAGGAATGCGGCGAAGGTCCTGAGCAGGATAAGCTATTTCCTCGTATGGGAGAAGCGCTCGCTAGGGAGTCTAGTGGAACGGCCTATGTGATCATGATCAAGGGGAATGCTATTGCGAATTTCTGGAAGGATAATGAGTATCCGTACCTTGATGAGAATGGGGTCAAGATCATTGCTGTTAATGCTGAGAACTTTGATGATCAGAAGGATTATAATGGTCAGCCATTCAAGCGGGCTATTCAGTTTTAGATTGATAGATGTTGGTCTGCCTTGCGAAAGCGCTAATTGCGATATATGGACGCTGAGGAGGCATTAGCCAAGGTTGCGCGAGATGGGGAGTAACGATTGGCTTTCTCACAGAATTCCATAGCTATATTCAGGTGGACACAGCAGACGCTGCCAAAGTCTACTGAGTTCTTCAAAAGGCCCATGCAGAGTCTTCAAAGTACTTTAAACCTTATACCAGGGTCCACTGACTAAAATGGTGATTGATGAGAAATTTGCGACTTGTTGCAACGGTTTTGGTGTCAACCCCGCGTGTTTCTTCGCCAAGTATGCCACTGTTGGTCTTCCCCTGTCTCGCGTATGCAGGCCATTCATCCCCATTGACTCCCATTGCGTCTAACAGAGGGATGCAACCTTGCAGAAAAGACAAGAGATCCACCACTCTACGAGGCCAGCCATTCACATCAATCAGCAGAACAAGCAGTCACTGTTGTGTAGACCTTCATGACGGACTTGACATATTGAATCAAAAGACCCCGAAGGTGTTTAACGATGCATTGGCCTTATGAGTCGTGTTTGGGGCTGGTCCATTCACATTATCGCTAGATTTTGGAGGTCAACCTTGAACTAAGAGATTGTTCTGCAATAGTGCGTGACGTAAGTATGATACAGTGACATATGCTCCTCTCCGGCACAGCACTGGCCTGTAAATACCTCGTTCCTCCAGGGTTCGTTCACAAATCAGACCACGAGCGGATAAAGTGCTAGGATCGTACTAATACGCAACATTTCTCAAATACCAACGACCCCGCACATACTCTCGAGATACCATTTGGTCTGCCTGTCTGTACCATTATCGCTAGCAAAAAGTTGAGGCGCACAAGATGGCGAATGACAAGTCCAAAAGTTCATCGCCAGCTGCAGCGCAATCACCTCCTCGAGATGCTGATAGCCCGGAAGAAGCTCTTCTCGTAAGACAATGACAGAACGCAGCGATCGGCCAAGCTTATGTTAATCTCCACTATTAGGAAGCAGGCGACGACGATTCAGCCCTCGGAGTTGTAAGTTACTAGGCCCCCATCATGGTAGCAATGGTAACTAATTGAATGGCTGCATGAAGACCGATGATGAGTTATCGACCGCGTCTTTGCGCTCCAGTATTTACGAATACCATATGATTAATGGTCGCGGATATCATAAAGATGAGAGTGAGCAAGGAATGGCTGCCTGACGGAATCTTGTGCTGATTGGCATGTACAGAATACTGGCTTCCAAGTGATCAGGTATATCCCCCAATGCTTCTGACACCACGTTTTCACTAACATGCTCCCAGAATGAATCAGAGCGCCTAGGTAAACTCGTCTCGTATCTCCCTGGAAATCTGAAGCTGACTATGCAACAGATCTCCAGAACCACCAACTTCTCTTGACATTCGGCGGCAAGCGATATTTCTCGCCCAACGCTGACACAGCAAAAAGAGTCCTTGATGTCGGAACCGGCACGGGAATTTGGGCTGTCGAGTTTGGTGCGTGAAATACTGGCTAAATGGTTTAGCTGAGCTGACGTTGACAATGCAGCTGATGAACATCCACATGCCGAGGTAAGATGATCGATTCAATTTTCTTCGCCAAAATTATTGAACAACTAAGGTCTTCGGCATCGATATTGCTCCTATCCAGCCAGATTTGTAAGCATGAAATCTTAAGAGTCCAGGCAATTAGCTGATGTTATCCAGCGTTCCCCCAAACTGTACGTTCGAGATCGACGACGCCGAGAAGGAATGGACGTGGACTAAGCCCTTCGACTACATCTTCGTTCGTCTCATGGTCGGCAGCATAGCAGACTGGGATAAACTAATCCGCCAATGCTACGAGTATACCGTTCCACAAACTCCAAACTCTCTGCTCCTCGCTAACAACGTCCAGGAACTTGGAACCCGGAGGCTGGGTCGAAGTCATCGACCCAGTATTCCCCGCCAAATCCGAAGACGGAACGCTCAAGCCCGACTCACCCCTCCATAGATGGGACGAACTAACCGCCAAAGGCGCCTTGGCTCTCGGCCGGCCCTTCGATGAAGGCGTTAACCACGAAAAGCGGCTGAAAGAAGCCGGCTTCGTCAATGTTACGAGAAAGGCATTTAAGTGGCCTACAAACACTTGGCCTAAGGATCCGAAGTTCAAGGAGATTGGGCTTTGGACGCTTGCTAACATTGAGAGGAACCTCGAGACTATTAGTAGCTTCTTGTTGAGGCAGGGGCTTGGGATGAGTCAGGAGGAGATACTGGTGTTTATTGCGGAGGTAAGGGCTGAGATGAGGAACTTGAAGGTCCATGCCTATTGGGAGGTGTAAGTATTCTTGAGGATATGAGTTGATAGAACTGACTGTTGTGTAGGTTCGTTGTTACCGGGCAGAAGTCGGAGGAACAGGTCCAAGGATAGTTGCACCAGCTTAGTCTTGCAAATATGGAAAAGGTTGTTATGGTTCGAAATAGGCTCACAGACTTGGAGTCACTTCTTCAGAAATTATTTAGTACAAAACATGTGACGAGAACAAACATCGAAAGGATTATTATTCTCCGGGCAATGATGAGGAACTCCAAGAACTCCCAAGTCTCAGACTAAAGAAAATACATGCTGACTCCATCCTGTGATAGCATTTCAAGGCGTCACAGGAGCCATCAAATTCGTCCTCTCCGCCCTCTTCGCCTGCTTCAGCGTCCTCACCCGCTGAATACTCTGCCACTTCTTCTCCCTTCTCTTATCCCTCAAACACATGCCCACCAACACCGCCATGCACCCCGCAATACACGCCCCAAAGAACGTCGCTACAACGATACCCTCTGTTCCGATCTCGTTATGCTGCTCCATGCAGACTGTCGCGCCAGAGTCGGGATGGATCGTGCAGAAGAGACCGGGGGAGCACGTGCTGGATGTCATGCGGTTGGTGATGCATGAGGCGCTTTCGGTGCGGCCGTCGGTTGTTATGGAGCAGACGACGGTGGTTGAGACTGTTGTGCTGTAGCAGGATGCGCCGGGCTCGGTGGCGGTGATGCTGCTGCTTGATGTGGAGGTTGAGGAGATGGAGGATTCGGTCGAGGTTGATTGGACGGTAGATGAGGATTCTTGGGTCGTTGTTTCTTGTGTTGTAGACTCCTCGGTCGTCGAAGTGGGCTCGTCGGTCGTCGTAGGCTTGTCTTCCGTTGTAGTGGTCTTTTCTTCCGTCGTGGTCGGTTCGTCTTGCGTGGTCTCTTCGGTGTTTCGAGTCTCCGATTTTGTTTCCGTCGTTTCCGACGAGTCCGTATCTTGTCGCCGAACCCACTGTCGCCATCGCTGCACTAGCGCTCCATTCTGCCATGGATCTTGCTGAGCCTTTTGCGCATCGAGGGGAGCTTCGTGGCCGCGGTTTATCGCGGTCGGGACATCGTAGTATGACGGATCGGGCGGTACGTCATTTGGCTGATGGGCTGCAGCCAGTAAAGCGGGCAGGGCGAAGAATGGGCTTAGGGAAAGGAAGCGCATGCTGAAATTACGAAAATAAATAAGAACGGAAGAGGAAATGATTAAAGTTTTAAGTTCAAGAGCCTGCTGAGATGGGGGAAGAAGCTTTGTAGAAAGATAAAATGTTTTCTTTGTTGCGTGATAGCGGAGATATTATCTCGTATTAGCATGTTACTATAAAAAGATCCGTGGCCGCGCGTAGCCAGCTCAGGTCGTTCCACACGGTGACGATCAGTAGCACAGCCGCAAAACCATTGGATAAAATCACGTAAGCTGACATATATATAGCAATAATACGAGCTATACCACAGACAAAGAGTGTCAGACTGTTCAATCAATTTTCTGTATATCCGACCGCTTGTTTCGCGTTCCTCTTCAGGTTTAGGTCGGTGTCAAGCGGGTTTAGCATGGTGATACCGTTGGGCGCTGTGTTGTGGCTGGGTTTTCTTAAAATAGGCGAACGAATCATTTTTGCCTGAGCTGACAGCAGTGAGGCGCGAGAGTGAGCAACTCCGTGGAGTATAAGTAATGTTAGTGGGATTGGTTTTAGACTAAGTATCGGGAAGACTGTACTTTATTTTATTTGCCTTTTAACTTAATAAGATTGATTTGCTATAAAATCCTAAGTTACTAATAGTAAATACTTTAGGGTAGCTATTCTTAATAAATCTATTAACTCTTAAGTTTAGATATAATACGTTAAGTCTTTCCTAATGCCTTTAATAAATTTGCACAACTTTGTACTCCTACCAATTCCTAGAACACTCTAAATTAGAGGATCCAATTCTTTCAAAATGACCCATGTCTGAGTCGACGCAACTTATTACGATCCCTCCAAGATGGCGCTCCCGTTGACAATCTGTGGACCATGCGGTACGTTAAATCAAAATGAGGATAACTTCTTCACCAAGAGCTACCTAGTACTTTAATTCTCGGCATAAGTAATAGTTACGTATAAATGGTGCTCCTTCTTTAATGCCTTCTAGCCTAGCCATGTGTCAGACCGAACCTAGGGATGAAGTTAGACTGTTGGTAGCCACTGTACCCGCGACTAGCATTCCCTCCATATACTTGAACTATTTTGCACCCTCGCAGATCCTAGGGCTAAGAGCGAATGGAAGCTTCTGAGTATGACTCCTGTATAAACAGAGGCCCACGACCACGTTGGGGTAAAACGCTGTTCCGGTCTAGCAAGGGCGTTGCTATGTGACAAAACGGGTTAATACTAGCCAAAGTCTCTAGCCAGAGACCAGCAACATAGGTCAAATTTCCACTAAGCATTTTGTAGCGGCATGCAAGCGCTGCTGCTGCCGGTAGTCGATTTTGTGGGCACGTAAGAACCAGTTTAGAGAATGTTGTATTGACCCCAGTATGTAGCCTACACTAAAGCGAATGGCCTTTCTTGCTGACATTAATGCAAAGAGGTACCTCATAATAGATAATTTATAATAGTGGTCTTTATATTTTATAGTTTAGAAGTAATTCTATAGTGTTTATTTAATATAAAATAAATAAATCTTTTAAAAAGTTCATTCTGTTAATATATAATTTATTATATTAATATTATAATCGCTTTTTAATAATGTTTACCTTAATTACCAAGTCATGTAGGCTGCACTTAGGTAATACGAATTTAGGTAGAAATTGCTGCCCAACATCAAACAGCCTAATCATAGGTATACTGAAGCCTCGGAGCTCGCTTCATGATCAATCTAGCTAAAGACCGTGCTGCTGGCTCTTTGCAGATCATCTCCACAGACCCTCCAAGACTACAACATGGCTGACCCCCTCAGCATAACTGCCAGCATTCTGGCCGTCGTTGGTGCGGCCTACACCAGCGCTCAAGGCCTGTACGACCTTATCGATGGCCTTCAGAGCGCACCGAAGACCATCGCGGACATGAAGACCGAAATTGCTGGGGTGCAGCGAGTTCTGCAGTCTCTCCAGACTAATCTAGAGAAGAAGCCGACCGCTTTGGCTCCGATCTTCGAGCGCGTCGGAATCAAGGAAACGGTTGCTGTCTGTGAAGACATCACAAAGGACTTCACGCGAACTATGGAGAAATACACAGCACACTCCAAGGATGGATCGTTCAGCAATCGCGACAAATTGACTGTGACGTTTCGCAAGTCCAAGCTCGAGGGCTTCCGGACTCGGCTCAATGTCGCCAAGGACACAGTCGAGTTTGCGGTGACTTCGGCCATTTTGTGAGGACTGCCTTGTCCATTTATCCCAAACCCTCGAGATGTCCGCTTTCTTGACTGACGATTCGTTGCTTCTCAGGGCCACTTCTTCATCTACCTACGGCTCGATCGAAGATCTCAAAAAGGCACTAGAGAATCAGGTAGAGGCGCTCAGGGTGCAGTCTCAACGGCTCGTTACCATCGAGAAAGACGTCAATGACCTGGAACTTGACGAGGAGGCCGAGGCCGACGAGACTAACGATATAATCCCCATCACGACCCGTGAGCGGGATCTGACACTCACCATCCTTCCCATTCTCAAGAAGGCTTGCGCGGAGGCACTCGGCGTCACAGAGGCGCAGTCCAACAACACCTACCAGAAGTTCGGCGACGTCACTTCGGAGGACTCCTCCAAGGTGGGAGCTGGGGTGGCTGGCTCTAACTTTGGGACCGGAAATGTGCAGCAGGAGTTCGGGAACACGAATGCCAAGAATTCGAGCCAGGCATACGTGGGTCGAATGGACAGTCAGGCCTTCAAGGACTTTTGGAATAGTCCGACGTCAAAACCGGACAGTAGCTCCAGATCAAGAAGCGGTGATGATGGTTAGAACGCAACGTTTGTCTAAGGAGCTACAGATGGTTTTCAGGTTGATTTAACGTCGCTCTTTGTTGCTTGAGATGTTGAAAATCGATGAGACACACAAGATGCGGTATTTGATGTAGTATTCTTGGATTGAGATTACCTCCAAGACTAGTCTAGCCTACCAGTCTCCATCACCTGCTGTTCATGATGTGCTTATCCAATGACGGCCTTGTTTGCTTATGCACCCCCTAATTCGTCAACAGGGCTCCACCGTGTCAAGGAGGGGTATATCAGCTGCCTCAGTCCAACAACATTCGAGAGAGGAGTCCAGACTTGATTTAACTCTCACCATTTTCCGGCGGTTCTCTGACTGGACATATCTTGAGAAGTCTTTGATGTACGCTAGATTCGTCAGCAGCTATCTGAGTTACCAAGTGGCCTACTTGTCATGTCTTCACGTCGGCATCTTGATGAACTGTCACAGCAATTCGGCAATGTTTCCTTTAACAACTCGAAGGGATTCGTGGGTGCCGTTGGCATTGACAATGCCTCGGTTACTGTGCAGAGTCTGACCGCCAGCATCTTCTCCGGGATGGAAAGTCTGTAGTTGTCGCCGGGCCTCTTTGGCAGATGGAGCTGACAGTGCGTTCACAGATCCGGTACACAACGTAATCAGGGCCCTAGACATCGATAACAACGACTATGAGGGTGACAGAGAGGATATTCCGGATATGGCTACCAATACGGGGAAGTGGTTCTTCGAAGATCTCAACTTCCTGCGCTGGATGGAGTTTGATTCTTCTAGCTTGCTGATAGTCACCGGTCAGAGTGGCCAGGGAAAATCCGTCATGGCACGTCATCTCATCAAGCATCTGCCTAGAGGCAGCTCAGTGAGCTACTTCTTTTTTAACAGGCGCAGAGAAGAGGCTCAATCTCCGGTTTGCGCCGTTGCTGCTTTACTCCATCGTTGGTTTACCCGTGAACCAGCGCTGTCGCACCATTACGCAGTAAGCCTGTTCTATTCTCAACCTCGGATGGCGGCTCAAGGACCATGGCTGACTTCGATTTGAACATCTAGGTGAAAGCCTTCAACCATCACAAAACTTTGCACAAGTTCAATCTTCTATGGGGTATACTGGAGCAGACAATGTTGTCGCCAAAGTCGGGAACTCTATACTGTGTTCTGGATGGTCTGGAGAAATGCCGACAGTCAAATGAAACGGAGGCTGGCTTACGAAATCTTATGGAGGCAATCTCGAAATTCTTCCGCACCGAGAATCACGAGGTATGGGATCTGCTTATGCGTACCTTTCCTGACCACATACGAATGGCCTGGTCAGGCGAAGATCAAGTCATCTCCCTCTCTGGGTAAATTGAGGAAATCTGACTGCACAAATAGGTCCACCGTGTAACCCACCTTAAGATCCTGGTAACGGCTCAGGCCTCAGAAACCATCTCCAGAAAGATTCCACGCTGCGACCACTGCAACCCAGTGATGCGCCTTGACTGCACCGAAGCTGACGTCGCTAGTATGATAACTCGAGATGTTGAAGAGGTCATAAAAAACGCGCTTGTAAAAATAACAACTTCACCCCTGAGCAGGATCGATGCAAAGTTTGTACAGAGTCTACAGGCCGGTGATGAGTCAGTATGGTCTGAATTACAGAATGAGCTGGGAGAGTATGGGCTGCAGGCGGACATGATTAGCACTGACCAGAGAAGAAGCCTCATCACGAACTTGATTACTGCTATGGTGGGCTACGACATCAATAATGACTCTGAAGACAAACGTGAATCAGAGCCCGAGCCGCTTAATTCAGACGGGGCAGAGGCAGAGGCAGAGGTGACAGAAGGCTCAGGAGCCTCAGGTCCAAATGTCGCTACGACAGGTACAAAGAAACAAGTGGAGCCTATAAAGCCAATGAGGAGACCATCAATCGTTTCAAATACCCAGGAAGGCTGGGAGAAAGCAGCAAGGACCGAGCAAGGCCCCCGCAGGACACCAACTTTCCGCTTGCGTGACCTCCAAGATGCAGAGGAGCAGCGTCGTTCTGCTGTGTAAGCTTTGCACGCCGAGGGCCGTTAGTAGTTATGATTTGCCTGCTAACGACTCTTCTAGCGGAGAAAGAGCTGACAGGTGGCTTGACTACTACGAATCTGGATTCCTGCAGCCACTGCAACGCTTTCTTGACACGGTCAAGTACGCGGCCGACGATTTAGATGTAAGGCCCGTGAAGCTAGCAATTTTTAGTACCGGGGTGAATAAGCATCTGCTTCGGGAGATCAGTCACCGCGATCTCAGAGACAAAGTCAAGGTTAGGAGCTTTGTGCACGACGATCCCGAAGCATATGACAACATCGGTATTGGGACCATGGTAACGCGCTTGCTTCTAGGATTAGCCCCCTCGGCTGAGATCCACGTCTTCAAGGTAACATCCGAGGGTGTCATCCAGGCATCACAGGTTGAACAAATCGTGAAGGTTAGTCGCCCTATGCTTGATAAATTATGACCCGGTTGTTCGGCTAACTGGGCCTGGTTGGGGTAGGCCGTGAATTATGCTGTTGTAGAAACTGAAGCAGATATTCTTTGCATGGGTTTTGGTTTCCACCAGCGGGATTCAGAGGTCGAGAGGGTTATCCGTCATGCGGCAACGCGGAACTCGGGTCGCGGCGTCATCATGTTTGCTGCCGCCGGGAACGAAGGGGGCAACCGACCTGTCCCCTATCCGGCTCGAGATCCGAATGTGTTTTGCGTCTATTCCACGGACGGACTCGGGAACAGCTCGGCATTCAACCCCAGTTTGCTGGATCCGCGTGACAGGTTCAGCACACTAGGTGAAGAAGTCAGATTCGGGAGGATTACTGAGGATACCATGGGGACAGGGTCAGGCTCGACCTTGTCTGCCACTATCGCTGCAGCAATGGCCGCTGAGATTCTCAACTGGTGGCGCCGTTGCCACGAGGCGAGGGTTTTCCACCGTTTAGAAAGTTCTGCGAACAGGATCGATTACATTGGCATGGAGGAGATGCGAAAGATATTTCACCTAATGTCCGTCGAGAGAGATGGGTTCAGGTATTTGACGCCGTGGGTGCTGTTTGGAGCTGGAGATATAAGCCAGGTAGCGAGCAAGGTGGTGTACGCTCTCGAGTCGGGCTGGTAGTATTCACTTGACATTTCACACATAGTAGGTCGGGACTGCATTCACCATTAGGCACACTGGATGAAAGTGGTGATGGAGCAGATGGATAATTAGGTATATCTGTATATGTCAAATAACAGAGTAAACATATTAAGGACTGACATAACCCTCTTTGACCTCTATTTCGCCGTCTCATCCCAATCACGCTAATCCTACGACCATCCTTTGACGCTTCTTTCTTAGCCTTCTATTCTCAGAGGAACCTATTCCCTTAATGGCTGCAGGTCACTATTGCTACGCTGTGGCGTCACAGTCAAAGCTACAGCAGGGTAGAGATCTGCATACAAGGCATGCTGCAGATGACTATCGAACTCCATAGGGCCTACCGCTGTTGCATTTGCGGAGGCTTCTGAGTGGAGTGTTAATTCGTCGACCGCTCCTATGGGTTACATTGGTTTCCTACGTGGTCATCACGACTGGAAGGAAATTTCAGATAATGAAATGAAATCGTAGCTATCTAATTAGATACAGATGCTAGGAGAATTACCTGAAGCGAGATACATGAACCTATTGTGTTTCAATTTAAACCAATCCTTCACATTCCTTCATTAACATCGCGGACTTTCCCTTAGGAGCTCACACTGCCGCAGCTGTAGTAGTCAGAGTCACTCGCTGAACAACTCCACTCTGAATCCGAATCTTCTGTGACGTTCACATGCGGATCAAGAGCATTAGTCCACAAGCCAAGAAGTCTATCTATGCCGGTGCTGATTGTATCCGGGTCAGGAGACCAAGAGTCAGAAAGCCGAAGCAGCTCCTCCATCTCGCTGTGAATATGTTTCATAGTCGGAGAAGTACAAGAACGTGTTGATGAACTGCTAGAGGTAGTAGTGCTTGTACAGGGAGGGCCAGCAGTAACAACGTTCGGAGGTCCAGGTGGCATCATACCCGGACGACGATTGAAGGGCGTTGGGCCACCGAACATCGGTGGTATTGGGGTGCCATAGTTCTGAATGTTCAGTGTCATGCCAGGACGGCGTAGCGATTCCCACGTCTCAGGTAAAATGACGGTTCCGTCCTCGGCGCAGAAATTATACTTTCCGTCTTTCAAAATCGCTGACGCGGGATATCCCAAGCTGAGGGAAGAGAGTCTTTTACGCAGTGACTGCAGTGAATGTCAATCAGCCAGTGCTAGACGCTTCAGTATCTCTTAAACTCACATCTAGATCCTTGCAAGAAGCATACGGGAAGGTGAACCTTTTACCCGTGTGAAGTTCAACTACGTGTATCGGCTCTACTTCATCACCGAGCCGGAAGAAAAGACAGATAGAAGCATCAGTCTGAACAACAGCCTCGTATCTGTTTTTGAGTGGAGGACTGGCGGTCGACATGGCGATCCAAGTACGTTCTCTAGGGCTCGATTGCTTGGCGGCATCGATACCATCGTCGATCCGTTGGCGGACACGTTGATCGAGTGAGTCGTATTGTTCGAGGAGTCCTGGACGCTTTCTCCATCTGGGCTTGGAGGTTGCCTTCGAGAGAGCGGACCTGACATGTTTGTCATCCAGTTCAAGGCGTTTGAATGTCTTGATTGGGATGCTGTTGAAATGAGCGGCAAGATCAATTTGCCAAACCTCAAGGTCTTGATCCTTCCATTCATCATGCGATCCTGGCAGGAGGATCCGTTTGATCCAGTTTCTGGTAGCAGTCAGCAGACTTGAGCCGTGTTCTTTGGCCGGCTGTCGATTCATTTGTGTTGGTGAGCTGGTGGTCTCTTCAGTGGTATCAACCAAAGCCTCGGTGTCCTCGGGCAATTCTGGCGGCTGAGTTTCACCGCTTGGAATGCTCTCAACAGGCTTGACCTCTTCAGTCTTTGTTTCAACCGCAATAGTAGGTGTACTTGAAACAGTGCAAGTGCTTTTAACATCTGCGATGGAAACATTGCTAGAGTCTGGTGGTGGAGCGATGATGGTCCATTTGGCCACCTTCTTGGACCAAAATCTGTTGTGACTTGCTCGTTGTCTGTCCACCGTCTTTGCCAGTTGTCGGATTGTGGACTCGGTCTCAAAGCTACCTGGGAGTCGAGTCCCTGCCCTAGTGGAACCATCAAGTTAGCACAGACAGCATATAGAATGACCCGAGCTTACCGCATCTGACCCTGCGCGATAGTACCCAAAAGATAGCGCAGCATGAGTTCAAACTTGATCTGCGTCAAGCGGTGCCGAAAGTACCTCAGTTCAAGCTCGAGCCGCTCCCAAGACTCGTCACTCCATACACTGGTGTGAGCGACGCAGTCGAGATACTTTCCTGTTTCCTCCCGCGAGATCTTATTGATCTCCTTGTCGCCAACAATACTCTCTGTCTTCCGTACCAGCATGATCAATATACCGGTGTAAATCTTTTCGCACGTGGCCGTTAGGCCAGTGATGTCTTCCAGGCATAGCGTTGTGAGCGCATCTGCACTTTCTTGAATCAGATTGTCAATTTTTGTCAGTGTCAGGGCAGTAGAATTGATCAAATTGATCAGCTTGGGCAGCACCAGTTGGGCTCTGTGGTTGGCTTCCGATTCTATTTGTAGGGAGCTTGCAAGATTGAGGCCTAGCTTGGCGACTGGTTCAATATCGTTGTGGGCCATCGCTCAAGAGAGACCAACACGGGAATAAGAAAGGAAGGAAAATTCAGAAAATAGCTCGAGGTCCTCCCGTTCTATTAAAATCGATCAGCGTGTTTAAAGCATGCAATGGTAAGCTTATCATTACCCCTCAATACGTGCATCAGCGTAGCCAATCATCAAAGTTGTTGGCTGCACTTCTGCCTTACGTGACTCTAGGACTGTTGAACAACGTGTCATACATAAGCCACCATTGTAACGATTGGTACTCATTTGCTGCAGTGAGACGCATTTGGAAGAAACCTTGACCGCTCCTTGCGGGGTTCAACCATCTCTCTACCATGATTTGGACGGTAAGCAGACAACGTACGGTCTAAACTCATCTTTTTTGCAGTCAGTAATTAGATAGCTCGATACTGGCATAGATTGGCTGATACAGTTGTATGTTGGTCTATCTTTATCCACTCCGGTTGATGGCCTTTACTTTGTTATCGTGCCCCGGCGCAATACGACATCAGGCGGTTTCTATTGGCACATTTCAGGCAAGGACCAATCGCATTCCTTGGCCCCCAATCTGAGAATCTTGGAAGGGTACTTCTTTGAGGTTTTGGTTGCCAAGTATAGCCCGTGTCGTATTCTCCCTATGGTTGTCTCACTAGAAGTCTACTTCGGGAACATTTGCATGTGGCGCTGCACGATAAAGCAACATGAAGCTATACTTGTTGCAGGTATCATTAAACGTGCCTAATCCCCTGTAAATATGAGGTTCTCCTTTGTTACTACTACTGACGTTTACTGCTACTTTGTCCAAAACCAGACAGTGGCACGGTTATAAGCGTTTGTATAAAAATACGCCCAATTATCCTGGGTCCTGAAAATGGAATATCATTTAAACTCTGGAGACAACAGTGAATGGAAGGAATATTTTGCCGGTATGTATTTATTAGTGTTCTTTTACCTTACTTAGGGGCTGAAACTTCTTTTAAACTCTTAACGTAATTACAGAACTGTGGAGACCGCTGGTTGAGGTATCGGTATGGGAAATTAATCAAGACCAGTGATCCTGATAGGGAGGTCCTCTGACTACAGGTGGCTAATGACCAAAGTATGGGGAGATTTACCAGCATCGACTTTAAATGGCTCGTCAGCCTCACCGGACTACCGGAAGCGATTTTGTTTGCGAAAGAAAATAAATCACAAGATCAGAGAAAGGGGGGACAGGGGAAGCAACGTGCGATGTATCAGTGAAAGCCCTGTCTCGCATTGAAAAATGTGATGAACATCAGGCTGCGTTATGACAATCTGTTGCTTGGGTTCGCTGCGCTCTCTTTCTTATCTCCTTTCTCTTGTCCCGTGAGTACAGCAATTAGATTTTGCGTTATCAGATTGCAATTAATGGTCGCATAGGTGCATGACGGACAAATAAAAAGAGAAACGACCGGGTATTCTCAGTCGACCCCGACCTCATACATGCCACCACCCTTGATATGTATTATCTGGGCCTTTGAAAATGCCAATCTTTTCAACCTTCCCTACTGACCAAGGCGACGTGGCGGCATTTGATTGGATGTCAGCCCATCAGTCTTTCGCCAGCGTGGAGGGGCCCAACGTTATAGATAGATCCAGATCACTCTTACCATCAGTCTGAAGAAAGTTGTATCCCATCCCACGATTCTCTGCATAGTATCTACATATCTTATCAAGTACACATTCGAAGTCGTCCGTTCACCAACACTATTCACTGCGCTACCTGTAGTCAATATGTGTAGCAATAACCCCGGATGCACTGGCAATGTGACAACACACGTTACTTCTTGGGCCTATTGTACCGCAAGGGTTTACGACGCTTCATCAGCGCGGAATTATGTCGGCATTCGCCCCTCCAGGACTTGTCAAGCAGCTTTTGCGAAAACGTGGTGGGAGGAGTGTGACAGATTGCTACTAGTAACCCCGACAAAGACAACAAATTACTCCGTCTGTCCTAGCCATCGGACGAGAATCGAGTAGGTGAGTTTTCAAATAAGTAGCCGAAAGGCTACAGGCAACCACGAACAGATGCTAACAGCAGGTCAGCTCAGTGCAAGGTCAGAATGAGCACACAAACTTCCCATAAGTGCGGCCGTATGGGCGGATCTTGAAGGTGAAGGTTGGTATGTCCTGTATGAGGAATCTTTAGTAGGGTATATAAGGAAGAGGTAGTATGTGATTGTTGCTTTTGGGGGTGTCCTTTATGGGTTCCTTTATGCCTTGAGTATCTGGTGCATCTTCTTGAGTTGATCCTCAGTTGGATCATCCGAGATCCACTAACCTTTCTTTTTCTCGGTGGCGTTAAGGAAACCTTCAGCACGCTTAATAGTGTGAATATATAGATCCATGACGTATGACTTGCCGTCGGATAACTTAATGCGGACCTTGTAATTGTCGACTCAATTGTCTTTAACCAGTCGCCATGTGTTAAAATCCAGTAGGCAACTGCAACCCCCGGTTTTAAGGACATAAATAAAGATCCCCGCCCTAAGATAGTAAAAAAAACACTAAACCTTTATATAGAGTGTTAAAATAAACCTGATAAAAGATATCTTAAATTTATATAAGTTTACTTAAATGTTTTTATTATTTAGGATATAATCCTGGATTTTCTTTCCTCCCTTGGCCCGTCTTGATAGCTGTTTTGAACTGGCGGTTGATTACCCAACCAATCGTCGACAGATTCATCTAACCAGAATTAAATCTCTACTTTGCAGTCCGAAAGCTGACTTACTCAACACAGCAGATTATGAGGCACGTATGAAACAGTTTATCTCATTTCGCGGGTCAGTTCAATGCATGGCCATTTCAATCATCTTTCTCGGCTATACCGGCTGTAGCGGCTGTGGCCATCACTATACTGAAACCACAAGAATAACGGCATCTGGATCGCTTCTCGGATCCGGCATAGCCGAGAAAAAGAATTTTGACCATCCTTTTATCGGAAGGCCCTAGTCGTTGACATGGAAGAGCCGGGCGTTTATGACCCCACGAAAGCAGGGGTCAAGGGGCGAATAGCTGCATGTCGATTGGGCAATTGAAATGAGTCACCAGGCGCGTTTTATGCACCAAATACAATTGTTGGAGTTATGATGCATGTCGCGTGGCTTTCAGCGACGGATCTGGCGGCATTTACAATACGCTCACCTCGCCTATCCACCCGTGCCTAGCAACTACACAGTAGACCAAACTACAGTAACTTTGAGCGAGGGGGCTTTGACGATAAACAATGACATAACTCAGGCGCTGACTTGAATTCCTAAGCTACTCGCTTGGCCTATACATAAACCGTTGATTCCCCTTGAGCAGTGTTCTTTTGCGTTTCCTTGGCAGAGAAGTTTATGTTTCATATATCTTTTCTTAGCCGAAATTGTTTACTTACAACTTGAGATATGGCTCGTTGTCGGCGGACTTCTTCCCGCGAAAGCTTAGAGGAAGACACTGCTTCTGCTGGCAGGTCATTGACGCAGCCTTGCCACGCGTTTAAACGCAGATCCGCCAGGACCGCGCCCAGATATGCCCATGGCAGCATGACAGAACCAATGACGGACAAGGCTCATCAAAAGGTCCGAAAGGCTTGTGTGAGATGCAGAATGAAGAAGACCAAGGTAAGTCCTCAAGCTCTGAGTGATAAAAAGGTCAAAGTTGAACTCATAGACATGACAGTGCGATGGTAAGATGCCTTGTAGAAGGTGTCAGGACGATCAAAAAATATGTACAGCTAGTGCCAGGAGAACCATTACCTTCAAGCATGCTCCTAGAGGGTAAGTGATATGCCTCTCACAGCCCTTATGGTCATATCATTGAGACCAGATACAGATACGCCGAGGTCCTGGAGCAGTCCCAGTATATCCTGATAGAGACTGTCTTCAAGCTATATGGCATGGTCAGGAACTCACAGCCTTGGAAGCTGGCTGAGCCTCACCTGAATATGCACGGTCAACCCGTCGCCCAACACATCGCGAAGCTTCTAGGCTGCGTACCGCCAATCGCCGACATCGACCTCCCAGTGCGATCCATCTTCCCCGAAGATGTAGACAGCTTGGAGGAGCTGTATCACGAGCTGGAAGAACATGAGAGATCTGAAGCTGCTACCATACCCAGCCTTACCAGAGACAAGCAGTTGACTTGCGATGAAAGTGCGATATCGGAACCGCAAGACTCGGATATGGAACCTCCGTATTACTGGGCTGACCGTCAGAAACAGGGTACGGTAGATCTACGACTCCAGGCTAGGAGTAATGCCCTGGACTTTGAGGGCGCTATAGCCGCTAACATGCATAGAAATGCATTGTTTCCTGACACTCCTCCCTCGTCTTTGACATGGAATAGCTACATCGATGGGCACACCGACTCAACAATGTGTCTCCTACAACAGGTCGGCGTAATGCAGGGTAATGGAATGATCCAGCAGGGTCTGTTGAGACCCGTCTTTGAGGGCGTTGAGCCGTACGGTATGTCTGTTGCTCTGGGGATGAGACATAGAGAGAGATAATGATTCAAAGATCTCGGGATATAGTTGAATATAGAGGCATAAATGAAAGATTGAGAACCCTGAGATGGACCTTGAGATAGTTGTGAGTGGAAAGACATAGCTTCTGGCCTCCAGGGCTGCCAGCTTTCCTCTAACGAGAGGTAGTGCATAATGATTAATTGGTGATTCAGTGCGACATGTTCGTAATATTATACGCCAAAGTGAACATAGGGAACCCAGTAAAGTGGCTTAGTATCCTCGTCGCAACCAACAATATCCCTAATCTCAGCGCCTCGTCTCGACAGAGCAGTATTCATGTCTCGCCATTCCATCTCGATCCGACCACCCCGCAGCGCCCTGAAAGCACGGTGGAGACCTCTACAGACGGCCTGGTCTGTCACGCCTTCGTGCTGCATCGTCTCGTACAGCACTCTCGACACATAAACGGAATGCCTATCCAGAACGTTCCAATGACATGCCGGAACCCATCGAGCTGGAAGGCTTGGGCAAGATGGACTTCCTCATCGGCGAATCTGTCGGACTCATTGGCCCGGGTTGAGCAACCGGAAAGGTAGGCGAAGAACGGAGGGTTGTCTTGCAACCTGTGATCACGAAGCGCGCCCGTCGTCAGCGGATTCGTCTCCCAATCCTCGAGGAGCAAGCAGCTTCGCGAAGGATCTGCTGCATCAGACTGCCCATGGCCGGCAGAATGAAATATCTTGCACGTCTTTAGATGCTCAAGGACCTCGTCTCTGCGCCGCGGGGGCATGGTGGGTCTAGCCCCAGTGACGGGCAGAGTGCTGTCAGCATATCCACCTCATCGGCGGCGAATGGAAGAAGTCCACCCGCGGACAGAAAGCCGGCGATTACTTTTGCCGCACCAAATTCTGAAACAAGGACACCCAAATCGCCATCGCACAAGATAGACGTGACATCTTCGGGGATAGCAAGAATGTCAGCATCAATCGCCTCCTTCAGGACCCCTATAGTCCCAACTATGTATTCAAGACGTAGTATTTGTATGTGAAATATACAGTCCGAATGGATGCAAGGCCATTGGCACCGCGAAAACAAAGGACGATGCCTTGAAACTCATTCAGCAAAACAGGCAAAGCGGCTATAACTGGGCGTATTGCCACAAGCTCTCCTTGTCTCCGTTCACGATCTACGCCTGGAGATGGGACAGTTGTAATGCCGTGAAAAGAAGCAGGGTTTGAAATACATAATTTGTTGTTGGTGCTGAGTCCTGGACACATATGGCAATACTTAAACGCAATCGCGTTCTGCTCATTCGGAGGTCATTCAGTCGAGCAACTTCTTAGAACACATCGAGGTTCAGAATAGATGTAGAGTTCAAATGAACACCGCGACAATCATACGAGGCTCTGCGATGGAGTTATGAAACGACCAGCTGTGCACTTGTCAATGTACCTAAAGATAGTACCGCTTGCAAGTCGTCGATGCTCGCTTCCACGAGAAGGGATGTGGGCAGCTTGACAGGGCAGCTTGGAGGACGACTCGTGAATTGACTAGTAGTATTGGGGTAAAAATAGGGATCAGATCAGGGACTCTTTATCTCTAGGTTGAATGCCAAGTTGGGCGAATGTATCAAAGTCCAATTGTCTCCACCTATTTGAGGGGAAGCGCGGATTCCCGTGATGCGCCGATTGCCGTTTCGGATTTGGTGGGGATTACGAAAAGACCTTTATCGTTGTCGAGTTGGACAACTTGGCAATTTAAACTCCCAAAGTCTCTGTTTTTGTTATCAATGGTTCAGTTGTGTTCATACTAGCTGGCTGTTACACTCAATTGCAGATAAAACACAATGGCGTCCCAAGTTGTTCAACGCATCAGCGTCCGGTGGCTACCGGAACCGGCCTACGAAGACACAAACACAATCGCACTCAATGTGGGGGGATACTTCATCGACTTTCGCGTTGAGAAGGAATCGCAAGCCATTCAATGGAGTCGGGCTGGTGAACGGATTCTCTTAAAGGATGACCCCCGTACGTTTGTTCATGACCGTCATCTACCTTCTGACCCCAGCTTGACATTTGTTGACAGCTACATATCGATGGACTCATATCATTGACTCGCTCGACCTCACGGTACCCGATGAAGCCTATTTCAACAAGCTATCCAATGGTGATGACATTGAGATTGGAAGCACTCCGTGTCCGCACAAAGACGGTGCGGTGACAGAATACGAGGAAGTATGGCGAGATATTACTCCCAAACCACTAAACGCATCTTCGTGGATTTTACAAAGCCAAGATGGAATGACCTTTGTTGGGAAGGTCGGCAATGTCTATCTGGCAATAAAGAAAGGTGCAGATGGTTCATTCTTGGCGCGGAAGGATACTCTGAACTTTTCAAGCAACTCATGGGAGAATGTGTTCAGGTTTGACAACGCCAGTGTTCTTCCACGAGCAGATGATGCGATCAAGGCTGTCGAAGCAGCAGGACGAGACTTGGATCGAGGAAGTAGCCTCCAAATAGGTGAGGATGGATTTATAGTTCGCGCTTTCAAGAAATAACAAATGCTATGAACACCTTGTATATATCTCACCATCAACCGAAGTAACCAAGAATAGCGTTGACTTCAACTTGAGTAATAAGGATCACAGAAGTTTCCAGCTTTTCACGAGATGAACATGTTGTGACTTAGCACGTATCTAACCCGTAGCCAACTCGTAGCCTCTGCGATTCGGTCCAGAATATTTACAATGATGGTATTGTCGGTCCTTTAGATCAGACCTAGACCTACTTCAAGCCCAAACGCTAGCCAGTCGTCACCAAGGGGGCTCCGAATTAGAGAATCTCTCGCAATAGTTTGCGGGCACGAAGTCTAACCAAACCGATAAGAGCATCACGCAATGTCAGACATCATGATAGATAAGAACTCAATTGATCGGAAAAACAAGAGCAGATAAGGTTAAAATTTCGCCGGTATCTAACGAGTCATGAGGACTTGGTTCGTCGCCCCGTGGGGAAGACCCTGTTAACCCCGCGCTATTTGCGAGCGCGGAAATCAGCTAGCGTCGGAATTTCGCGAGAGGGGGGAGACTAGCTTGGAGCTAGGATAGATAGCATTCTTGTCCAGATTAGAGCAATCCATTGAGAAGCCCGGGGTAATCACTCCAGTCATCCGTACACCCGGGACTACCATCTACTGGTTATCTGGGGTAATCTTCAGGAGGAAGATCACGGTATATAAGAGTGACTGTCCTGTCGCTCAAATTCTTGAGGTTCTGCTCAAGGCATCCACAGACAATCTCGGGACACACAAAATCTAAAAATCTCCAACATGAGCCACTCGAGTATGAGTCCAGATAGTGGGAAGAAGGACCCCAACATCGGACAAAGTGTAGAGGCAGACGAAAAGTCAATTCAGGTTATGCCCGAAGAGAACAGAGAAGTCTTTGATTCGTCAGAGTTCCGTGCTCTGGGATGGTAAGCTAAAATACCAAAGTATATACTTTTCTAACATCAAGTGTGTAGGGTCAAAACCACCATCATTTTGATGAAGCTCTGCTTCGCGACCGGAGTTCTCACCATTCCATCTGCTTTTAGCGTTGTTGGATATGGCCCTGGTATCATACTACTGGTGTTCTGGGGCGCTTTAACAACATGTAAGATATCATGCCAACAAGAAGAGCTGATGAATAACTTACGTCTTATAGACTATGCATACATCATGTATGCATTCCGCATGAAGTACCCAGGTGTCCATAACATCGCCGATGCTGCCGCGGTAGTTGGCGGACCGATTGCTCGTGAGATTGCTGGAGCTCTATTTCTTCTTACCTGGGTGTAGGTCTGCAAACTCCCATACCAACCACAATTCTCTAATCCGTGTTAGATTATCTTCTGGTTCAGGTTTTATTGGTCTAGCACAAGGTTTCAAGACATTAGCCGATGGTAAAGTCTGCACGGTCGTCTGGACCATGATTGCCGCCCTCTTAACTGCAGTAGCAGCAAGTATCCCAACATTAGGTAAGCTTGCTATACTGACTTGGATCGGATTTGCGTCCATCTTTACCGCTGTGTTTGTTGTCGTGTAAGTCTATCACAAGCAGTTCGACTTGGCATCCTCCGCTAATTACCTTTCCAGTGTCGGTGTTTCGCAAGTCGATCGGCCAGCTGCTGCCCCGCAAACTGGACCTTTTAACATGGAGGTCATTTCCGTCGCTCATCCTGGATTCGTTGCCGGTCTCACTGCTGCTATCAACCTTTTTGGTGAGTGATTGGGTTCAGCTTTTGGGTTAGAGCAGTGTTATAACTTTGTTACTATTTAGCTGGCTACGCTTCGACTCCCACTTTCATGCCCGTCATCGCTGAGATGAGAGTCCCAAGCTCATTCCCTAGAGCTTTGTTCTCCTCTCAGGCTTTTCTTATGGCATGTTATGTCTCCTTTGGCATGGTCGTATACTAGTGAGTCGTAATAGAATGGGGTTTTTAGATTAAAGTGCTAACACGAAAACCAGCTTCTGTGGTCAATATGTTGCTAGCCCTTCATTGGGCAGCGCTGGTGGCACGGTCGAAAAGATTGCCTACGGGATTTCTATTCCAGGCTTTATCATGACCTCCACTCTTTGGGTACATTTAGCAGCAAAATTTGTAAGTCTACTGTACGTCATTGTGGATAGGGGCTAACGAATTGAAGCTTCTCGTGCGTATCCTGCGGAACTCTGAGCATCTCCAAAAACATAGCATTATTCACTGGGTGACTTGGCTGTAAGTTGAGGCATTCTTTCTGTGTGTGATGTTGCTAATCAACACGTAGTGGCTCTACTTTGGGTATTTCGGCAGTTGCTTTCATTACTGCTGAAGCTATTCCTTTCTTCAGTTACTTGATTGGTCTAATTGCATCAGCTTGTTGTGCCCCAACATGTGTAAGATTTGATCCTATGCTCTCTAACAATTATCTACTAACGAGAATTAAACAATAGTTCATCTTCCCCGCTTTGATGGCCCTTTACATGGACCGAGGAAATCACAGGTCGTCTAAAGGCAAGATTGTACTTTGTGGGTTGCATATCTTCACACTGCTTTTAGGTGCTTTTATTACTGTTTCTGGCACGTATACTAGTATCCAGAGTATCATTGACGCCTACGCCAATGGTGTTGTTGGAGGAGCTTTTACATGTGCTTAGGCTTTGAGCGACTTTGGCAACATTTAAGTATTGTTTCTATTGTACTTTATAAACTCTCAAGTCAGACTTATTATTACAACACTTAATACTAATTATACTTCTTTAAACAGCCTATGAATTTCTATATTTAAGTATATATTTAAGTATATATTTACTTTAATACAAATTATTATTTAACATAAATTCATTACAGTTATATATAAATTACAGAGTATTTACTATTATACAATAAACATCTCGTGAATTAAGTGTACCTTATCTCGAGTTGGTCTAAAGTTATCACGTGCCTGAATCTAGCTCCACTCAATAACATAGCGCCTCACAATCCCAAACCATTCTTCCTCCTACACCAACCAAGGTTTCAGCGTTTACTTCAAATCCCTAGACAACTGCGAGACTGATGCCAAATACTTCACGTAATAAGAGGCACAGGTCAACTCCTGCGTGCGCACGATGTTACAAGCTAAAGCAGAAGGTAAGTCTATGACAAGTTGTTTCTAGGACAGTCGCTTACGGCTTGGTCAGTGTGACAGGGGGGCTCCCAGATGTCTTCGATGTGTTACAGCAGGTGTAGATTGCGCTGCGATCAACCGGCAGACTTCACTGGAGGTACCAAGAAGGTAGCATGACCTATGCACAGTTAGGGACATAATTATGGCTAACATCTTGAAGCCCAGTGCAGTATCTTGAACAGCGCTGGGCTGAGCTTCAGTGGCTTCGCAACAGCTCAGGCGATGATTACGCACTTACAAGAACCAGAACAGCTGGGCCAGAAGATCCGGCTTATCAAAGGGTCATCGATATTGCTGCCGTGTCCGTCTCGCCTTACACGACGCCGAGCCTTATCAAGTCATATCCAGTCCTGCAACATGAAGCCAAGTTATTTTATTCTTCTGAGCGACCCCCGCTTAAGATACCTGTCCATGGAAACTACTACGATATGTATCCTAGGACAGCTGGACAAGAATATGCAGCCCAATTTAGCCAGTTCAACGCCCAGAAAATCCCACTGGAAGTGGCCAAGCGGCTGTTTGCAGTTTACAAAGACAACATCCTTCCGCGGTTTCCATCTTTCATGGAAGAGGACTTGGATCAGCAATTCGACCTCTTCTACGGCGACAATGCTCAACCGTCTAACACCACAACCTTCATCGTTACCTTGATCTTGGCTATTGGGTCGATGACCTCAAAGCGTCACGAGTTCCGAAAGATCGCCGCCCTTACTGAAGCGTTACACGCGGATGCAATGCGACATATTGGCTTCCTGGGGGAGTCGTCCTTGACAACGCTTCAATGCCTTCTGCTGTTGATCCAGTGTGCTTTACTACTACCGCATACCGCTAACCTTTGGTACATGAGTGGTGAAGCTATGCGAATGGCCATCAGTCTGGGACTTCATCAGGAGCCTGATCTATCAACAACCGTGCTTTCTTCTCGCGCAGAACTACGCCGAAGAATCTTCTGGGTTGTAAGTACATCGTCATAATTATAATGAGTACTTCTGACGAAAGTAGACTTATGACTTGGAAAGGCTGATAGCGATTTCCAACGGTTGCCCTGTTGCTATAAGTGATGACCACATCTCGACGCAGTTGCCTTTTGGTGCCGGGTCAACACACGATGCTTCAGACATACAGACGTTCCTTTCAAGAGTGTCTCGTGCCTCTGAGGGAAAACAGTTCCTGGTCCAGATCATGATTTGTTTCATTCAAACCGAGATTCTATCAGTACAATTCTTTGATCAGCCGATACCCGACAACAAAGACCACAATTCATGGGTTTCTACAACCGAGGAATCCATACATGTTCTTCTAAAATATGCAAATTCTGAAGGGATCACGTCGCTGCCTCTGATTTCAGCAGCTCATCAGTGCCAGATTTCTCTTCACCGGCCATGTTCAAGAAATATTGCGGTTTCAGAATCATTGCTCATAAAAGCCGTCACTGCCTCCATTCAATTGATTGACCTATCGATCAAGACCATATCGATAGGTGGGTTCATCCTGACTTTTAGCTTAGCCTGCAATTCATTCCACGCAGGCGTAGTTTTGTTGTATGCTCTCAGAAATCATACTTTGACTCTCCAGCAAGCGGATCTCATCGACCAGTCCAATCATGCTTTGGAACAGTTGTGCAAACTTATGGTGAGTTTCTCGAGTCAGAAGATCGATGGTTGGCTCATAGACGTTTAGGAACTACTTTCTTCAAGATGGCCGGCCCTGTCTGATACTGCAAAATACATAAAGGAACTAATCGACACAAACCTACGCAACCCGATCAACGACCTCGGTACTGAATACGACATGAGTGTCCTGGAAGAACTCGACTTTCTAGTCACTCAACGTCGGATACATAGTCTATATCATCGTAACTTGCCAGTCCCGAATAAGCAGGCCAGTATTCTCGAAGCACAGGCGATCAGCGAGATCAGTCCTGGTTTCTTGCACGACGACTCTTGGTGGGACGAATTTATCGTCGACGACTTTGATATGTTCGCCAACCAAGACTCGGCAGCTGCTGGCTTTTCCTTTGCCACTCCTACGATGGAAATCCAAGTAGACGAGACGGAACCATCCACAACGACGCGTCCACCTAAACGGAAAGGGACAGATCTCGACGAGATCCTGGAAGCTCTTCCATCGTGTAGCTCTTGTCGGGATAGACGGATTAAATGTGATCGTCAACTTCCAGCTTGCACATACTGTAAACGTACAAATCGGGACTGTGCTTTCTTCGATCCCGTCCTCTCGGAGAACATCTCTTTCAGGTGAGTTCTGCTTGTATCAAGGCTTCAAAAAATACTATGCTAAAGCAACTCGTCAGGCGGGTACACTGTCTGGTCGAGAACATTAAGAAACTTACAGCTGAAGTTGGCACGAATCTGGTGGTCTCTCGTCGATTACCTTCGCTGGCAACCCATACCCAGAACATTGTGCTTATGCCCTTTCGAACCGTGACTCATTGTCCACAGGATAACGGAATCCTGCCATCTAATAATAGTGTTTCGTTCTTCGGTCCATGGACTTTATTGGGCAGTTTACGAGAATTGTTTCATCACGAGTCAGAATATGATGTTCCAGAAGTCTTGAAACAAGCTGTAAGCATTGGCGGCCTTGGCTTGAACATCCAAAATTCGCATGTGGAGTTACTATCGCCATCCACCACCTTAAGCTTGCTTCATCTCTTTTCCAGATCTGCACACGCTTTCTTCCCGGTACTAGACGAAACCGCACTGCAAGTGATGTTTGCAAGTCTCTACAGCATTGAAAGCTTTCTCGAACAAGATCGTCATGGAATCTTTTATCTTGTTCTTGCCATCGCTTCTTCTATTGCCAAGAAGAGTGAGCCAACGTTAGCTTGTTGGGCGCCTTCATTCTTCAACAAGGCTATTGAGAAAGTGACTGTTGTTTCTGATCACTCGAGAACTGAAAATATTGCACTGTTCCAAAGGACTCTCCTGATATGCGTTTACCTCTTGTTGAACCCAGACGCAGGGGATATATGGCGACATCTTGGATTTGCCATCCGCCTGTTTCTAGATATTTCTCACCGTCCGTCTGAGGATGAAGTTGAGGATCACCATTTGTTTTGCATGCTGACAAGAACCATGTACTGTCTCGAGAGGTGAGTCGCTCAGTCCAAGCATGCAAGTTCAAGCTGAGAAGTCGTAGCCAAGTGTCGGTTGCATATGGCAGACCAAGCCTCCTTGTTTTCGGCGACAGTCTTCGTCAAGTAAGTGTCTCACAAGGACGATCCAATCACAGAGACTAAATAGCATTACAGGAACAGGGTCAGACGAACTCCAATACTATCCGAGAAGGCATCTCTATCTATTTCTACCTCATCTCGTTTCATAAAATGAAGATTCACAGTGCATTGCTCAAAAGAGGCTCATTAAGTGACGACCCCGACCAGTCACAAGTTGGAGAGTATAAGAGAGATATCGAGGAATGGTTTGTTCTCTGGAAAGAACTCGTCACTCTCCTAGCTGAGACTGAAGACACGTATCAACTTTTATCTTGGGGCGAACTAAACTACTACCATGCCCTATTCATGGTCTCAGTTCTATGTCCTACAGCTGGGCAAGCACTCAGCCTTTGCAACATCATTACGAAGGCAGCAACTAATATGGCGCGTCAACAATTATTCTTTAGTCACCTAGTTCAGGCTGACAGTCAGGCCAATACTCGATTTATATTCCCAATGAATTGGACTCTGGGTCATCTTGTTGCTCAAGTTGCTGTTCAATTCATCGACCGACATAAAAGGGGATCCAGTCCGAAGCCCGAAGAAACTCTCATGATAGCAAGGTGTCTTTCACTTTTGTCGTCTCTCGAAACAGACCCCAATAATCTCTTGATTGGGCAAGTGATGCTCCTTGAGAGCTTATATGAGATGAAAGTTATCAACAAGTACAACTCGCCTAGAGCTTTATCACGTATTTTTCTTTCAACTGACACTTCTTTAGCTGAAATCCAGTCATAAAATGCATTAGGATGTATTACCTGACCATTTGACATCGCTTCCATCAACTGTTCCAGTTCTGTCAACTCTGCCTGTCGAACTTTGGGTACCACAACTCGACGCTTGACGAACTCCAGCGCTTCCAATATGTCAGATCGAGTTCCTACTGACGAGCCAATTATCTTCCATCCTTTTTGGATCATCCACAAGGGATGGAAGTAGACCTTTGCGTCTTCAGGGAGAATCGAGATACACATTAGTGTACCGAATGGGCCTAGCATCTCGAAAGCCTGTTGATACGCCGCGGCTGATGTGGCTGCCAGCACGATAGCTTTTGCGCCCTTGTCTCCAGTGATCTTCTTCACTTCAACACTTGGGCTAGCCTTTGCGATATCAATGAAGTGATCAGCGCCATTGATTTTACAATTCGCCTCCCTGTCTTCACCGGTGTCTATAGCAATGACTCTATAACCCATGGCATGAGCAAAAGCAACAGCGAGAGATCCGACTCCACCGCCTGCGCCTGAGATAACGATCCACTGCCCAGGCGTGAGATGACAACCTTTAACGGCTTTATATGCAGTCACACCACTGCATAAGATCGGTGCAATCTCCTCATCTGGTATTTCGTCGAAGCCTTCAGGTATTCTGGCGAGATACCGCAGCGGAACCAGTGTGTATTGAGCGAATGTGCCGTCATAAGCCTTTCCGGAATGGAGTGCTTTTTCGCATCTAGTTTCCCCTTCGTGGACGAGATCAGTACAGAATCCACACGAACCACAAATGTCCCTGGTCCAGGCTACTCCGACACGTTGTCCAATCTCTACGGTTGGATCGAGAGCTTGAACATACGAGCCAACGGCAGCGATGCGACCAACGCCTTCGTGTCCTAGGATTGAGCCGACTGGACCCATGTGTCCAACAGCCATTGCATAGTCGGAGCCGCAGATACCAGTTAGGGAGAGTCGAACAAGGACTTCATCGGGTCTAGGGACTGGTTGGGGAATGTCACGAATGGCGAATCTAGGCTTCGTCCCAGCCTTTTGAGGTGACTGTCAATCAGCATTAGCATATTCTCTTAATCGGAATGTGATTACAAACTATCAGCACTGCGACCCGATTCATGGCAATTATTGATTCGTAAGATCCAAGGTTATATCATTTGCAAGGAACATCTTCACGTAATTCGGGCTCTTGAGGCCCTCTTATACAATATTGCTAACTGATCATTCGGTTCTTTTATTGGACGTGGACTTGACCGTAAAACGCATTGGCTTGCAATTGCCAGGCTATGTAATCTCAATTGCCTGTTAGCGGCGCATATCTCCGTTCATTGCGCATCCCCGATAATAGTATTGTCATCATCAAGGCCGACGGCTACTTACGGAAATCTGCTAGCGTCGGGTTTAAGCGCGGAGGCCACGCAAGACAATAAAGAGGGATGATGGCTGCTGGGCTGGTGGATGACATATATTATATACCCTTTGTAATGATAGATTTCTATAAAATTATCGGAATCAGACGAATTCTTGGTCTTACCAAAGCCGTCAGTCACTTTGGCAGAGGTGCATAAAACGCTTTGCATATAGTGTATCGGCAGGATTCAGAAAGGTAACAATATATGACAATAACATATAGGTATATATTATAGGCCTTCCAGCCACCACTCCCTGTAACCCTTCTTTGTTTGTCGTAAGCGCTTATTTGAGATATCTCCAGGCTAATAGAGCAGATAGTAAGTGCTGATATATCGCCCTTCAAGGCGGAAAAGTTAATTGGGACTCTTCCTCCAATGCCTGCTATTAACAGTGCTGTAAGCTCGTTAGCACTGTGATTACTGTCGCCAATCTAGAACTAGCGCTTGCACCATCCGTTCTGTCCTCTCCAGATACTAACACAAGCTTAAATCTGCAAACAACAGCATAGGCCACAGTGTACAATACATAATTGCAGCATGGAAGTGAAACGAATTTATTGCAAAATGGCATGTGAATCGCTACGTATTTGTATGCTATTAATCATAAACGCCTACTCCCCAACCTGTAAAGACTGGCTTGTATGGCTGATGCCTCTTCAGCTTGCAAGAAAAACAGCATTATAAGATACAAATAAATCGCCTAACCTAACTGATAGCTGCTGGCGGTTTATCTGTGTCTGACTCTACTAAACATATACTTATGGGTTTGTTGTATATCTAGGTGGTGCACCGATAATGATGACTTCAAGTGATGCCTCAACAATCTAGACTTTATCAGCAGTGATCAAATCTTGCAGAGTGTTATACATACCTGCGTCTTTTCGCTTCCATCAATGGATATACCCGCCGAGATGCGAAGGAAATGCGTCGTGTCCAGCACGCACGACTTGCACGTTGGCAATGCATCCATGATTAGGTAGTGTCGCCAGGTTCCTAAATCCACCTCGAAGTGCTCTCTGTCAATAGGGAACAGTCCTTGTAAGTTCCAACCGCTCCGTGCCTCGGCCACAGTCTTTACTACCAGTCCGATTTTGGCTTCTACATAACTCTCTAACTGCGCTTCTACACTGCGTATGTAGATATTCTCGTTGTTAACAAGCTCTGACGGAGTATGCAGGATTAACTGTATCTCTGTCGGCCTCCCCGGGGTCAGTATGGGTGGTGACGGAAGTAATAGCTCGAGTTGCACCGTAGGTTCATACTGAGGTAGACACTCATCAGATCGTGTTCTGATCCCCGAGAAGCCTTGGCTAGCCAGAGCTTTGTATAGCTTTGGAAATAGCTTACTCGCAGAGATTGACCCGATATTAGACGATGGTAAGACTGGGATCGAAGGCTCTGACTCGAAGGATATGGATCGACGGAGAGTTTTGAGTCTTGATACTCGGCAGAGAAGACAGTGTTTGACGGTTACGATTATGGCGTATTCAACCTTGACGGTATATCCGGACGATGACCTCTCGAGTGATGGCGGTAACTGGCAGCGGCATTGACAGGTGCTGCTTGGGAGTGTGAAGTCAAATGGGGCATAGTACTCGGCGTCATGATTGTTACTCGGTGTATCAAAGGCCGAGCTTTTTGTAGCGAGTTTGATCTTCTTGGTCTGTTGGAACAGCTGCTCTCCATTCAGCATAAGTCACCGAGTGTCGGGTTGGCTAGTTACTGTGTGCACCACATCGTCTGACTTGTTGCATAGGGATCCCGTGTATCTTGAGGAAAATGTTGCACCAATTTGACGCTTGTTGGAGTGTAAACTTAGTTTACCTATGAACGCCTGCATTCAGCACCAGGGGCATAGAGTTTATCATGTTGTTGAGAAGACCTACCTTGAATTTCGGCAGTGATTTCTGATGGCTGCTTGAGTCTGTGGCACCAGATGAGCAGCTCTCCCCGTATACAATCGCCTGGCCGGTAGGGGTGAGCATTGGCATTTGCTTCAAGAACTAGCTCAAGGCGCATGGCTTGGATGATGGGATAGATATCACTGAGTGTAGAATAGCCCTAAGATGGCGAATGACTTGAGAGACAATGTTGCTCAGTACAACTAAGCAGGTTCATGGCGGAGGCCCATCACGTACAAGTATTAAACATGCCCTTACATCTAGTGATGGTGATCTCAAACCTCACGGGACCGGTGGCATCTCACATGCAGCCGGAACTGAAGCATAACCCGGAAACCCGGATGAAAAGGACCGAGCATGACACTGAATTGAACTTTTATGTAACAAAAATGCAAAACGCTCGAATCCTTGGCCAAGGTTCAGTCCAACAGACGCACTCTTCCATGTCACGACGTATGCTTAACAGACAATGCACTACCTCTAACTTCCAGTTCTGGTAAAGCACGAACATCAAGCCCAATCAAACACGTCTAAATTAATAATTCGTAATATCCTCAGTTGAGAATCTCCGTGCACACCATACAACCGGAGAAACACCAACTACGGGTATTCGGATAACTCGGATCAGGCGGCTATACCGCCTACAACCCCACATGGAACAAAAAGAACAAGTATCCGGCTTCTAGCCGCTGTATCAAGCCCAAAATACACGGCATCAATTGAAAGTCGCATATCATGGCGGAAACCTCGTCCCGAGTCGGCTTTAAGCGGAAGCGCGTCGCCAAGGCATGTTATAAATGCCGGTCGATGAAATCCAAGGCAAGCTTACCCACTTTATCTTATCTCTTGCTTGGTATTGATGTGTTAGTGTGATGGAAAATGGCCTGAGTGTAGTCGCTGTAAGGGCTACGGGTATGATTGTGTCTACGCAGCTGGGGGTCGGGCCAAGAGGCGCCAGGGCGCTTCTACTGATGATGGCTCGCTGGACAGTGCTGTTCAAGGACATGGAGATTTGCGTGAAGCGATAAGGCAGTATGAGTCGTTATTGGACATGGTAGTGTCGAAGCTGCCTACGCCACAGCATCAGGAAGACGCATCTTCAGTGTTGGCTTGTATGAAAGCCGCTGACAGAGCCTTATCCAATATCGACGCAACGACTCTTACGACAAGGCTCACAGCTAGCTTGACTGCCTCTGACACTGTTTCTTTCCGTCCGCAGGCCAGTCAAGCCGAGAGATATCTTGGCAAAGTGAGCGACGTGTGCTTCTTCAACCTGGTCAAGCGGGTTCTGCAGGCTCAGCCCGGGTCTTTGGACTCTGACCAACGAGTTGACAGCTACGAGCAGGTCGATGATATTGCATCTCCGAGTGTGAATGTCATGCCTGGTCGGGTCGTTGAGCTGCCGAGTCGTGAGGCGGCGAAAGTCTTTGCTGATGTGTACTTTTCTACTGTACATCTGGCGTTTCCGTTTATTCCGCAGTCGCCGTTTATGAGATCGCTTGATCAGGCGCTGGATTCGTCGGATGACTGTTGTCTGGATAATACCAGACTTGCACTGATATGTAAGTTATAGCCATCGTTGTGTCGTCAGAAGTTCGTTACTGAAGCTATAGTAGATATCATTTGTGCGATTGGAGCTTATTACACCAGCATACCGGGAGAACAAATCGGAGCAAACAAGTGCCATGAAGTTTATTTCCTTCAGGCACTCTCTCTAGCTCTGCCCGCTGGGGCAGACCGATCGATCCACCATGTGTCTCTGCTCTTGGCCCAATGCTTCTACATGTTAGCAGTCTGCCGAACAGACAGGTAAGTCCGAGTTCGATATCAGTCCACTTATGTGTGACTAACTTGACAGCTGTTGGGCAACATTGGGCCAAACGGTCCGTATGGCCCAGAGCATTGGGTTGCACGTAGAGCAGAATGATCCCCAGAGACTCAAGGGACCCGGTCGTTTACTTGTCGAGCGACGGCGGCGGATCTGGTATTGCATATATGTTCTAGATCGCCTGATCTCTTTACAATTGGGCCGACCTCCAGCGATCCATGAGGATTACTGCCATGTTCCGCTGCCGTCCCGGCTTGGCGACTCAGACATTGATTGGGATGGCGACGAGTTTCCAACCATGTTTGAGGGCCCTTCTGTCGGGGATTACCATCTAGAGGTTATCTCCTTCTCCAAGATCGTCAGCCAGGTCCTGCGAGACCTGTATAGCCCACGAGCTGGCCAGACCTTGACCAGTGACCTGTTTAATACTAAGGAGCTCGACCTTAAACTCATACAATGGAAGCAATCTCTGCCAAGAACGTTGCGATTCGACTTGGGACATGCTTTCGACAGGTCCTTCATCTTCAAGCGTCAGGTACGTATCTTTCAGTATAAATAATCGCTGGTCATCACTAACATACTGAAGCGAAGCATGCTGGCGATTAAGTATCACCATCTTCGAGCTCTCATCCACAGACCGTACCTCTGCTACCCCATCATGCGCAATCTCGATGACGAGACCGACATTGCACTCAGCCAGCCGAACTGGGCCCTTGTCAGCATCTATGAAAAGGTATGCATCGCCGAGGCTCGCGAGACAGCACGTCTGCTGCACTGTATCTCATGTGAGAAGGATTTGGTGCAGGAATTTCCATAGTGGCAGATGATTTCGTGTTTGATATGCGCAGGGTCCATCTTGGTGGTCTCGAGCATTTTTAGTCAGCAAACGGGTGATGCTTTGGAAGGATTTGATGCTGCTGGTATTTCTGATGATGCAGAGACTTGCTTGAGAGTATTTGAAGCTTTGAGTGTCAACTCCAAGGGTGCTAGGATTGCGAGAGACATGATGGAGGGACTAAAAGAATGCGGTTTGAGATGGAGTATGTGCACACAATGCCTTTGGTTCGAGCTCGTACTAACATATATGCAGGAGACGCGACGTTGACATCTGAGCCACCTTATGCAGCACCACCAACATCTCATACAGCCTTGGCAACTAGAGGGCACATTCCAAATCTAGATGGGCAGGACGCGTCGTTATCGGAATTTTCTTTTACCACGCCCAGCGCCTGGCCAGCAGAGATTGTCGATTCCATGGCGTGGTCGGTCCAGTTCTTTGGCGCCGTTCAGTCTGGGGAGTAAAGTTGCATTAAGGCGGCTGGAGTAAAGCCCTAGTCACCTCGTTGAGTATCAATAAACGAGACTAGAAAGGGTTGCTCCAGGGCGACGGGATACATGTCAAAAGAGGCTTGTTGAGCAATTGCCTGCAACGCGTAGTGTTATCGCGCGTTTTGTGATGACGCGACGCGACTTATCCGGTGGGGACGTAGCAGACACCAATCCGATTAGACAGCTCGAAGCTCTAGGGCATCAGAAGTTACAGGGTAGACAGATCTTTAAATCAGGTTACCAGCAAGCTTCAGTTAAACACAAATTATAATTCATTACCGCCTTTATATATGCTTGTCATATAAATGTATCATAATTATTATTTATTTGCTGCTTTGTTTTAGCTCAAGATATCTTGAATGCTACGGCATCTATTCACTTTTGTTGCTGTTTCATTACCCTTTCGACCTATCTCGACTAGCCAAAGCTCGACAACTACCCAGTAAATGACAAGCTTGATTGCATCACGCACGGGAATCACACCGCTACAGCACGCAATAACCATAATCCTGTTTTCGCACGCTTGACAGCTCGGCAATACCAGTCAAACACCTCGTGGCCATCCCACAAGCTGAAAATGATGCAATCGCCATTCGTAGCGCATGCGGCTGAAGAGTCCAGACCAGGGAAATAGTGACAAAGACGTAATCCCAGCGGAGATCATACGTTGCACAATTATGATCGAAGATGCAGCTCCGAAGTGAGCGGAGCTAGAGAATGTGGATGACGGAATGGCGTACAGCTCTTGGCCCAACTCGGTAAGGTCGACAGGGATCTCGTTGTCCAAAGCTGGGAAACCCAGGCGTCAATCATCGATTTGGCTGCACCCCACACGATCTGTTAGTTCCCGTGGCGGTCATAATGATGTCGACGACGTAGGAAAATCGAGCTGTCCCTGCTTGGGGAACAAGTGAAGTGCTATATGAGAGTGGTGAAAGGTCTCACTTGGTAGAGCTCATCATCAAACGCTCAATACTCACTCAATAACAAAAACACCATCTAATAATTCACTTTTGATACCCATACCTTAAAAATAAACGCTGCACAACATTCACAATGAGTGGTCTGGGCGCAAAGATCAAGGACATCCTCCACTCCGACAAGGACACCACCACAGAGACATCTCACCATCCCCCAGGATCATTCCCCACAGAAGAGATGGAGCCCAGCGAAACTCACGAAGGATACTCCAAGGGATATGAGCATAACAAGCTTCACAAGGCCGACGACCCTCGAGGCCATGCACACAAAGACTCTGGCGTCGGGTTCACCGAGCCCAACGATCCTACTTCCTACAAGCCCTCCGACGAACCCATCTCCGAGCGACGCGACGATCCTCTAGACAGAACTACCGACACTACTACAACTGCTGGCACTACAACCGCTGGCACTACAACCGCTGGTACTACTGCTGCTGGTGGTCTGGGCGACACCAGCAAGATCCCCGCTACTGAGGGCGCCACTGGAGCCGCTGCACCATCTACCCAAGACCATCCTTACTGGGGAGATCTCCCTAGCGGAGGCGTCCACAACACTGTCATCGGCCACGGCAGCCCTGAAGATGAGAACGCACGTCATCGAGCTGTTCACTCTGGCGCGACGGAACCAACTCGGACAGCTGGTACTCTCGAGAGCGGAACATTCCTTCACCGAAACGATCGCGACACTACATCCTCTACTACCAGCCCCACCGATGCTCAGCGAACTACTCAAGAGAACCCCAGCCAAACATCCGGCTCCCGCTTCAACGAGGGCCTAGCTGGTGCTGGGGCCGCTGGCGCCGGTGCCTTGGGCGCTCACGAGCTCGAAAAGCGCCGTCACGCTGATGATACCCAAACACCAAGCAAGGTCGACCAAACCACCGACAAGACTCACGACGAACACAAGGGTCGATCATTCCCTCTTCTCGGAAAGGACCATAAGGAAAAGGAGGCGCATCACAAAGAAAAGGAGACGCACCACAAAGAGGACAAGCATGACAAAGAACCCAAGGAGAGCAAGCTCGGCGCTCTCTTCCATCGCAAGGATAAGACTGAGACGGAGGCCAAGGCTGAGCAGGAGGCCGATCAAGAGAAACATGGTCACTCCAAGCCTGCTCTTGCTGCTGCTGGAGCTGCGTGGGGCGCCAGCTCTGCTGGGAAGGGTCATGATGACAAGACTCAACGTGATGTGACTGATCCTACTGGTACTCGAGGTGCGACGCAGTATCCTGCTTCTGGACTCGACTCTTCTAGAGACTATAGTGCCCAGCCTACTGGTACTACCCAGCAGCCTTATCAGCAAGACAGCTCCCATCGAGGTGCCGGTCTTGCAACTGGTGCTGCTGCTGGTATTGGCGCTGGCGCTTTGGCGTCGCACTATGCCCAGCGCTCTGACAATGACCGAACTGGCACTGGCTACGACTCTCAAAGCTACGACCCTTCTAGCACTTCTGCCAGAGACCCTACCTCTCAGACCTATCAGCAACAGGGCTCTCACGGCGATCATAGCCTCGCTAAGGGTACAGTTGCTGGTCTAGGCGCTGGCACACTTGCTTCCCAGTCCGGCCAGCACTCTAGCTCCAACCAGCCTTCAACTCTCGGCGCTACTTCAGCATATGGTGCCCAGCCAGACCAAACCGCCAACTATTCTCACAAAGATCCCGTTGGTCAGACTTCCCAGCATGACTCTCACCGCGGTGCGGGACTTGCTGCTGGTACTGCTGCTGGTCTAGGTGCAGGTGCTCTTGCTTCCCGATCGGGTCGTGAGCACGAGACGACTGGCCAGCATACCGGCCTTGATTCAAACCGAGATCTTGAGTCGCAGGGCAACCAGTCTGCTTATAGCTCTACCAACCCCACATCTCAGTATAAGCAGCAAGATTCCCACCGTGGTGCTGGCCTCGCTGCCGGTACTGCCACTGGGCTAAGTGCTGGCGCCTTGGACTCTCGATCTGGGCGCGAACATGAGACTACTGGTGCATCGGGACTTGAATCTAACAGAGGTCTTGAGTCTCAGACTACTCAGCCTGGATACAGCTCTACAAACCCTACCTCTCAGCACCAGCAGGACAACTCTCACCACGGTGCTGGTCTAGCCACAGGAGCTGCCGCCGGCCTTGGCGCTGGAGCGTTGGCCTCTCGAGCCGGTCGCGATCATCACTCTGATCAACCCACTGGCCTTGACTCCAACCGAGGTCTTGAGTCTCAGACCACTCAGCCTACATCTACTTCTACACGCGACCCTACCTCTCAGTCGTACCAACAGGAGGGTTCTCACCGAGGAGCTGGACTAGCTACCGGTGCTGCTGCAGGTCTTGGTGCTGGAGCTCTGGCTTCGCATGAGTCTAACAAGCGTGACGAGGATCGATACCTGAGCAATGATGGTTCCCGCACAGCTCAGCCTGGTACCACTGGCACTACCGGTACCGGGGCTGGTCTCGGCACTTCCTCCTCTGCCTTCGACAGTTCTCACAACGAGCCCTCACGCAAGTCCGAGCACTCCCAGCGCTCAACCGGCTCTCACCACTCCACACTCGCTGAGAACGCCAACGCTGGAAAGTACAACACCCTCGCATCCGGAACTCCCTCCGGCGTCGCCTACGATGACGATCTTTCCACCAGCCGCTCTACCCAGCAGCCTACCTCTGAGAAGAAGGATGATAGCCACTTCGGTGCCAAGGCAGCTGGTCTAGGAGCTGCTGCCGCTGGAGCTGGTACTGCTGCTGCTTTGTCTCGAAACAAGGATGAGAAGCCCGTTGAGGACAAGATTCGCGAGGAGCCTGAGACTGAGCGTAAGCTTGATCAGACTGAGTCTCACAAGCCTATTACTGGTGCTGTTGCGCCGCAGTTTGGAACCAACAAGCCTGTTATTCACAAGTGTCAGAAGTGTGGCGAGGAAAATGATATTAGCAAGTACTTTACTTCCAACTCTGGAAATATCTAAGGATTGGGATGGGTATATAGGATGAGCATACGATTATGAGGCATGTTTATATTTAGCTAGTTATGGAGTTCAGTAATACGATGATTCCAAATTGTTTCACATTCATTCTATTGTGTGTTCGTCTCTCGTGAGGCTAGCCCAATATTATTATCACTCGGGATATGGCCAACAGGTTGATGCTTGCTATTTACCAAGCAAGGTGTTCAGCGTCCTTTCCGCAAGCCAACCCCGAACAAAATATCATGTCACTCTCCGTGCCACGAGAAGCATCAGATGGAACATGCTGCGCCGGGTTGATCTCCTTCCCAGCTGCCTTCTCCAACTTATAATGGCCATTCAAGATACCTCTAACGCGATGCTGAAAGTAAAGAGGACCTTGCTCCATCTTAGGATGCATCTCGCCATTAACAAACACGCCAGCGTTGAGGTTCTTCTGTGCATTATTGCAGAGCCATTTATCCTCAGCCAAGATCCTTTTGAACATTGCATCAATCGTCTGGAAGCCTTCATCAGTGGCATCTTTATGTCGGTAGACTTCGTACTCCATGGAGCAGTGGCCGGGCGAAGTGGGAACGCATCGCATCATGTAGAAGAAATTGGGGCTAAAATGTTAGCTAAGGAGGGGAATGTGAAGGGGAGACTTACGACACAGTCATGCAGGCGTTGGGGAAGTAATAGTTGCTCACGATCTTGAGACCTTGTTCTTCCATCTCGGGTTTAGTGTTGGCAAAGTGTTCAATGTTACCGCCCTTGGTATCGACTCGATATGCCGATAGATCAGCGACGTCCGCTGCATCTGGATGGGCGGTCTTGCAGTGATAACATTCGTTGTAGTTATCAGCCAACGTCTTCCAGTTGTAGTCACCGCTCATGCCCCAGGTATGATCAAAATGATAGTCCTCGAAATTGAAGCCCTCATGTCTTGCCATCTGATCAATGTTCTTGAACTCAGTTGAGAAGTCCTCAGGCGTTTTTGAAGAGTCGAGGTTGACCCAAATGAAGCCTTTGGCATCAACGTGAACGTGGACAGGTAGAAGACTGTTTTTAGTCTTGTCGAAGCCTTTCATGTCGTCATATCCCGGAGCTTTCGCGAGTTGACCGTTAAGACCGTATGACCAACCATGGTATTTGCAAGAGAGGATACTTGACTTTCCCTTATCTTCCGTCATGATAGGAAAAGCACGATGCCTACAGATATTGTGGAAGCCATTGATCTGTCCCTGCTTGTTCTTCACAAGAAAGAACTGAAAGCCTGCTTGCTCAAACTTGACCCATGAGCCTGGCTCTGTGAATCTGAGCTTGTGAGTAGTAAGGATCCATTTCTTGGCAAAGATGGCCCGCCGTTCAAGCTCGTATACTTCTGGAGATCTATACCAAGAAGCGGGTAAAGCTCGTGCTGTGGAAGTGGTGTCTTTGAGAAATGCGGGGACGGGATCTTTATGGGGTCGGGATTGTGAGAGATACCTCGCCAGCAAGGATATGAGCGCTGCAACGCCAGCGGCTGAAAAGAGATAGTGCATGAAAGAGGGCGAGATGAACATGGACATGTTTGCAAGGGTTAGAGAAGTTAAGCGTTAAGTTGTTGTTGTATTGACGAGTCATGAATAGGGTCTTTATGGACATGGTCTGAGACTATTCTAGTAGAATCTCTACGTGGCTGACTTCATGTGATGTGCTATTTGACTATCATAAACTCGGACCCTGGCCGCTGATAATAATAGGCCGGGGAGCTAGATTCCGAGTCCGCCGTCAAATGGTTGTAGTGGGGGCACGGAACCAGTCGTTGCAGACACGGGAAGAATCCGTGTTCGGTCCGTGTCCGACTTCGGGAACGAGGCTTATCATGATAAACACGGAAACTAACCCAAACCAAACGACAATCCAACCAAGGAACCCCAAAGAGCAACAGGAAATACTGAGATTTGTGAGTTCTTTGATGAAGATATACTGATAAGCTGGAAAGGCATACATGCTCTATGGAATCTCAATGGTGAGGCTCACCTCTCTAGACGTTGCTTTGTGACAGGGACATACCATAGCCATACTCTTTCCATAATTATTACCAAATACATTGAAACAAACGTAGAAATAGCCCCTCTAGAACAGTCTCGACAAGAGCTGTCCCAATCATACTCCGCTCTAAACAAATACACTCAACCTAATCATCTTGGCCAGATCACAACACTGCCCCTATTGGTGCCCATGTCTCGCATCCCTTCACCCCGCCTTCTCTCGATAGCGCTACCCTCCCAGTTTGTGGGGTAGTGCGTATCAATTTCCACTGAAGCTTTGATAGCCGAGCGGCCAAGCCTGGAGAATTATCATGGAGAATTACCGATTCAGGTTTAAAAGCGACATCCGTCTCCATGTTTGACGCAAGATCTTGCATAGTATCTTCTACATCGTATGATTTGAGAATTTGTTACAATGTCGAATATTGAAGCTTCTGGTTCTGTTAAGGAGAGTCGTGATCAGGAGAAGGACGTCATTGCTGCCGATGATGTGTCGTATCATGTCAGCACTGTTAATGAACTTGGTAACGTTGTTGATCCTGTTTTGTCGGCTAAGATCAATCTTGTCAACGAGGTGAGATCATAAAGGAGCGGTGTGTGTTGATCATACTGACTTTTTAGACCATCAACGAAATCGGATGGACCAATTTCCATCTCAAGCTATGCTGTCTCACAGGCTTTGGCTTCGCAGCTGACTCCCTGGTAGCCTTCCTCCAGAGCGTTGCAGCTGGCCAAGCCTACCTTGAGATCGGTCACGGAGGCTATCCTACAGGCTCGACCATGGCTCTGTATGCCGGACTCCAGATGGGAGCTCTCTTCTGGGGTTTTGGCGCAGATATAATCGGTCGACGAATCGCCTTCAACACTACTCTCTTCATCGCTGCCATTGCTACCATCGTCGCAGGAGCTGGGCCTAGCTGGGTTGCCTTCTGTGTCTTTGTAGCATTTCTTGGCTTTGGAGCTGGCGGTAACCTTGTCTTGGATCCAACTGTCATGCTGGAGTTTGTCCCTGCGAAACAGCAGTGGGTTATTACTGCTATGGCTGGATGGTGGGGTGTTGGTCAGGCCAGCGCTGGCTTCATCGCCTGGGGCTACTACTGTAAGCTACCTCTTTCGTGTGACCTCCATGAGATTAGTAACTAACTCGACATCTTTATAGCTCGAAACGATTGGACTTGCGTCGCTACGGTCGAGACATGTACATGGCAGAACAACAAATCTTGGAGACTCATCATGTTCACCGGCGGAGCCCTCATGTTCGTCATGTCCGCCCTGCGTATTCTCATCATACGTCTCCCTGAGACTCCAAAGTTCTTAGTTACCAACGGCAAAGAGGAGGAACTTGTTGCTATGCTTCAGAAGCTTGCCAGCACCTACAAGCGACCTTGTTCATTGACGCTTGATGGTCTTCAGGCTTGTGGTACAGCTCATATTCCCGAGCACGGTGGTAGCAGGGGATTGGCTGTTCGTGGCTTAGGCAAGAGTCTCGTTGGTCACGTCAAGGGACTCTTTTCGACCAAGAAGCTGGCTCTGTCGACTTGTCTCATCTGGCTTTCTTGGACTTTGATTGGTCTTGGTTACCCTCTTTTCTTCCTTTATCTCCCGTGAGTCCTACCAAGCCCAACATACTAGAGCGATCCAGACTAATAGATTCAGATCCCTTCTCAGCAGCCGTCTTCCCGACTACAAGCCCTCCTTCACCGAGACTTGGCGCGATTACACCATCACCAACATCTGCGCCATCTTCGGTCCTCTCATTGCCGCTGGCCTTGCTGAAGTGAGTTTCCTTGGACGACGATACACAATGGCCATTGGAGCTGTGATCACAGCCATCTTCTTCTTCTGCTACACCATCATCAAGACTCCGGCTCAAAACCTTGCCATCAGCAGCTGCATCTGTAAGTTAACCATATCCCTCATGATATTAGTACTAACAGGCCTTAGCTGTTTGCATCAACCTCTACTACGGTACACTCTACGCATACACCGCTGAGGTGTTCCCGTCTGAGCATCGAACTACAGGCAATGGTATCGCGGTCTCGCTCAACCATATCATGGGTCTTCTTTCTGCTGTCATTGCGGTGACTGCTGATACTACTACTATAGCACCATTGTACATATCTGGGGCCTTGTTCTTTGTCATGGCTATCGTTTCTGTTGTTCTCCCATTCGAGCCATATGGTCGAAGTGCATCTTAGGGAAGGGGGCTCATAAGCTGCCATGAGAGCTTCAAACCTCCAGTATACATCGCGGCAGTGTACTATTCAGTAGTCGATATTATTCTTTATCATTTTGACTGGTTTCACTATGCCCTAACATTTAAAATTGATTCATGTCCCACCAGTCCATGTTCATACTAAAGTTCTCCCCCATCGGTCCAAGATTCTCCCAAGGCCCCCAGGCCAAATCATGCGTAGTCACATGCTCATTACCGACCCCATGCTGTACCGTAATCTCCCCACTCTCCACTGTCTCTTGTGGGTTTGCATCTGTTCTTTCAGATATCCAAGCTGGAGGTGAGGCGTATTGAGCTGTTGACTCTCGCATATCTGTTGGCGGTGAACTCGCCTCAGACCTTGGAAGGCCATCTTCGTCCTGAGTGGCTGCATGACCGCCCCAAACATCTCGACCGTGGACGCTCTGATCATGGTAGTTGGGGAATTGTGGTGCAGCTACATCTAGCAGGACCCAGATGAGAGATGTTCTGACAACGGCTGGGGACGATCTGTCAGTTGCCATCTGGGTTGATCGATCAGTGGACTCGATGAACTGATCTAGAGTATGCTCCTGACATAGATGTTAGTGATCAAGGAAATGCATCCATTGAGCGGGGGACATACTATTGTCTTGCATACTGGCCAGCATGTAGCCATTTCTCTCACGAGATTCCTGCAAACTTCAAGATTCCTCACAGAAGATGCTTGCAGCTGACTATCATTAGTCCTGGTCCAGTATAGATGCAATGTACTGGCTATCGCTGCTGCCTGAGCAAAGAAGGGATCAGCCAGTCGCAAATTCTTCTCCTCCGCCGTCCGAATTAACCTCGATACCCAAGTACAATGTCTTAGGGCTTTCAGATAAGATGCTCTCCAGAACGAGTCGCCTCCAAGTCTACTCTTTGGTGTTTCAGCCATGACGGTGTACAGAGATGGATGATTAAGGACGCAATGAATGGTATGGTAGGTCATCTGAACCCTGAGCCAGGGCAGCCAATCCATGCGGTTATTCTCTACCTCCACGGGCGAAATCTCTGGGAACTTGGCTGCGTTATAACTTATAGAGACCGGCCAGATCATCTCAATCTCCAACATCCGCGAACAAAGTTTGGTGTAGTCGGAATCCGGATGCCAGGGACGTTTGGCTAGGCCTTCGAAGCACTTGGCGACGTAGAGTCTGACATCACTCCAAAGCTCGCAAATCTTTAGGGACTGAGACCATACGTCAACGAGAGTTTCCCGTAAGCCCGAGTGGGTAGCCTTTGGAGCTGCAATGCAGCTTCCCAGAGAATCTCGGGTTTGGACCGTGAGCATTTGAGGCGTGTCGATACTTGTTGGTATAGATGGCAATAGGACTGGTCTGCCGCAAGAAGAGCTGAGGTACTGAACACTCCAGAATAGTCGGGATTTCTCTTGTGAGACTGCTGAGCCACTTGGATTGCGCTCACTGCCGGGGAGAAGCTGGATCATGTTCTGAACAGTTGCTATGTCGAAGCCAGCCATGGGTATGTTGCCCACTTCTGCGTGTTAGCAGTATTTTTACAAAGGGAATAAAAATTGGCTCACAAATGAAGTTGTAATACGCTAGTAGACACAGCGCCTGGGCACACCTGATGGTCACTCTGCCCTCCGCAATCTGAAGCATAACACTTCTTCGGGCAGTTTTGTTGTAAGAGTCAGGGCTTTGAAGGTTATCCATTGGCATATCTTCCGTATTGTAAGTCATACTTAGGGCCAGCATGGCATAGATCAGTTCCTCGGATGTATCGGAAGGTAACAGCGGACGCTCGCCGAAAAGCCAAAGAGGTTGCCGATGGATATGGCGAAAGTAAAAGTCAATAGCCCTTGTAGTAACTTCTGTTGATATTGACGATCTGTCCTTCATTAGCACGTACAAGTAAGGCCTGAGGGGGGAACTTACATTAATGGAAGGGTCGTGTGGGGCGATATTGATGAGAATGACGGTATACGGTTATTCCTGTCTGACGTTGATGTTGGTGTAGTTTCTTGCATTGATGGAGGACTGCATATCGTCAGTCCAGATGAACTCGCTACACGACCCAGAGCAAGGTACTATTCAACGTACACAACTCTACTTATTAAGCTATCCAACTTATCCTCAAGTTGTTCAAGTCGACTTGACTGCAGCTCTCAGTAAGAGGTATTAGAATTCAGATGAGTAGCCTTACCATGCGATTCTCCAGCCTACTCGTGGTATCATGATTGATAGGATTGGTCTCAGTGAACGAGCATTGTTGGCGAAGACGTGTACATGCTGAACATCGCGGTCTTTCACCTGGGCAACGGATCTTCTTGCGACTGCAACCTCATCAGCAATTAAATCTGCGTCGATCCGGGGATAAACGTACCGGCAATTATCACAAGCCTGAGCAACGCGTCGATATTGTCTTGATCTTGGGGCACTCATGATGTGTGTTTATTGATGTGATGGATTTGCATGTTGCACAGACTGGAGAGCGGTTGGTGACATTCAGAGTTGGTGCTCATCAATCATTATGTATGCTTCGCGTTTGACTACTGAGCATGGGCCTCGAGTCAAAAGTGCGGGGGTAAAAAAGCCACTGAGAGCAGGGAGCTCGCCACTGGCTCGGCCTGCTTTAAAATTCCGGGTCTTGTCTTATCGGCCACCTAATTTTGCGATAAGAGACAGTGGCTTGCAACGGCGAATACCTTCTTTTTAAATGGCTTAATCGAGGAAAAGTAGGTATTACGCGTTAAACTCTATTATACAACTATTGTATTGTTTTCAATTCTTATATGTTTTATCAAGTCCATATTACTGGTGACGTTATCAGTAGGTGATCTCAAAGTCTCTCAACGCATGAATACGAAACATTCGTGTTTATGAACGAAATCAATAAGCTGGATAGAAGAATCCTTTGACAAGTATTGTAAGTTGTTTATGTTTCTCGCGATCTTCTAATTATAATTAGACGATTTGTGGTTTATGGTGATATTTATTAATGCTGTCTAAATGCGCTGCTTTTACAACTTGCTGTCTGCCCCTACCCTAGGGATCCCAAAGTTGGAGATATCCTCCTTCGTCTCACCATCAATCGCAAGCTCTGCCAAAACACGGCCAATTGCCGGAGCAAACTTAAATGCATGACCTCCTCCCAATCCGATAATAACATTGGGATGATTCTTCAAAGGGCTGATAACAAATTGACGATCAGGAGTAATAGCATATTGACAAGTGACTGTTCGAATCGCCTGACCCTTGTCGGGTATCAGATCGCCCATGAACGAGGTCAATTCGTTGAACAAATCATCAGATGGAACAAAGGTGCGTTCTTCGGGCGTCATGAAGTTATTGGATGTATCGCGGCCTGCTTTGATTGTTGGCTCGCCATAGCTGGGGAACCCGTAGAAATATCTGTTGCCAGCCCAGATCCATACAGGAAACTTTGCATCGTCAAATGGGGTGATGTCGGTCGGTTTGTAGTAGGTAACCTGTTCTTGCATGATCTGGAGCGGTATGTTTGTTCCAAGCGGTGTGATCAGCTTGTTGGTCCACGCGTCACAAGCCAAGATGACTTTGTCGGCGTGGAATTGCCCTCGTGAGGTCTTGATAGTCATGCCCTTGCCGTTTGAATCAGGGACCAATTCATCCACACGCGTCTTCTCCTTCAAAACAGCGCCATTGGCACGAGCTTGATACTGCATGGCTGCCACAGACTTGGACGCATGTACGATTCCCGAGTCGGCAGTGTAGATCGTCTGAACTCCTTCCGCAATGTCAAAAGAAGGCCAGCGCTTCTTGACTTCTTGAGAGCTGAGAACCTCATACGGGATGCTATTTGCGTCAAGACTCCTCATGAACTCAGAAGCACTCATGCTCTTCTCGAATTTGTTCAGAGATGCTCCGTCATCGGCCAGTTTGGGGAAGAAGACAACCCCGCCAGTGATTGTGAGCATTTGAAGACCACTTCGACGTTCCAGCTCAGCCCAGTCCTTGTAAGCTGCACGGGCTAGAGCCACATAGTCTGGTGAGCCGTAAGATGTTCTGACGATACGGGATGTGTCGTGTGAAGATCCGTAGATGTTGCCAAAGTCATATTGCTCAAAGCCAATCACTGTAGCTCCTTTGATAGCAGCTTGATACGCTGCTGCGCTACCGAGAGCACCGAGGCCAACTACGGCCACTTGGAAGTTGCTGTTTGACATGCTGAAGTGAAAGGTGATAGACTGTAATTCTATAACGATTGAAAGATTGCTGAGGGATAAAAGGAAGTGGGATTGGCTGCTAATCTCATACTCTCGTCACAACGCCCTTCCTTATAATCATGTCTCGACCGATATAGCATGAACCTTATCTTATCTTATCAAGCCAGCTCCCCGAGTTTGCGGGGTACATCAGGTCATGAGATAAGTTGCCCGTATCCGTACCCACTTGGCACTTTACGGATTTTCCGTGCCCACCACGGATTCTCACGGATTCTTCAGCTGAGACCAACTGGAGGCCTGGGCCAACGCTCCCAATAATTCTAGTCGTTCAATTCAATTCAAGTCTGACCCCCTGACTTGCAAGTCAGGAAAAAAGGCCATAAGTTAAGTCTACCTAGGCCCTGACTTGCAAGTCAGCAAGTCAGCATAGTAAAATTAGTAATATATAGGTACCTTTTACTTTTATTTTTTTTTTAGAAAATTACAAAGATTTAAGGTGAGTCCTCTTATCTTATCTTATCTTATCTAAAATCAGACTAACCTAATTAGGATATACCAAAATCTTACAAGTCAGTCAATTCAATTCAAGTCTAATTGGCTGACTTAGCTGCAACTCAAGCCTGACCCCCCCTAATTCAAGCCAATCAAAAAGCCGGCTTGAATTGAGTTGTTGGGAGCGTTGGCCTGGGCCAGCGAGACATTTGTATCAGTAAGTCTGGGACTATCACCAACCCAAAGGAGGCTTCAGCATCTATCTCAAAAACATGCTTTCCTCCAACGTTCGACATATATTTCTCTGCTTTTGGAATATGATGAAACGCCCTGCAACGATCCCCAATCAACTAGAGCAGAACTTACTAATATGGTCCTCCAACGCGATCAACTGTGGAACATGCCCAACTTCATGTGACCTCCAAATAACAAATACAGAAGATACGTTCCTATTGGCAGACCTTTATCATGGGACACAGGAGCTGGCAACTCTCCGCGGGGAATTATGGCAGTGACACGATTCGGATATAAAGCGGTAATAAGGGCTCTAATGAAACTGGAAGGGCAAGCGACTCCGAGGTATGGCAAGTGGTGATTTCTTTGGCCTCTTTTATTACCGTTTTGGGGTTAGTGTTTTGCCGGTGAGAACCTCCCTCAACTCGCGGCTCACTTTGCTTACAAATGGCAATAGAATTATTAAGCAGGTTGGTCGATATAAATGTTATTAAATGGCTTCTTCTAATAAGTCAGTCTCGAGGCGACGAAGAAGAAAGCTATGATCGAGCTTGACATTTGAACACTCAATGACGAAAATCTTCATGCAAGTACTTACATTTTGTTTCTGATGACTCTATTCTCGCAAACTATTGCGATATAACACACCTCTCGGTAGAGAAGAAGCTAATTCCCAGGTCTAGAACAGGTGCTACCGGCTATGTCGGTGGTGACGCTCTCTACACGTTGGCAAAGGAGCATCCCGAGTACGAAATCACGGCTCTTGTTCGGAGCAGAGAGAAAGGCGATGTAGTTACAAGCCAATATCCGTCTATCCGTCTCGTATACGGGAGCTTAGACGATTCCGACTTGATCGCAAAGCAAGTCTCCGAAGCCGACATTACTTGCCATTGGGCCAGTTGCGAACATGAAGCCGCCGCCAAGGCCATCGCAGAAGGACTGTCCCGTAAGACTGCGCCGGGATTCGTGATCCACTTGTCCGGAGCCGATCTCATCTGCTTCCCTGATTTGAACGCCGGTATGTACGGGAGTCGACGGGATCGGATCTTCGATGACTGGGATGGCCTTGATGAAGTCATTTCACCCGCCAACAATTCCCCTCACCAAGAGGTTGACCTGGCCATCCTTGACGCAGCCAAGAGAGGTGGTAAGACAGCCATCGTGTGTCCTCCGACTATTTACGGTCCAGGGCGAGGACCCGGCAATCAGCGGAGTATTCAGGTCCCCGAATTAGTATCGTACATCTTGCAAAGGGGTGTTGCCTTTACCGTGCAAGGTGGCGAAAACATTTGGAATTCAGTGCACGTTCACGACTTATCAAAGCTGTTCTTAAAGCTTGTTGAGGCTGCTGCTCAGGGAGGCGGTCAAGCTGACTGGGGAACCAAAGGCTTCTATTTTGTTGAAAGTGGCCACTTCAGCTGGAAGGCTGTGACGGAAAGGATTGCCGAAGAGGCAAAAGATCGAGGGCTTGTGAAGACTCTGGAAGTGCAAAGCCTGAGCGCGGAGGACGTAAACGCCATCTGGTCCTATGGCACGTTACTCTGGGGTACGAATTCGCGCAGCAAAGCCATCAGGGCGCGTAAACTTCTGGGTTGGAGTGCGGAGGGATGTGATATATTTGAAGATATCCCTGCTGTTGTTACCGCGGAGGCTGCTACATTGCGACTCACGAAGTAACAGAAACACAGTAAACCCATGCTGACGGTTCGATGGATGAACCTAGTTCAATTGATAACCTGCGTTGAGAACTGTAATTTACAACTCATAACACTGCGATGTATCTCTCCCATCCCATTCCCCCATCGCCGCTCGGGTTTCACGGATCATGCTAGATACCGTTTGAGGGTAGACGAAACCAATGTGCCTCTGAAATTTGAGTTGCTAGCTTATTCCATTGTTGCACTGGCGTCCTGATCTATACAGCCCAAACTTGTTATCGTGTGGCCAACTCGGAACAGCATACAATTTGCTAGCACGCCACATAACTCTTTCTATAAGCTTGATATGCGAGGAATCGCTTATATGAAGTCACCAGTTAATTAATATGAGTAGCAATAGTTGAAACCCTAGTGTATCAGAATACTCAAGCATTAACCTGGAACAAGGGCTCCCCGAGCATATCGAGATTGACCGAGCCGAACCCGTTGCCGGGAAGGATGGTATAGTTGACTCGACCATCAGACCGCATCTGAGGGACATCCGCAATCATCGGGTTTATCCATTCCGTAAAGAGATCCACAGCACGCAGCCGTTCAGGGGGTGTAGAAGCAGCTAATTGCATATTTTGCGCAGTTGTAAGAGCGCATCCCCATGTGTCATCGACATTCACCTTTATATCAAGTGCAATAGCAGCATCTCTCAAGGTTCGCGCCTTAGTGAACCCGCCAACGCGAGAGGGCTTAATATTTATCGCCGTGACTCCGGCCCCGTGGGCTGTGATGAGATCAAGCATTGTCACGATGCCCTCATCCATGACAATAGGGAGACCGGTACGCCGTCCGACCTCAGCACAGTGAGACATTAGCCGGCAAGGCTGCTCGAGAGGAACGGTAATATCTTGCCCAAGGGCGCGGGTGTAGGTCAATGCCTGATCCAGGTTCCAACCAGCATTTGCATCAGCCCAGACACTGACACTCTCCGGGAGAGCTTTGCGAATGGCCTTGACACGTCTGGCATCACTCAGTGGGTCGACGGCTCCAGCCTTTATCTGCATGAATTTAAATCCCTTTTCGGCTTCGGCGAGAGCATCCTTCACGCCCGTGTCTGGATCTCCGAAGTTGATGATACAAAAGCCAGGTGGGTTCTTAGTAAGGGATCCCCCGAGTAAAGTGGAAGTCGGCAGCCCAGTAGCTTTGCCTAGGATATCCCAACATGCCATGTTGATAACAGCCTTGGCTGCTGTGCCTGCCATCATGGCGCGGTCCATAATGACATCGATGGCTGCGGGTGATCGAGGGTCTAGGCCGATAATAAGTGGACCTAACTCCTTAAGCGCCGCGATCTCTGCAGCGAATGAGCTGGGGAGGTAGTTGCTGCCCAAAGGCGCTGTCTCCGCCCATCCTTCTATGGGAGGGGCGCCGGTTGTGCGGATCCGAATGACAATGGAAGGCTGTCCGGAAGTGGAACGACCACCAGACATGGTATACGTGCCATTATTGAAACTGGCCTGGTAACTGAATACAGTGATGTTGTTGATCTGCATTGTCGTAGGTGATATATGTGGAAGTTGAAACTGGGTTATAGTGCCAGAGTATGGGTAATTGGGAATGGTGCTGGTTGTGAAGGATATGCCAAGCAATACCAGCCCTACTTATGAATTCCGATATGACCATCGCCCTGCATTGTCAGTGTCATGCATTCTGCCGCACGGTAGCTGATCCGTAGTGGCACCGGATACACGGCCGAGTCTTGAAGGGATGTCTATGAGAAGGGGATGAGTATGAATCCATAAGGATACCTCTGGCCTAATCACCCGTGCCATCTATCAAACCAAGACACAGAGAAACACGGGAAAGTATTCCCGAGCGATACCCCAAGGCTACCTAAGGTCAGGTGCGGTTCAAACTTGATTATAAATCAACAACTTGTTCTGCTTACAAATGATATTTCACAGCCAAATTGGCTTCTTCATGTGTGCCATCGAGGCAGGAGAACACGACCTCAAGTAAGAATCACCAGTATAACCAGCCAGGACACATACGCACCGGCATTCGCTTCCGGATGAGGTTTGAAGGGTTAATTACGTATGCTATTATAATTCTTGCCTCTCAATTAGCCATTCCTCGTTCCTGAGATTCACTAAAGCCGTTCGTGTTGCTTACTGTAGTAAATGCTCGGCAACTGCCCTATTGACAGTTAAGTAATGTTTTGCACGAGTGAATCTATAAGCCTCTTATTTTTTTCCCCAAGAGGGTCTTAGAGGTACAAGAATGCCTATTTAAGTCAGAAGAGGTTATATAGTCCAGTCTTAAGGTAGATTAGACATGACAAATTGGAGAGATCTTGAACTCGCAGAAAGTGGAGTTGGGTTAGAAGGCCAAGATAGAGAGCGGCTTGCATTGTGGCTTGTTGATGGCTTTGTTGTGTCTAAAGGCATAAGGTTTAGGGTAACAGACCTGGCTGCAGGTAATGCTATCTTGAAGATTGCCAAATATCAGAACGTTAGAGTTTTATTGCAATCTTTCGATATGTAGCGAATCTTCCTCTACCTATAGTAATGAAAGCGCCGTAATGAGGTCCGTAAGTGCACCGTGGCGCAAATCACAACTATCGAGCAGTGCAAGCATTTGTGTATAAGTACTCGATTCAAAGAAAAAAGAGTTTAGTTCCACTCAGTTTTCTTTCTGAATGGCTGCGCCCATACATGAGTACTCCGTCTAGAGTCATTCAGTAGAGGGTATGCAAAAGTGCAGAAGTCTAGTGCTGGGCCATAATATGCATATGCCGTGGGCTAGTCTAGTAAATAAGTGTTTACTTGATCTTTTTAGAAGCTCGAGCAAAGAAATTAGTCACGTTTGTTATTCTCCCCGCTATACAGTCGGTAACGCTCCCGAGTTATCATTAGTCAGATAGTGGCTCGGGGTTTCCTGCCTATTTGATTTGTGGACCACTGCATAAAATTCTAGCCTTCCCTTAAGACTTCATTTAAGCTCCCTCATCATAATTATCAACGGCGCTTTACACAAATCTGTACCAAATCAATTCCTGTCATCATTTCCACTGTTATAAGTTAATTATTTCTTACCCTTTTACGTATACAAGCCATGGCGGAAAACTCGTCTTACTGGGTTGAGTCTGAGGACTGGCATACCGCTGGTGAGCCTTTCCGAATCATTCAGCACCTGCCATCAGGATTTTTGCCTGAAGCTGAGACTGTTTCGGAGCGCCGTATCGAGATTACCAATACTAAAGACCATCCGCTTGATCGGCTTCGCATATTTCTTAGCCATGAGCCTCGAGGACACGCCGATATGTACGGTGGCTTTATTACCCCTCCGAATAACTCTGGGGCTTCTTTTGGCGTACTATTCTGGCATAAAGATGGTTTCTCAACGGCATGTGGCCATGGCACTATTGCGCTAGGCTATTGGGCTATATATAAGGGTCTTGTTCATGCCCCCGAGAATGGGGTTGTAGATGTTGTCATTGATGTCCCATCGGGCCGCGTAGTGGCGTCAGTCACGAGAAAGGATAACAAATCTATACATGCCGACTTTATCAACGTCTCTACCTATCAGATAGCAAAAGGGTTATCTGTGGCAATCCCTTCTTGCGATTTTGATATTTCCGTCGACCTGACATTTGCTGGCGCTGTGATAGCGTCGGTAGATACCACTCAGCTAGGTCTCGAGGTTAAGCCAAGCAATGCAAATGAATTTGTCAGAATTCAACGAGAGATCAAGGCATGTCTTGGCGATAGGGCAAAGTATGGCACCCACGAACTGTACGCGATGCTCTTTTTCCAAGAAGAGGAAAACAGCAAAGGCTCGGGATGGATCGTCCAGAAGAGCATCAATGTCTACGGCGATGGACAGATCGACCGTTCTCCCTGTGGTTCTGGGACTTGCGGAAGGATGGCTATCCTACTCGCCGAAGGTCGACTCGGAGAGAACTCGAAACTCTTACACCACTCTGTCATCGGGTCAGCTTTCGAGGCTGAGATTGTATCTAAGGGCCAGAGTCCAGTCGAGGGTTTTCCTGCCTGCGTTGTGCGCGTGAGAGGCCAGGCATATCTTGTTGCAGAAACACGGTTTTTTATTAATGCCGAAGATCCAGTCTCTCCGGGCTTTGTCTTGCGTTAGGACTCTTGGTAATTCTAATTATAGAAGAAGAAAAGAATAAAATACATCTTAAAGGAACTAACCGACCACGAGACCATATACTAGGAGGGCCAAAATAAAATGGAGTATAAGCAATATCTGATCCATGCAAAAGTGAGCATAAGCTAGGGCGGCAGATGCACCTTGCAGGGAACAGGGCGGCAACGACACCATGGTGGGACAGCGCGGCAATAACACCATGGTGGGACAGCGCGGCAATAACACCAGGCGTTACACAGCGGCAGCAATACAATCGGGCGTTGCGGTTAATGTATTCTGCAGTGTAAAGAGGGGTTAAGCGTTACACGATGATGAGCCGAGGGAGCGTGAACATTATTTCTGTCAGCATCTTGGAGGAGTTGTCTTGTAAATATTCCGCCTTCAACCCAGTCACAGGTGCTGAATTTCACATAAAGCTGGACTCACCGTTATTGTTCAATTGAAGATAAAAACCATACCATTATTACAAATCTCTTCCTTCGTCAAGCGCTTTCATTATGGGGATATACTCGTCAAACCCAGCTCATGAGCCCGCGATTTTCCCACCGCAGACAATGGGCAATAAACCAGTCTTGGACCAAAAGCCCACTTCAGACAAAGTGGTAAACGGATCCACCGCTCATGCAAATGGGGTTCATGAGGCGTTCACTTGCAAGGATGCTCCAGTCGAGAACCAACGGCCTCTCAAGGTCCGTGTGATTGGCGCTGGGTATTCAGGCGTCTACCTCGGCATCAGGATTCCCCAGCGTCTACGCAACATCGATCTTAAGATCTATGAGAAGAATGAAGGCGTAGGAGGAACTTGGTGGGAGAATCGGTATCCAGGCTGTGCCTGCGATATTCCTTGTAAGTAAGAGAACTTCATATGAGATTGCAAGTTGTTGACATGCATGCCTGTAGCTCATTCCTATCAGTACACCTTTGCCCCAAACAAGGCTTGGTCGGGCTTTTATGCCCCTGCACACGAAATTTGCGCCTACATCGACGGCGTGGCAGAGAAATACGGTGCCAAGCGCTTCATTCATCTCGGACACAGAGTGACCAACGCTACTTGGAATGATACCGCCAAGAAATGGTATTTCTTACATAGCCTCATCTTGACCAAACGCTGACATCATCAGGCACGTCACGGTTGAGACCAACAAAGGAGAGACCATCTCCGAGGAAGTAGATGTCGTTGTTGCAGCAAGAGGTAACCTCAACACAATCTCCTGGCCCGACATTCCTGGCTTTGATACCTTCAAGGGCAAGAAGATGCATTCGGCAGCCTGGGATCAGGAATATGACTTCAAGAACAAGAATATTGGTGTCATCGGTGGTGGCTCCAGCTCGATTCAGATAGTGCCGGAGCTGCAAAAGGTGGAGGGTGCCAAGTTGAACTGCTTCGTGCGTAGCAAGGTCTGGATATCGAACCGCTTCGGCGATGTGACGATGAAGCAATTGGGATGGGATCCTTCTGACATTGAGTGTAAGTCCTCGAGACTGACTTCAGCGAAACTGCATTGTCTAACATGGTAATAGTCTCGGCCGCTCGTCTGGCAGAATTCGTCAAGAGTGATGATGAGTATCTTCGCTTCCGCAAGCGCATCGAGGACGACGGCAACTTGGTTCATCTCTCAACACTTCGAGGCTCAGACATGCAGAAAGATTTCGTGGCCATGTTTTCAAAAATCACCAATGATGTTCTTGCTTCACGACCCGATCTTCTAGAATCGTTCTCGCCAGGCTTTGGTGTTGGATGTCGGCGCCTGACACCTGGACCAGGTTATCTCGAAGCTCTGTCTCAACCCAACGTCAACTTCATCACACAAGGTATCGAGAGTATCAATGAGACGGGCCTGAAGCTCAGTGGACCAGAAGGCCGACAAGTCGATGTCGATGTCTTGGTCTGTGCAACGGGCTTCCAGACTAACTACACTCCTCCCTTCCCTGTCGTCGGCAAACATGGAGTAACATTGAAGGAGAAGTTTGATCCGTTCCCTGCAACGTATCTCACTATGACTGTGGATGGCTTCCCAAACTACTTCATGATGCTGGGCCCCAACTCAGCGATTGGTGCCGGCTCCTTGACTTGTCTGCTAGAGGCAGAGGGCGATTATATCGTCAAGTGCATCCGCAAGCTCCAGAAAGAGGACTACGTGACCATGACGCCCAAAGCATCGCGTGTTCAAGACTTTGCAGACTACATTGGCGAGTACTTCAAGAAGACAGTCTACATGGACGACTGTAAATCTTGGTATAAGATTGGGGGCGGACATGGCGACAAGATATCTGCTCTTTGGCCCGGAAGTGTCATGCATGCACTAGAAGCACTAAGGGCACCGAGATGGGAGGACTTTGAGTTTGAGGAGATGCATGAGAATAGACTTAGATGGTTGGGCAACGGGTGGAGTATGTGTGTTATGGAGGAGGAGGAGCAGGGTGATCCGAGTTGGTATGTTAACCCGGATGTAGTAGATGTACCGCCGGAAGAGAAGCCAGAGAGGGATCCCAAGTACCTGGCCAGGCCATTCTCTTACTGATAGATTTGACCTTTTCTCAACAAATTTACATTTCATTACAACAAGAAAGTTGCGGATACATGCGTCCTTGCTCAAAAAGATAATCTTTGCACGTTACATCTATCTTATCAGTGTGAAGTTTCATGAGTAAAACACTGTAACAAAAATCGCTCTTGTCGGATTGAGGACGTCGTCTGTGGGTGTCAACTCCAAATCCGTCATTTAAGTCTCAGTCAACCTTTGAGTCATTGTATAGTTTCTCCAATGGTCCTACAACGCACTGATAAAACTCTGCTCTGAAGTCCTTCCTTGTAAAGTCCGGAGGTGAATGGAAGCCACATCGTAAACATCGATCTACCACTGCATTCCACTCAAGTGCATTGTTGAGTGCAACAGCCTTTGAAAGTCTCTCCGCTGTGTTGAAGTCCGTCAATTCTTCCGTGATCCTATGGTCGTCAACTTCTTCTTGTGCCTCTAGCGTTGCCACAGTAGAGAGCTCAACCAAAGTCGCCCCGAGTCGAAATATTGCTTCATTTCGAATGACCATCTGGCGGGTAGTAGTCTTGTTAGGTTGAGATCCTTTAGCGATGGTAGATGAGGGGAAATTCTGCATGACGAAGGTGCAGTCTTTAAAAGACATCTTTGAGTTCTTTGGCAAAATATGTATATCGTCGGTAGACCACCAATCTCCCAGCCATGCAGTTGCATGTAGCTGAAGAAGGGAGGAAGCTAGTATGAGGGCCAACTCGTATCTGTCGGTTACCGCGCTACCAAAGGTATAGTGCGTACCCAATTGACCCTTATTCGAGAGCAAATTGTAAAGAGTGATTGTGTTCCTCGGTCGGTCTGAAGTAAGACGGCGCCCCGGAATATAAATGTAATGCCTGTGCTCTTCCTGGGGTATATATCCTATGCAATGAACTGCGAGCTGGCAGGAAAGTTGCGTGAGTTCATTGCAGAGATCCTTGATATGCTTCTCGACCTTGAGATTAGGTGAAGCAATTGTACCTACCGAGGCGAAAGCAACACCCCCGGGAGATCGAGGGAGATTCGCTGGGAGATTTTCGCTCTCAACCGCTTCAAACTCCGCATTTTTCCAGACAGCGCTTTCAGCAGATTGCCCGTTGTCACCTGTTTCAGGCATCTTGAACGACAACTTGAACCTGTGAGATCCCTTCTTTCCAGCCGCTCGATTCTCGAGCTGGAAATGTGTCATGTGAGAATTCAAACAGCAGCAGATCCATCCGGAACAAAGGGCGCTGTGTAGACTCATAGCCGCCTGCCTGATAGAATCCCAGTAATTTAGATCTGCCTTCTTCGGCTGAGAAGGTGCTATCTGTGCTTGCGTCAATATTCCTGGTGTAATTTGCTCCAACTTTGTGTTGTACTTGTCGATAACTTTGAGTAGTTGCTTGTGCTTGCTGTGCTTTATGCATTTCTTAATCTTATGCCATGTTTTCTGGTTCTCGTATTCAGTCGTCTCGTACCATTGCTAGGATATCTGTCAGTAAGTTTGTTACAAAATATAGATGTCAATTCATACCTGTGGCCTACCCATGCCCACTACTTGCCCCAACTTTTCAAGCTTCTCTTGGATTTGTTTTATTATTTCAGTGTATGCATAGTAGCGATATCCAAGCTTATCTTTGAGCCTCCTCTCAAGCCCTTGACTTAATACCGTCTCCCAATCGTCTTTAGTAGTCTTGTCTAAAAGCTCTTCTAGGTCCTCATCTTCAACCAGTCCTCTCAGCAACAAACTGCAAGATTGTCGGAATCGTGAATGTTCCGCATGTAGCGATACGATAAGATCATTCATGGCGGTTCTATGATGCAGGAGTACCTGTGCATCATTCTCGTAAAAGTTGAGGCCTTTGACGACGATTGGTATTCTATGTAAGGTTGTTAGCATTGTTCGCGATAATTTTCTAGCATACTTGCACTCCGATAATAAGACCCACTACTTCGAATCCAGACATTTCTATAGCTTTCCTGTAGGCCACAAATGAGTGTGGTAGAGAATTTGGTACTTATTCCGTCGCTGATAAGAGGAAGATCGGATGAGGTGAGTTTTAATGTGAACTTTGCAGCGCCTGGTTATGATAGCCGGGGGGTTGAAAAACGAATCGGAGACCTTTAATTGCGAGGATTGAAGCGCTGTGGCGCCCTGCAGCGTCTCGTGGCACAGAATGATTGGTGTTGGTTAACTGTCTGTTGGTTCCAGCATTGATCACCTGCATATGTTGCCAGAACTGGCGATTGCACAGTCAACCCCTCTCTTAAGAAGTAACTTCCAGAGCATGAGGCAATTACCTTCACTCAGTCTACTGTCGTGTGTCTTTCGCAGAAATGACTACTATTAGCGATTGCTACATCCAATGTTCTGGTTCTTTCAGCCGTCTGATCAAGAGCCTCGGTACGTCAGCTGGAGATATCAATGAACGAATACCACTCAAAGGTATCGTGAATGAGTACTCACGCTTCGATGTATGGGCTGGGAGTGTCGGGGCAAAACATGTCCCCCACAAGCGAATCTCACTTGACTATCGTCTCAGAGATTCCAGCTTTTATGCTGCCCGAGTTGTAGATATACTGCAGCGCCTTAATAGTACTCTAAACACTGGTACGTCTATTCTATTATTCCTCTAATACTTCTAAGCTAATAATCGGTAGCCGAAGATCTCATAGTTGGCAACCGGCCATTGGCCGAAGCTGCTCAAGCTGCTCAGCCCAAGCTTGACCGACAAGGAGACAATGACTCAGACCGATTGTCTATAACTTCCTCAGCCGAGAGCTCTAGTTCTGACGAAGCCGATATGTTGACTCCCGAGCGTCAGACTGCTGCATTATACGAGTCGATCACAAACTCAGTGAGGCATTTGTACTCGCTCGCGATGGTCATCAGACAACCAGTAGCAACAGACAGAGTATCCCGAGCGTCCAAGATCACAGTGGATCATTTCATTTCGGTCGATCAACGCCATGTCGACGAATGCTTTCCCGATGCTTCCCCAGTGCTGAAGAAACGGCTTGCTAAGGCAATTACACGTCGCCGTCAGTTGCTCATATACAACGAGCAACACTTCCGGAAGTCTTCAGAGCCACAGCCGTCAGAAGAGACGACATCGACAGTCCATATCGCTCAAGATGAGCCCAGGGAAAAAGTTGAACAGGACATGCCACTCCTTCCGGTTGCCTCCGATCCCATAAAGCCTCTGGTCAGAGATACACCAAGCTATGCCCCTACCATCTCCAAAGGAAGTCTACTGGCGAGTACCGAAGCGACCAAATTCATTCCCCCAGTCGATATGAGAGAGGAACCAGATGTTCAGTCAGAATCCGGAACTATTACGACGTTTGGATTCACTGGTAAGGATAGAGCAGGACTCCGAGTACCTCCTCGCCCGCAGGATAACAACGGTGAAGCTCTCGAGCAGTTCCTCTGTCCCCTCTGCTACCATCTGATTGAAGTGAAGGGCGAAAGAGCATGGACGTTGGTAAACCTTTCGCAAACCTGTAACAGAATTTCTAACGCGGTATAGGAGACACGTGTTCCGTGATCTTCAAGCATATGTGTGCACTTTCGATAACTGCGAAACGCCTGATATGCTGTTCGAAACCCGTCAGGACTGGCTGAGACACGAGCTCGAGAACCACCGAAGAGAATGGCACTGCAATGACCCGAAACACAAACCCCACAACAGTGAGACAGACTTCATTGAACATATGAAAACCCTCCATGAACTACAACTTCCGGATCCCCAGCTTTTCTCTCTTGCCAAGTTGTGTAAACGATCTAGCTCGGCAGACACTGTAATTTGTCCTCTATGCACAGATGGACGCCATGACATTGTAAATGGATTCGAGTGCTACAAACCCTCGTCGATCATACGACAGATTGTTGATTATACTTGTCCAGAATCGTTTGACAGTGGTAAACATCTTGAGTTCTGCATCCAGAAATGACACCAAACTAATATGCCTTAGGGACGTCAGATATAGCCAAGCTCCCTGAAAGAGACTTCAACGAGACCACAGATAGCATCTTCAGAAAGGTGACTCCCTGGCTAGTTTCGCTGCCGAACGACTTTGCAACGGATGGCAATCCAACCGCAGATTCCACCGAAAAGCCCCACCAAGCTCATCCTACCATAGGACAAAGAGGACCTTGTTTAATCCTTTCCAGTGACTTGAAACGGCACATCGGTCAGCACTTGGAGCGGCTAGCCTTGTTTGCACTCAATAGATCCAAGTTGATCCCCGATGATGGAAACTCAGCTCATACGGAAGATGCAGTCGCAAGGTCTGTGACAAGCTTCGAGTCATTGCAGTCTGTCAACAGTGCGGAAAGTTATGGACATCCGGGCCATATCCAGGAAGCAGCCAATTTCGCATCAAAGATGAATATCACACTTGTTGACTTGGCGATATATGCGGCTCAGTACCACAAGCAGATGTTGAACCATGTCGAACTTGAAGAAACCCAATGCCTTATTGAAGAGACACTTATCGAGAGTGTGTTCGAAGATCAAGGGCCTACAAGCCACGCTTCGATCAGCAATCCATATCTCTTCTCACCAGAGGGCAGCCTAGAAAGTATTATCACGATGGGGTCAGTGCTTTCAGCCATTTGCAACCCAGGCGAAACACCAAAAGGTATTGACCCCGAGTCTTTCAAGTACACAGTCATTTACATTGTAACAATTGGTAAGAAGCTGTTTTCCAGTTTAGTTATGAGCGGTCTGGAAGGGGGGGAATTATGGCATGCCATGGACTTTTTCAACAAAAACAACATCTGCGATAAAAACTTGCCACTTGGGCTTTCGGATCTCGAAAATTTGTCAAATTATCTGCGCGAGTTTGATAGTCAAGACGATACTAAATCTACAGGCGCTGCTAATCGTGGGACAACGCTGAGGAGATGGCTGAGAGAGCAGGACAGACAGCGAAGGAGGTCGGAACTTATTCACAATTTTTATATCAAGTATCAGTGGAGGTTTTGTGCACCTGTATTTTCTACTGAAGAGACCCTTGAAGTGAGGCACCAAGATGAAAAGTGTATCCTCCCTTTCACAGAGAAGTGCACCAAGACAGACGAAGACTCCTATGGACAGGCAATCAAATACAAGATTCACCGGCGCCATCTTGTGTCAAACAACATGGTGAGTTTGGAGCCAGACACGGAAATATTTTATTCTCATCAGGATCTAACAACTGAAACTTACAAGGCTCAGAAACCAGTTTACGTCATTGTGATACGTTTGTCTTTCGAGCCAATGTGGCAGGATGAACTGGGGAAGCTGAAAAGGATTCAGGCACTAAACCCAAGGCACATCGTCAAACTCATTACTACATTCCGTCGAGGGGAAACAGACTTTTATTTTATTTCTGAAGCATCTGATGGCGGGAACCTGAGAGACTTCTGGAAGTCATTCCCACGAGTCTTGACTGCTAGTTTGGTAAGGTCTGTGATTGAGCAGCTTTATGGGTTAGTGCATGCTTCTTTCGAAGTAGGCCTGACGACTGCACTCTTCGAGCGTAGTGCGACTGTCAGCAATGATGATCTGAACCCTGAAAACATCCTCTGGTTCAAGGAGGGGAGTGGAGCGGATCAAAGAATCGGCACCATGAAGAGCTGTCATCAGTCATGGACTACCCAACTCGTATCAAGAAATTCCCTATCAGCCAAACTATATATACCACCTGAACAGGGAGTGGGTCTGTGGAACATGATGTTCCCTAGAGACGACATATGGGCGATGGGATGCATTACGCTCGAATTCATGATCTGGCTTTTGTACGGCTGTGAAGGTTTGGACAAATTCCACCAACATTTGGAGTCAGGATCTCCCGAGCTGGACTCCAACAGGCACTTTTGGCAGTCCGGTACTAATGGAAGTAAGATTAACCCTGTTGTGCTAGGGTGGATGGACCATATGGCTAAGGACCCCGTATGCAGAGTAGGGGAGACCGCTCTGGGAGACCTCCTGAAGCTCACTAAGGATCGTCTTTTCGTCGTCGACGTGGCCCCTCGGTGTAATCCAAGGCCGATAGACCTCAAAGCTGAAGATAGTCCAATTCTCAAAGGGCTCAGCAATGAACAAGCCATTGATAATACTAAACGGCTTCAGAAACCGACAGACGAGTCTGCAGTCACGAAGGTTCTTGATCCCTGGAACAAAAACCGCGAGCTGATTACAAAATTATACGTCCAGGAGAATAAACGGATTGAGGAAATACAAGAGATCATGGAAACGGTTCACAACTTCGAGGCCTCAAAACGCAAGTATCAACGACAACTTGACAAATGGTTATTTGGGAAAGGTTGTCTGAGTTTGAGCAGACGAGTAGTGGAGCATCCGGACGCAAGGCTCTGGCAGTCGGAATCAATCAAGCAACATCGCGCACGGCCGAAGGAAGTTTGCGACTGGATGAATCTTATTCTATCTGGGGCCAAAGGTGAGAGCTACTGGCTCCCATGCCCTCCTCTACCGCCCCCAGATGCAATCTAATCATTGTTAAGAATGTTATCATTTTATATATCATTGTTCAACGTTCAATAAATAAAGTGCTGTCAGAAATTGAGTTTCTTGTATTTCAACTGCGTGATTGTTACATTTGAAGAAAGAAGAGTATAATTTTATACATAGCTTAAATTGGTAGCGATGGTTACGTGACATCTGGTGGAGCGAGACCAGGTTTTACGAGCATAGTCAGTGTTATTCCAAAGGGCCATGGGAGATAGCAATATAGGCTATTCAAATGCTAAGGCAAGGGTTCCCTCAGAAGATGTTCTGTGCAACAGGCCAAAATTTCTTCCCTGGTTCATCTAGTGTTATTAACTACAATTTTGCAGAGTAATCACCCCAAGCCTGAGCTAGATTATCAAGACCTATCTCTGACCACAGATGTTGAATCTCCTCAGATGGCCCGGGCGTAGTCTTAAGACTACCTCCCGATCCCTGACTCTCTGCCAGTGCTCCATATACTCTCAGATCCTTGGAAGCATGGAAGTCATCCCAGGGCTCCTCCATGTTTGTGAAAGTAATCACATCCCGAGCAAAGTCCGTTGCAGTCTTCTTCTGGGAGTCATCCATGACGTGATTGAAGTTCAGGAATAGATATGCAATGTCAAGACAGTGAGCAGATCGACCTTTATGCGACCCGTCCCATGGATTAAATTCGTTAAAGTAATAGAGCCATGACTTGGTAGGCCAACAGTTGGCGTAGTGTTTCGATGTCGCAAAGTACTTAAGATCCGTCCCGAACTGGAGAATCTTGATGCGGGTTTCGCCGTCCTCCTCCGCTTCTGATATGCCATACAGGCTGAGAAGTCGCTCGAGTCTATTAGAGTGCTCTACAGGGATGGAATTCGTCAAAGACCTGGCAAAACCTTGAGCCAGAGACCCTTGATCACGGCCTGCGAAAAGACCGAGAACCTCAAAGATGACCGCATCAAAATCGGTTGAGCCAATCATTAGAGGTGGTTTGTGGTTCGATGAAGACAAGTGAGTCTCGACTGAATGGAACGAAGGCAGTTGGTCTGTCTCCGCGACAGGCATTAGCGGGACTGACATTGGGATCTTGGATAGAATATCTTCCGGAGAGATTGCTATCAATGCATCCACTTGATCCTCGCTCGATAACGCAGAGTCTATTCCTAGACACTGGAGCACAGCTTTATATGCATCTTGGGCAACTTGCTTAGTGGATGAAGGAACGGCCAAGTTGTTTCCACTCAAGCAAATGGCGCGGTCGAAAAGAGATTCGGCTTGTAAGTCCAGGTCAAGGAGATGCATGATGGAGCCTGGGATCAATCATCAGCTGACTTGTCTTCGAATAACGAGCAAATAGCTAATACTTACTACCGCCTGCGCTCTGACCAATGGCTGTGATGCGAGTTGGATCGCCTGAAAATCCGCCGATGTTCTGACGAACCCACTGGAATGCCATCTTTTGATCAAGGATGCCTCTGTTTGGAAGGATACCTGCAGTCCTCATCTCATTGCTGTCCAGAAACCCTGCAACTCCGAGTCGGTAGCTGTTATAGTCAGCAACAGAGCTTCAAAATAGCCCGTGTCTGCCAAGTCATATGGAGGGACCCTACTTGATGGATACACCAATGATAGGCTTTCCGATAGACTGGGAATATGCGACGACGGCAGCCATATCATAATGTGGAGCTCCGCTGTCGCCGATGATGAAGGCTCCTCCATGAATAAAGACAAGCACGGGTAGTTTTGCATTATTCTCGTTGAGGGTCGCTTCGGTAACGGTGATATCGAGAGTCAAACCATCCAGGTCTGACATGGGACGGTCATCGGGTTTGTCGAGGGCCTTTTGAATGAGGCCAAACTCAATGTCGCATGCTAGTGGTGGTCTAACAACAGTCGGGCTGTGAAGAGGAGGGAGGATTAGCTCAGGTCATGCTCGTAAATCTGGGCAACAACCTACCCTCTCCTTGTCGCATCAATCTTTCCTCCATAGTCAATTTTGAGCACTGGAGCGGCAAGGCGATGAGCTATTATGGCATATTGGACACCCAGAAATTGCACTACTCCTTGAGTATCTAACTTGAGGCCTTGGATATCACCCAATCGGGTATGGTTAAGCGTAAACGCCATGATTGGGGCAAAAAAGAGGGGAACGTGATATTATCAAATGTTTACAAATGGCGGAGTAAAGAGGACAAGACTGCAATTGTAGCCGAAGCGAGGACTTTAAGGCGTCAACGACTTTCATGCAATGCAAAGTACCGAGTTCTACCCTCTCATCACCGGCCGAAGTCTCCCTTGTTACCCCAGATTTCTCCCCGCTCAGACATCTATCCGATGGACCGGGCTGGGGATATAGGTGCACTTGCCGCCGGATGGCACCTAAAATATCGCGTGGATGAATATCATTACCACGACCAGTAACTTGTCATGCATATGTAAGCTAGAAACGAGGGAATACCCCGCTAAACCTGGGGCATGGTGCAGTCTACCCGTTCCCTTCCCCGCACAAGATGCAGATGTTGATATCACTAACCCGCAAGCGTTAGAGTCTCGGCTCCGGGTGCGGCAGATAATTGCAGACTCTCCATTCTGGCACCCCAAGTTGATCTTGAATCCAATACCCACTAATCTCATTATCGAGCGGCAAACGTACACGGCCAATATTCTCATCATGCCACGTCCCAAAGTTCGTGCTCAAGATCGTAGACGCGCTGTGATAGCCTGCGTGCCCTGCCAGAATAGCAAGAAGAGATGCGACTCGCAAACTCCGTGCGCGAATTGCCGCCGGCGGGACTACGTTCCTTATTGCATCTACGATCCAGAGGCTGCTCGGCCGCGACGTATAAGCAGCAAAGCACAACGTCGAGCCACAAGCAGACAAGACGACATCACGTCTAACAGCAACGATGATACCGCCAGCTTGGACTTAATCGTTTGTTCTACTATAGCCTCGTCTGTCAATGGGAGCGATACGCATGAGCGGATACAGGCACCACAGACTCCAGAGTCTACAGCTGGAGAACAATCCAACGAAACCCCCGGAACTATCTCATCACCTTGCATGTCAAACGGCGGCAGTCAAGACAAGGGCTCAGATGGCGAGAACTGTTAGTAGATAAAGAAGGACTGGACAATTGAGCTCCCATCCCATAGCTGACTGGCTTGCAGTATCCATGAGCGATTCTGCATCTCTCTCTTTCCTCGACTTCCTACGTCACATGTTCCTCTGCTACATGGGGCCATCCCCGTTCACCGACAAGGAACGGGCCAAAGCTATGTTGGAGTCGGCATATCCCCAAGCCTCATATGATGTCGCCGAGGACAGCCCAGATAGTCAGCTTACACTGGAAGAAAAGCGAGACTATATCCATAGGTTTCTAGTAGCGGTAAGTTCATAAGCAAAATACTATATGTATGAAGCTAATTTGGGATCTCAGACAACAGGAATTGTATACGTTTACTCCCCTAAGCAATTATTTGAGCTGCTCGAAGAGACTGAACAAGGCAGGGGGGACTCCAGCGCCTCTGGCTCACCACAGTGTTGTCAAAAAGGTGCCATCATCGACTTGGCTATTGCCGTCGGCGGGCAAGGTTGTAGAACGAGTCCCAAGACTCTCTATCATGCTCAGAAGCATTTTGACCGTGGACAGAAGGTAGCCTTTGAGGGTATGCTGCTTAACCCTACAGGCGAACTAGTCGCCATCTTCCTGCTCATGAGTATCTACATGGTGAATGCGTGCAAGAGAGACGGGGCTTTTATATATCTTGGTGTTGCTACTCGAGTGGCACATGCGATAGGGATGCATTCTCCCGATTCTTATCGCAATTTAACACCAGAAATACATCGATTCAGGTAGGAGACCTTGTGGCCTTGATCAACTGATGCTGGTGAGCTGACATACTTGCTTCAACAGGCTTCAGGTATGGAAAAGTCTGCGTATCTTGGATATCGGATTCGGAGCAATCCTAGCCCAAACCCCAGCGTCTTCACCAAGACGTGGAATAAGTGTCCCATCATTCTCGGTCCCAGACGGACCAGAACCCTGTACGCCAGAATTCACATCCATGTCAGCGTGTTACGGAGTATGCGTTATACTCGAACAGATCACATATCTCCTCAACAACAAGCAGGACACGAGCTTGACATCGACTAAAGACCTCCTAAGACAACTTCGAGATTGGAGCTCGGCACTACCATCGAGCATGACGAACTGCACAGTCAGCTCYCCGATYTCGCCGGAGAAGTGGTGGCAGACTTTGGGCAAYTTTGCTGTCTCGATCTTTTATTACTACACTGTTATGCTGGCTACCAGACCGGTTCTGATATCGTACATGCTGGGGAGGCTGAAACGCCTGGATCGCTCGGATGGTGCCTTTGGAGAATATCCTGCTAGTGATGCGGAGACGAAGGAATTGGCACAGGTCTGCATTGATGCGTCTGTATTACTGATCGAGACTAC